ATACTGCCAAAACCTGGATCAGTCTTCCTGAAAATGTGAGACATGTACAGGCTTTCACAATGGTCAAATCCATGTTAAAAACAATTATTTAATTTAATGTTTCCTTCCTTGTGTTGAAAAGCACTTTGAGTTGCCTTGTGTATGGACTGTGCCATACAAATAAACGTGCATCAGAAACACATAGGTCCACACAGACACAAGGGGAAACAGGTAAAAACAAAAGCCTGGTGTGTATTGTTGGTTCTGTCACTTATATTTACAACAATGAGGTTGCACTAATCCAATGGTTTCTCTGTGGGGCCTGCATCATCGCAGGGAGGAGCGGGAATTGCAGACACACAATAAGAGCTGCTTTTTGGGATCATTAGTCAAAGTGGAGGTCACCATCACGCCTCTGATTACAATGGTGCGCTGTATTACCCCAGGGTGCTTTTGGATTCATTCATATTCAGCTCCTTAAACACCCCATTTATCAATTACCCATCCTGCAGCAACACACAGACATTCTTCCATTGTACATTATCACAGTGTCTCTGCCGCCTGCTTTTGTTAATAGGACTGTATGCTAACCTCACAGAGATAATGGAATTAAGCAGGATAATAAAGCATAGTCATAGAACTGATGACATCACTGAAGGCCCTAGACTCTAGGCTGGCCAAAGGGCCCCCAGACCATTGAAAGCCTGAAGCTAAGCCTTGTTCGTATTGTGATGGGAGACTGCTGGGAACACTAGGTGCCACAGTGGGGCATCTGTAAACGGCTGCTGTGTCCTTAGGCAAGACACTTCACCCACATTGCCCAAGAATCTGGTGTGCGCATGAATGCTTGTAGACTTGCTTCCGTCTGTCAGCCCCAAGGCAGCAGGAGTTTACCGCCACTGTGTCTGGAGTGAATAATAATAATAATAATAAGGAGAGCGTTTGTGAGAGTCCAGCTGAGTACAATACAAAACCATTTATATTGTTATAATTATTATTATTATTATTTTAATGTGTGACATTTCGGTACCTGAGTGGCCCCTGCAATCCAAAAGACCTGAGCCTCCACAGCAGGTAGAGTCGGCTCTAGCCCTTCTTGAAGAGGGCGTCTGTGTTTTGAGTCCAGTCCAGTTTGTGGTTCAGATGAACACCCAGGTACCCAGAGTCCACTCTCTCAATGTCCCTTCCCTGGATGTTCACTGGGGCTGGAGTGGCAGAGTGACGTCTGCGGAAATCCACCACCATCTCCTTGGTCTTCCCCGCGTTGATGAGGAGGTGGTTCATCTCCTTGGTCTTCCCCGCGTTGATGAGGAGGTGGTTCATCTCCTTGGTCTTCCCCGCGTTGATGAGGAGGTGGTCCCGCTGACACCAGTCCACAAAGTCCTGTATTACTCGTCTGTACTCTGCGTCATCGTCCTTGGAGCTGAGTCCGATGATGGCAGAGTCGTCAGAGAACTTCTGTAGGACACAACCGTCCGTGTTGTGTCTGAAGTCTGCAGACTGAAGAGGAATGGCGCAAGGACTGTCCCCTGGGGGGCCCTCAACCTGCAGGTCAGGACCTCAGACACAAAGTCCCTGGTTCTCACAAACTGGGGTCTGTCTGTGAGGTAGTCCAGGATCCACTGGGACAGGTCATAGTCTACTCCAGCCGTCTCCAGCTTGTCCCGAGAAGCCTCGGCTGGATGGTGTTAAAGACGCTGGAGAAATCAAAATAGAGGATTCTCACAGCGGAGCCGGGCTTCTCTAGGTGGGACAGCTAGCGGTGGATGAGGGTAATGATGGCGTCCTCCACTCCGATGCCCGGCCAATAGGCGAACTGCAGCGGGTCCATCGCTGGGCTCAGAGTGGAGCAGAGATGCTACAGCATCAGTCTCTCAGTGTCTTCATGCAGTGGGATGCCAAAGCCATCGGCCTGAAGGTGCTGAGGACTTTGGTCCGTGGTGTCTTTGGATCTGGTACCACCCAGGAGGTCTTCCAAAGCTGCGGTACTGACCTCAGCCTGAGAGTCATGTTGAAGACGTGCTCCATCACTCAGAGTTCATCTGCACAGGAGCACAGGAGCCTGGAGCTGATAATGTCTGTACCTGGGGCCTTCCTGGTCAGTTGAGGTCAGTATGGTTTTAAAGAGTTTCAATGCCTCTCACAGGAGCAGCCCTGCTGTTGCTAGGAGACAGAAGATAACTTCTGCAGAGACCGGACACCACTGGTCCCTGATAGTAATTACCTGTAATTACACTTTACAAGAAATATTTCCCAATAAAGAGAGAACATTTCTGGTGCTGTTTCCCATTCAAACAATGTGTTTTGTCTCTATACTTTTCATGATAATTCTTGCTAAATGAGAAATAAAGTTTTGTTTAAAGTATGATTAGATAATAATTGAATGTTTATTTCCAAATCAGTGCAGTGTAGATGCCAGAGACAGCTCCATGTGAAAATAAGTGCTGCACATAGTTTCATGCTCTCGGAGTTAACTGGGACATAACAGTGGTCTGTGTAATGTCCCAGTTATATATAAAGCATAGGTACATTACAGCGTGCTACAGTTTCACAGGCTTCTGAGTAATTATATATATTAAACTACTAATTAAGGCTGTGGAATTGTTATCAAGGGTTAAACATTTCAAACCTAGGTGATATGTTATACTTTCATTGGTTCAGTCTGTATGTAGAACATCTACTTGAAATATTTCTCACACTTCAATGCTTGGGCTTTTGAGTGATAACAAAAAACTAGTAATGTTTTTTTTTGTAAATTGCCTGATAAATACATATGAATACATATCTGTCCCAATATTCCAGATTCCACAAAAATAATCATTTGAAGCCAGTGGAGCTCAATTCACAGCTTCAAGAGGAGCAGTAGTCATTATAGTCATAATCACCATAGCCTCCTTTTTTACAAGATAAGAATCAAACAAAATCAAAAAAATCCTGATGGCAAGAAGGCTCCATCAGGGGCTAGTTAGTCTATTCAGTCTGAGGTATAGAAGCAAGAAGCATAAGACCCTAAACTAACTCTAGGGCAGCTGCAGGGGGCAGTAGAGAGGCTCCTACTGCTGCACCACCAGATGTTCAAAGTTTCAACATCTATGAAGGGCCCCAGAGGCCTCAGGCAGACACCACAGCTGCCTGCTGCATGGCAGAAATGTCGGCAGTGTCTCTCTTTTGCTTTTCAAAGCATTACGTCTTTGTATTTTCAATAATTCATTTAGGGTTGTTAAACCAATTTGGGATACTCCTGTTTGGCTTTACCTGTGGTGTATAGTATCACATGTTTTTTTTTTTTTTACTCTAATAAACAGCTTTATTAACCAGTGTTACATCAACAAGTCTGTAAATGTATCTCTCATTGTGAGTGTGTGAGCTCTCGTCTCTCACACTAGACCGGGTCTAGCTATGCCCCTGTTTCTGCGGTAAAGGTATATTATTGACCCATCCTGCAACAACCCATCTCCAGATGTTGATGTTCTTGGTCAGGACCGGAGCTGAGCATATTGCAGATGTTTTGGGGGTGGGGAAACACAGACACAGGGTGAAACATGCGGGTTGTGACCTTCAAGTGCGCTGACAATAAAGATAACCAAAACCATCATTTCTCATTCAAAAAGTAGTTTAGTAAAAACAAGATCAATAAGTTTATAAAACAGTAATTTAGTAACATAAATAAAATAATTCAATGTATAAATCTCCATGAACAGGTTAAGATGCTTTTACAATCAGCAGAATAAATACAAATAGTTAAACATTTTCCATAAAAAATGACAAAGAGAACTAGAAACAAGTTTGGTTTCACTAATATGTTAAAAGAAGTCATAAAAGCACAAATACACAAGAGTCAGTGAGAAAATCAAGACACGATGGTTTTAACCAGGTCAGTGTACGTTTGAAAAATGTTTGGTAGCAATTAATCCCATTTGGTTATTTTAAAGCATTAAGACAAGGCAAGAAAGAAGGCTGTCGTTATGTGAAGATGTAGAATTTAAATTACAACTAAAATATATTAGATGAAGTTGAACAGTCTGATCTCACTAATAGTTTTAAGATAAGTAGTTGTAATGCCAGGATACAGAGGGCACTAAGCGTTCACAAAGCTTCAGGACTGAGAAGATACAAGGCCACAACATACCTATAAAGATTCACCACGTCTCCATCTGATATATTTCACTGTTTTTAATTGGATTCATGCAGTTATCGGAAATCCTACTGATATGTTTCAAATGGTGCAGCAACTTCAAGTTTTGTGCCTTAAATAGAACAATCTGTCATAAATTAGTCACATACTGTGTACATATTCAGTTATCCTTTTACAAACAAAGCAAAGAACGGTCTAAAGACAATACATCCCTGAGAGAGAAACACGGTCGTCGTTATTAACAATACTGCTGAACCTAATGTGGAGAGACTGGGGACAGTGTAAAGCTGAAATCATTGAGGTACTTTTCCTGACATTCTGCATTTCAAAGAATCTCCTTCTTGTCATGTCGTTTCATGAAATAAACAGTAGTAGAATGGCATTATAGGTTAAATCATAGACACAAAGGTCAGTGTAAAAATCACCAAAATATAGTTTTAGACTATACAGTACTAAGGTCATTGATACAACACCACAATTTCCGGTTACATTTGTGCCTTTCCTTTTTATTTGCCTAAAGTAGTTTGTGAATCTACGCTTGTATTTAGATTCAAATTGTTAATAAATAAATAAATTATATGTACATGCACAAAAACGGATGTATGAATAGTCAGAACGTTGAAGACCATGTTTTGTCTAGTAGGTGAACGGTGAACCACATATGAATGAAGAACAAGAACATATAGAATCATTTCAGTGCATAGCATCATTCTTTTACATTTCTACAATAAGCCAATGTGGAATACATTAATGTCTGAAATTGCACTGATTATTTTGGAAATTTCTTAAGTATTTACACTTTTTTGTTCTGCTTTCTTTAAACACTTTGGAGCTCGGCCTGATTCACTTCAAGTTAAAAGAGGATTCTCCGTCTCTAAAAAGGACATTAACCAAATCTCTCGCGTACAAGCATCATAAGTTTCTTTTTGCCTTTGTAAATCTGTTTCAAGTTATCAATGAACTGTGTGAATTGAATGTGTCCGTCGTGAGCCATAAGAAACGTCTCTCTTGCTTTACTAAGAAACTCAATAAACTCGCTGTAGTGTCTGGGGCTGATGTGCGTGAGCCGCGAGTGCGTGGTGTTGATGTAGGCTCCGATCGTGGCGTCCAGGAGCTGGCGGAGCGGCGCTTTGTCCAAGGCCATGATCTTCCCAGAGTTCCTGCGGTTGTGCAATGCGACTATTCCCGGCGTCGTCAACGTGCAGCGCCGCAGAATGTCCGATAGCACAGTGGCACATTTCACACTCTTCACGACAAGAGGAATGACCGCGGCCAGTTCGTTTTTCCCCAGCGAGTGGCTGAGAGCGCACGCCCACAGTACGTCATTGATGGCTGGGTGAGTGTCTTGGTTGTAGCTTAGGTTTAGATGCGTCAAAGCTAAGGTTGCTAACTTGTATGCTCTCATTGGATACCCGCGGTGCTCCATGTAACGCGCTATTGTAAACAGCTGTGTATAGTTCATCCCTGTAGTGGCAGCGTCCAGCACGATTTGGTAGGCTGTCTCAAAGGCGATGTGGTCCTTCTCGCAGAGCGTCAGCGCTGAAAGGGCACAGTTTTGTGGGTCTTTCATGGCACACTGTAGAGCGAGGGTTCGGGCAGAGCTGGACAGGTTCTCCTGCTGGTGGCAGTCCAGATGGAGACGGACTATTGTGCTGTTGGACATGACCGTGCTGGCCACGACACTGGTGGCCTCGATGGGAGTGAAGAGTGTAAACCAGTTCTGCATGATGCTGTCCAAAGCAAATACACCTAACAGAAACAGAATATCATTCTGTCATCAACAGTCATCATAGGGACTAGAGAAGGATGATCTACATTTCAAGTTGAGTTAGGGATTGTTCTGTCCTAGATTAGTTAATTTCTTCATTTGTTAGTTTTATAAATGCAGGGAAACACTGAGTGTTTTTGACTGATTTATTGTGCATTTTACACCAGAACACAAATACTGTGCTTTTGAAGCTCGAGTAAATGGGCATTACTTCTGCTTAGAGCTGATAATGCATAAAAAGATAAACAATAAAGGAGCACAACACAAATTGTGTCAACGCATCCCAATGTTTTACGAGAAAGTGTTCTACCATTTATCACCTTATTACCAACTCCAATTACTGTGAAAACATCAGTCGACATGTTTTGGCAAAAACCAGTGACTTGAGTAATAATGCAGAGTTTACAGCACAAAAGGAGTGTAAGCTACTGCCCAAAAGATTTTAAGTAATTATAGAGTTGCCACGGCTATAAATATACAGTGACAACCAAAGGTTTACACTAGAAAAGTAATTTGCATTTATTTTCCTGTATCAGCAGTGAGCAAAAAATAATATTCAGGGAATAAAATGTTTGTTTTGTCCATCTATTCCATCAAACTCACCAACTTCAGTAGCACATGTCACCAGCCAGCGCACCATTTCTCTCCTTCGCCAGTTCAACGTCGAGAGGGTCATCCGCATGACCTGTAGGAAGCAAAACATTATGGTTACAGTTTGGTTTTACGTGTGTCTGTTTAGTGTGTAAGTTTAACAGTTTTATACCTGAAGACCCAACTCTAGGGAGACTTTGAGCAGTGTGAGATCTGGAAGACTGTCCATTAGAGTGGCAATTTTGAAGGCATCCTGAGCAAGTTTGAAGATGTGGGAAGAGGAATGAATGTTCTTTTGGATAGATTCTAACACTGTTTCCAGCTTACGAGCATCACCTAAAAACACACATGGATACATTCAATGGTATACAAGAAGCAGAAGAATTTCAAAAGATACATAAACCATGAGTAAATGTGATCACCTTTCGCAGCAGTGAGCATGGTCGAAGCCAGTTCACACTGCTGGGACTCTATGTGGCTGAGAGTGAACCAGCGTGGGTACCGGTTGGACACCACCGACATAATTTGTTGAGGCCGTGACAGGTCACTAGAAGGGACTGTGGACTCCAGAACTGGCAACCTTAAAAAGTACAATATCATATGGGTTTCAAAAACATCTAAAATAGCGTGTTTGCACATGCAGAATTTCAGCAGAATGTTGTGGAAACCCAATAACAACATGTGACTTGGCCTTTGCATTTCCTTCATTACAGGTTGATCACATGCACGTACTAACCTCATAGCTCTCAGTGCAATTCTGTATGCCAGTTCGACATCGTGAGGTAGAAGCGAGGTGAAGAGATACTTGGCAAACGTGTGCATAGGGACACTCTCTCTGTGAAGCAATTCTCCCAAACCACTGTAGGGACCAGCTGCGCACAGAACAATGGTTTAGTCAGCTGTATCTCCACAAAGCCAAACAAAGAAAATTAACAAATGGTAAATACAGGTACAGCGGCCCCTCGTTTATCTCAGGGGTTATGTTGTAATGACCCGCAAAAAGCAAAATCCACAATAAAGCAGCTCTACGTTTTAAACTCTCAACACACACTTTATACACTTTTCTAACCAACTTAACTCACGACTGCTGAAGAGTGACCGTGGACTGTTTGTTATAGGTATAGAGTGCTGCTGCAGCTGTCAAAAGCCGTGCATACACTGTAAAATACAACTGAGGAGGATGCTGCGTTGAGGGGCAGGACCAGAACTAAGAGCTACAGGAAGACAGTCGCAGTCTTCTGAACTAATCACTGTGGTGCACACAAGACTTTTCTTCCCACTTCAAATAAAAAGGTAACTATCATGTTATACTAGAAGCTATGTAAGGGATAATGTATAGTACACAGGTCATTATCGGAAAGTAAGTACCGACAGGTACTATACATTATCCCACCTATTATACGGCTTTGTACCAACCGAACACACACAAAATGAACTTCAGTCCACTTTTATGAATGCCGAAAGGTTTATTTAATGACTGCAAATAAAATAGTTCCCAAAAGGTGTTCCCGTGGCTATGCGAGTAACAGTCAGGCCGGCAACTAAAACAGTATTTTTGTCATGAAAACGTTAACAGATAATTCTGAAAACTTGCATGTGTGTTAAGAATGTATGTATAATGTATTCTCCAATCAGTATCTGATCTGTATGGACCACTGTATGGACCACTGTATGGACCACTGTATGAAACTCACAAAAAGGTAATGTTGCATAGATCTGCAGAATACAAAATGCATTTGAATGGAAATCCATGTCCACTCACCGTCTAACAATCTGGAGGCTTGCTTGCGAAAAACCTTCACCAAAATGTCGTTTAGCTCCACTTCTTGTAGCTTGGCGAGAAGATGCTCTTCATTGCGACACACTTTCTCTTGGGCGTAGAGGCCATCTGGCATCCCTCTCTGCTGACCGAGGCCGATGAGGGCTGTCTCCACAGCCAAAGACACAAACGTCTCCCCTTCCTCCAAGAAGCTGCCTGAGGCTAAGGGAGAGAGCAGAGGATCCAAGGTGAGAGCAGGGAAAACGTCCTTGTGACTCATCATTGATAAAGCTATTGATCTTTTTGTTCCCTGGGCCGTTCTTTTCTCATAAGGGCAGTAATCACGCATTTTAACGGGTGAATAATGTATTGGCAGTTGGCAGGCCTCATCGTTTTAGCTCCGTGACAGAGACGAACGGCAACCATACAGACACCAGCACTAAGGTCAGTGAAACAAGCAATTTTTTCAATCCTGGTAACTTTGTCTCATATGCTATTTTACCTTTTTTTTTTTTTTTTATCAAGAGTGACCCATTGCTCAAAATACATATTTAATATGTAATATGAATGAATTAAACATGTATTGCTCCAAAGGGGATTCGTTGCACATGAGATTTGTATTGTAAAATATTAAATTACAGATCCGTATTTTTTCCATGTGCCTAAACTCAAGTTTAACATGCACATGCATCATATATGTCCTTTTCCGATCAACATTTATAATAACAGACTTAAAAGGTTAGGTTTGATTCTCAAGCTGATTATCTAATCAGAGAGCAGAATAAGCATTATGAGAGTTTTTCATTTGGGTTGCCAGATTCTTAGGTCAAAACCAGCTGTTTGGACACTGCCTACACGAGTGCTGAACATGCAGACAAGACACTGGGAACAAAGGGTTGAGGTGTAAGCAAACACTCAAGATACTGGACAAAAAACCACAAAGATTTCACCACTGTTCCATTTTACAAAAACACCATCTTCTAAATTGGACAAATGTCATCAAATACTCTAATCTCTGTCTCATTTACAAGATCATTCATGGTTCATCTTCACCTCCTCTCAATCAATTTATCACAGTCAGGAACACCACACACAGGGTAACCAGGGGGGCCGCCCGTGGGGACTGTGTTATCCCACTCCGGAAGAGCGCCTTCAGCCAGAGTGCCTTCTCTGTGAGGGCGTCTCAGGAGTGGAACACAGTCCCATCAAACATCAGAGAACTGGCCTCATACAATCTGTTCAAAACTCATCTCAAATCATGGTTCATTACAAAACAGTCCTGTCAACACTAACTTTTAACTAATTGTATATATGGTAAATGTACACTGTTTTATCATTGTTGTTTTGTATACAAGTGTTGTGTTTGCTTTTAGGTTGACATTTTAAATCTGTCCAGGGACAACGGATGGAAAATAGCCTTGTGGCTAATTCTGGTACATTTACAGTAATGTTCATTAATGTACACTGTCCCTGTCAAATAAACTAATAAATAAATAAAAATAAATAAAATTTGTAGTAACGCAATAAAACCAGTGAGAGCGAAAACCACATACCGTTTCTACATTATTTTTATTTATTTATCCTTGATTATTCTTTTCATTTTCTGTCACTACAGATGAGCAGGCAGTGCATGGATGAGCGGCCTTTGTTCCAGACAAAGACGATGTTGGATGTTATAATTCAGTACCTGAGAAGTCCTGCTTGGATAAAGCTGCTCCCTCCTCTCTGCCGTGACCTGCCTCCAACAGGGTACTGAACAATGTCCCAATGGGGTCCAGAGGATGGCCCACCCAGCCCTCCAGGTTAGTTACTGACGTCACGCCTTTGTGCAGCAGCTCTGAAATAACAACAATATTACTACCATTTATAATCAAGACTAAAAAAACATTAATAAGCCAAAACATACCTTTTTTGTGAGAACGAAAAAAGTCCAGCTGTTTGGATTGCTGCCTCCTCAAAGTGTTCACGACTGCGATCGCCAGGCGCAGAGATTCTTTGGGATAACCGTGAGATCTCAGCGCGTCGACTCTGGCACATGCAGTGGGCACATGCTCTGAAAAGGAACACGAACACATGATTATTGAGCATCGCTGTTGGGTTTTCCCTTCAATGATAAGCGTTTGAGCCATCTCACCGTGCCACAGGGGCCAGCCTCGACCGTCAAACAGAGAGTTGTGATGTTTGTCCTGATGGCAATAGTTGGTGTAGTGGTCTTCGGTGATGATGCGCTGCAGGTGAGAGTCTTGCCAGTGCAGGTCGCAGGCCTCTATGGCCCGCGTGAACACGGTCCTGTGAGGCTTTGAATGGGAATCTGTGGAGGGGAGAAAAAAAAAGTTAGAAATTCTACTTAACTTTAAATAGTACACCTACTACCTCTATTACCATAACGACCACTACTACAACTAAAACATTTATGAGTGGGTTTGGTTTACAAAGCACTAGTGAAAGTCGGATCACTACCCTAGTCCAATTAAACGAAATAACTTAAAAGTTAAATCTGCGGTCCGATTCAAATTCGATTCGATTTGAAATTTAGGTGAAATTCCAATCAATTTTGAGTAACCGGATCGAAGCCTTTCTATTGTGTATCTACTGGCCTGTAACCACGTAATCCGGATATTGCGGAGACCTGGCCCACAGATGCATTTAAGAGCACAGGGAAAAGCCATGCTTATCTTAGAAATGTGTATTTGGACACATCATACAGGCTACTCACTAATGTTTTTGTTAGTTTTGTGTGGCAAAAGCAGGCAATATGATGCATTTAATTGCAGTTGAATCCAATGCTCAAAATAAAACAAAATGTTGGGTGATTATTTGTCAAACGTGGGCTTTTACAGTATATATGATGGCAATTTTAATTACAATTACTTTTCCAAGGTTTGAGCGCTAAGGCAAAGCTACAAGACGCCTATGAACGCTTCACAAGGCACCATCTATCTGTACTCTTATTTATTCATATTCTTTGAAAACGTGAAAAGTGAAATCGAGGGGAGATTGGGAATATATGAAATCACAAAGGTAATATCCCAACTGTGGCTGGGTGTGATCTCACTTGGGTTACCAGCAGGGCCCTGAGGCAGTGCGTTGGTCAGATTGGTCAGGTCGCTGCCATGGTTACCATCCTCCAAGGGGCAAACGTCGACGCTGTTCCACCTCCGGAGCTGCCGGAGCCAAAACGCCTTCTGCTGATGCTTACAGTGGGGGTTCAGCACCACACACATCCAAAGGGCCCCTGCAGAACAAGATAAGGTTATCAGTTACATTTTCATAGGAACTTTAGCTGTAAAAATAAGGATGGGACAGTGACCCAAACTACCACGGTGCAATTGTAGTTCTAGCATCTACTCTGGAAATGCTTAATCAAAAGAGATGATTTTTCCACAGTAAAAGGGTGTTGTTTTGGTGATTGGTTCTGTATTTCACCGTAAATGTAATTCAGGCTCATTTTGGCAGCCATTCTTGTGTCGTAATAATGCAAAGAATTCTACACAAGCTGTCATTTTCTGAACGAAGACTGTTATCATTCACTCTAAAACTGTCTCTATTTTATGCAGAACTCAGTCTTATTATAATGACATAGGATTTATTTGACCTCAAATGAAAAGTAACCTTTTCCCAGAACACTAATATTAGACATTAGAAGTGCAAAAAGATGAAGGGCATATGATAATATTTGATTGAAATAAATGAATGCAAGTCCACCTCACTATTGTTTTACAGGACTTCACTATGGCTTTTTCACTTTGGCTGCTAGAATTGAATGATTGACCTGTAGGTTACAATGAATGCGACCTCACAATCCCCATACATGGCTCCAATTCTTACATATTGTTCCATTGATGTGCATGACTGACACTGAACACATAGGGGATTAAAAACGTTCATGAAGTAATATTTCACAAAGACGACGCAGACAGTGGGGGCCAACCGATAGCTAATTACATACTAAAGCCCCATTTGAGTAGATTACACTTAAGTATCTGGTACCGTATCCTAGCAACCTTCCCGCAACAAACCACTATCCAAGGGCATTCCTTTGAAACCATGGCTTCCATCAGCACTCTGGCCAATCACTGCCAGTTAGAACACTTGAGTACCAGTTTGGCTTGGTTAGAAGCAGAGCCAAGCAGGCACTTAAAAGGTACCGGTTGAACAGGGCCAGTGGACATTTAAAGACCTTAAGCCGGGTTTTAAAAACAAATTGTGAATATCAAAATTGTCGATCTGAAATGGATTCCGGCAAAAAAAATCCTATACTTTATAAAAAGAACGTGTTTTTCATGAATTTAAGCTGTCTATGCTCTAACCTGTGTGTGACGTCATAGCGGGTAACGCCCATGCATTGAAAACCATGGATCTATGCCACAGGACTGCCTTTTCTCTCTTCTCTCCACTGATGCCCAACACAATACTGCACTCCACAGGTGACAATTGCTCACTACACATAAATTGCCGTTTTGAGAGTGAAAATGTGTCTGAGGTGGGATTTCAACCCCAGTATATGGATTGGCAGTCCATCACCACAACCACTGGACTATCTCAGTGCCAATGAAAGGTTGCAATCTAGTACTAATGTCAGACTCGCTGTACACGGCCTTGTCATCTTGAATATCCGCGAAAAAAGAACGAATACCAAATTGTAAACAACTTACAGCGTTGAAACGTACCCACTCTGACGTCACCAAGGGCTGTGAAGTTTTTTTGTCTCTAAGGGCGTTGCTATGGGGTTATTTCGATTTGGGGGGATCAGACAAAAAAAACAACTGATTTTGAAACCTTTAGTAGTTCTCTTCTAATATAAAATGGTATTAAAACTGTATTTCTAAATAAATCAAACCCAGCATAAGGTCTTTAAGGATGTTTATTAACATTTATGGACATTGGTTATCCGCCCCATACAGATCAATGGCTTCTATGTTAATGTTATTATCGTATTCCCTGTGTTCTGATCTGCTGTTGAGGAATCAACAACTTTGTAAAATCCTCCAAAAGGCTACACAGAAAAAAACCGAATTGAATCCCAATGGGGGTAGAGTAGGGCCAAGTGGGGCTGGTAGAAATGGGGTTATTAGAGAATTGCAGCATTCATACCTAGTTCATCCCAAAGTTGCCTGTACTTGTCCGTCATGGTGGTCCCCTGTTGTCTCCAGAGCGCCAGTCGCGGGTCGCCCATGAACTGCTCTGTGATCAGTGTCAACATGCGCGCGCCGTTGGAGTCTCTCATCTTCAGCATTTCTCTCACCTGCAAAAACAAAGCAGCAGGTTCAAGCCGAGCATCGCGGCGACCGGCTGACTCAGTGGTACAGCGCAGACTGCGGCCTACCTTGCTGAACAGTAAGTTGAGCTGTTTCCCTGAGCCATGGTATCCTCCCTGGGACAGAAAGAGCTTGACCTGCTCCTGAACTTGCTCCTCGTCCAAATGCCAGCAGTTCTCGTCGTCAATGCTGGCTCCGGCTGTCGGGTCAGGAGCTCCTACGTACAAAAAAATGAAAAGAAAAGAAAATCAATAAGTTTGGAATTGCTCAGCTCGTTTTGAATCATAATTAACTTAAAGGAGAAAATTAATGAAATTACTGTAGTGTAAAAGAAAGAGCAGCGAGCGTAATCATGTTAGTGTCAGCATAAAAAACTAATTCACTAGTTGCTGAGTTCGCGACTCTGCGGAGCTGGTTCAACGATGTGATCAATACCATAAACATCACTGTCCAATGTGAAAGCCTTAACATCACACTAAGGGAGTAATCTTGGGTCGAAAACATATTAGGAGTGGACTGACCCGAGTGCTGACGTCACCATAGTGTTAGCATTAATGAGAAAGATGTCGAATTGAACATATGCTAGCTGGAGCTCATTTCTTTATATGGGCATTTGTTCAGACTATGTAAGCTAAGCGCCGTAACAGTGGCACACATGTTGCTCGGGTGGTTGCTATAATAAACACATACACATACAGGTATATATATGTATAAATATGTAGAATAAATATAAATATATATAAGCTAGATTTTACCCGTGAATGAAGGCATCTGATTGGTCAATACTTTATTTTAACACCAGGATCACAGAGAGTGCCAAAACTCATATTTTTCAAGCCCAAAATGGTGAGTGTGACACAAAGCTAGAGGAGTCAGTGAGTTGGAGCAAAACCTCGACCATGAGCACTTCCTTATTGGGCTTCATTGAGCTAGGGTGTTAGCATTGTCCATTTCTATACAGTCTATGGTTGAAACATTATAAACATATGATAATACTGTGTCTTAAAGCTACATGAAAGTGAGAACAAACTACTACCACTTAATACAAACATGATCCTGGTTGAATACAGTCAGTGGTTAAAGTTAAAGGTGGAGGGCGGTTGGTGCGGACGTTACGCACCATGCACTTGGTTGATCTCAGAGTTTTGAGACAGGATTTCATCTGCGAGTTTCTGCGCAGTGGGTAAAACTTCTGTGTGGTGAACTGTGATGAGGTACTGGACAAACTTCTGCAGCTGATCCCGGTTCATCTGAAAAAGTGTCTCTGAGATAGGGAGGCGTAGTTTGACCTGGTCAGGCCTCCGTACACGATACAACGACAAGGCTACAACGTGTGCACAGTAGAAGATGTCCTTGTTGCCACAACTGCACGTCACCGCTGTGATTTTACAGCGGTCGAAGCTGATGCTCACGTTGCAGACCATCTCCGGCTCCGAGGATGTGGCGGGTTCCTTCACAGTTCCACTGAGGTGAAAACCTACAGAAACACACAGAGCTGTCAGCGTCTCCAGGTAATAGGCATCTTAAACACTCATTTATATTTGGCAGAAACTGAAGAAATAGAGAAAGAGGGATTGTGGAGAGCCACAGAGGTAAAACCAAACATTAATTTCCCTTCCAAAACATAACCACTGTTTACTTTACAATAGACACACCCCCACCTCTCTCCACATGAACAGATCCTCTGACCATCAGCAGAGAGCAACTATCGTCGGCCCCCGAATAAAATTATCCATCCACTTTCTTTCGCTTTATCCGTTGCCAGGTCATGGGGGCAGCAGTCTAAGCAGAGATGCTCAGACATTAATCAATAATGCTAAATTGCTGAGAAGTAAATAATGTCAGTATTTGGCAACAGCTTATGGTTTTAACAAAACGTGACCTCTGCCCACACAGAGCAAGTGGTTAACATCAACTGTAACTTGAATTTCAAGAGAGACATGTGAAACTGTGGGGGTCTGGCAGATCGGGCTAGGGCACCGTATAGGACGGTAAACAATTCAATTGGTGGTTAAAGAGTGCTGCAAATATGACTGAAACTATACCACTTTCACTTAGCTGTGAAAATAATAATAACAATAATAATATCTGTAAATTCTGTTGAAATCTAACTTTATATTAGTATTATTGTAATACTAAACTCAATTTTTACCAAATTAATAATAATACTCATGATTTAAACATGCTGTATTTAGACAATAAGACACCATTTACACACACAAAAGAAAACAAAAGTACATAGCATCATTATCATTATACACAAGAGCTGAAGACAATAAAAAATGTGATCAGTAAAGATACATTTTTCTTCTCCTGTGATCACTACTTTCTCAAAAAAGGATGTTGAGGGTTGAGAGTATTTTTGTATGGAAACTTAAAACAAAAATAGATAAGACATTTCAAAAGTATCTTGAAAGTTTGCAATACAGGGAACAGTACATACTCCACCACAGTAACAGGTCATGATGAATGAGCATTTGTCTCACCGAAAACAATATGGTAATGTATATGTGGCGGTACAAAACACTCCACACATTGCATTATGGTTATTCCTGGTGACTAGAGACGTTCTGAGAGTGGAACATGTTGATAAGGCAGAATGTTAGGGACATGCTTGCGGTGTCACAAAGCAAAGCGTGTGTATTGCCTGGCCCACAGCTGAACTGCTGACGTCACAGACCAGTGGGGGAGAGGCGCCCTTGCCTCAGCTGAGCCGCACACATGGAGCAGTTACACTTGGCGCAAAGCCAAAAGCCTGAGCTCAGCGTTCTGTGACACGCTTCCTACTTGCATAATACAGCCCAGTGCATCGCATAGCAACTCGTCTTAACTCCTTCACGGCCAGACGGGTACAGCGCACCCCCTGCAAGCCGAGATTTAACATCACCCTCAATTAAAGTCATCTTTAGTTTGACAACACAATCACTGACGAGATTAAAACAGGTGACACATTTCCGGCCATTCACAGAGCAGACATTAGCTTGAAGCAAAGTGGACAAGGTTCCTCAGCCTGGAGGCCAAAGAGGCACTATGGACGCTGAACGGTGGCTGCAGGGGGACACAGAGCTGCCCAAACAAAGGCCCAGTCACACAAGCTGCGCTCTACACACACTGGTTACCCATTAAGTCAACCAAAGATGGCCACTCAGGCGGAAGTGAGAGCCCTTTGGCCAAGGTGTGCTTTGTGTGTGTGTGTGCACTTCTGATGACAATCGGGAACCTAATCTCTCACCCGAGGAGATACAGAAGCACCTCTGGGGCTGTCGGAAAGAAAAGCAAACAACTAATCAATAATCATGGTGCACTGATTACCATCTGCCCTAATGACTGGGTTCGGATCAGCTTCCATTGCACTTAGGGGAGTCAGCAGAAATATGTAGCTAAAAACTGGAACCATTTTCCTGAAAATATGAGACAGACTTCTATGTTCAAATCCAGGTTAAAAACTGTTTAGTTCCGTCTGTGCATACAACTGAAGGGTTATATCAGGAGCCACGGGTTCACCAGGGTAGGGCTGTGCTATAAAATACAACTTTTAACCTCTACCTTGCATTTCACTGATTGTGTAATATATCGTAAAGTTTTGTTTCAGTTTAGTGTTTAATGAAAATGAAATAGTTGTCCTCAAAAGACAGAAACAATGTGGTTGAGCTTGTCTGATCACTGCAATAAAGTGTGAGTGAAACCACTGTATTGTGCTGCCTGAAAACTGTGGAATAACTCTACACTATTGTTTTGGTCAATTTATCCTACACATAGAACTGTAACTGTATATACGTCCATGTGAGTTTTCCAATATCATTAAGTTCCTTTGTGCTGTTTGGATGGCTATGGCAATGACTGTGTGTTAACCCAGTTCACACAAACCAGCCCTGCTCTTATCAGGCCAAGTGTAGTCCAGTTTAGAATCGCTTACTTTGAGAGTCATGCCATGAAAACCCAATATTTGACACGATGGGCTGAGAGCTGATTGGCTGAGTGAAGGTGGCCCTCTCTTTTAAACTTTTCTAGTGTCAGAAAGTGTATACCTTTGTGACAGAGGCCAAAAAGGCATGTGTATGTGAAGATTAGTGAAAGAGCCAGGAAGTAGTCAAGACGTCAGTAGTGATGATCCAGGACACTCCACATTCAACGACATTTATGAACTTTATCAACGTTTATGGACATTGGTCATCCGCCCCCTTATGAATCAATAGCTCCATGTTTATTATTGCATTTCCTGTGTTTGAACCGTTTGATTCTCTGATCTGTTGTTGGCTATTAAACAACTTTGTGAACTACTCCACAATAACTACTGTTCCAATTTAAATCTGCACTAACTGACTTTGAGAAATGTCCTTCTTGCTCGCCCTACCAGCACGGAGCTTTCGCCCCCCCCTACCCCGCTCCCACCCAGCCTGTGCTCACATGCTATTTGTATATGGAGCTCACGTCTCACAATATGGATCGCACATTTGAAAGTGGATGGCGTGACCACAGAATGATTGAACTGGGAAGCACGGAGGAACGAGACTTTCTTTTGGCTGTTTCGTTGTGTAAGCAGAAACCGTTAACGAAGACACGGGAAAAGAACGTATATCCCAGTGCATAACCTGGATATGGATTAAATTTTTGTAATGAATACAAAAATAAAGTCAGGTAATGCAGCTTTAAGGCTATACAAAAATAATTGAATGTACTTCATAACATAGCTCCCTTTTTGTGGCTCGACAGTTAAGTACTCCAGGCTTAAATGTTTTTACTGGAATCAATGCTATCAAAGTATCAATTTCCGATACTTTGAGAGCCCTACTTTACTCCCACAGAGATTACACAATAGCCTACCTCGTGGCTTAACAAAGTAGTAGACAGTGAGTCAGAGCGAGAGCATTCTTAAATCAAGTTTGCCTCGTGAGCACAGCCCATAGTCAGAACCCCCTTTGATGAAGCGGGAGTGACTGTTGGCTGTTATTTCAACGTCATAACGGCATTTCTGCTGCAGGAAACACCACTTCCCTCCAGCGTCACCAGGGGAGGGGCCCGCGCACTGACTAAACAGGATGAAGTCACACCTTATCATGGCACAGCACCGAGCCGCACACAAAACAACCCCGAGCCCTGCGCCGTGTTTGGCCCGAGCCGATAGTACAGCCTGTTCTGAGGGGGAACGGTCACCAAGCAGGGAGGGAAGCATGGAAGTGAGCCACGTCTGGCTGCTTTGTGTTTCATGTTGAAGTAGGCAAAAGTTATCCATCACTTTTGTGGTAGGTTGTAAATGGAGAGAGGTTAGTCTTTAGTCGTTTAAGATAAGTAAATCAGTTCACACGTGTTGGCTGGTTCACTTGCTTCATAGATAAAAACCGACTTTTGTGACTAGTGGATCACGATTCTTGAAAATCTAATTGACCAGTTGCTGTACAATAAAAAACATATTAGAAAACAAAAAGGAAACTGTCTGAGGCAACTTAAAAATCTGTTATTTGTTGACGGGACATTGTGATGCGTTTCAACCCTTCTCTGGTCTTCATCCCGCGTTGCAATGTCCAGTACTTTTTCCCACGGATTCTTGAAGAGCACTCGACCCTACTTTTTTTGATCCCTTTATGCACTCGCACCTCTCGTAGTTTTACAAAACCATATATTAGGAATTAGAAGCACAGCAGCCACTTTGTCATCTGATAAAAGTTCCTACATTCATTCTTATTGTTGAAGAGAAAACATCAAATTCCACAGTTCCACTTTTAAGGCACTCAATTTGGCAACATCAAATTAAATGTTTCTTAAATTATTTGAAGAATCTTGAGCTATACCCTGAACTATACACTATCATTTATTCTCTTTCTCTGCAAGCTTCATTTACGGTTGCCTGGTTCAATTTATAGTTTCAACTCCACCCATTGATATTAATCACTTTACATGTGATGAAGAAAAATAAACGGTGACACAACTTGGAGCACATACCAGGCATAGCCCGTTTTGTGTACCAACATACCGGTTGAGTGTCCTGGGCCTGTGGGAGCTTGTGTCCCGTGCTGTGAAGTCAAATACCGGTGCCATTTTCAGAACTAATTATGCCAAATTTAAATGTTCCACATAAACAGGTCGCACTGCATTTGACAGTTTGACAGGTAAATGTGGATTGGAGGCTAATAAGTAAAACGTACACGAAAAGGAAAAACATTAGCTCTGACATTTTGAGCCCATAACGCACAAGGAAGAATATACTTTGTGTATGTGCTGACTAGGGGTGTGACGATATATCGATGTTTCGATATATCGCGATACTTTCTCCCGCGATTCGATTATGGATATGCATTTGCCAAGTATCAATATCAATTTTGAAAAATATATATATTATTTTTTGTTAAAAAAAAATTTTTTTTAATTGGTATCAATACTTAATGTATGTATGGCTACATTACGCATCTCCATTCCATTTATCATGAAATAAAGTGTATTTTTTCTTTTACTTATGCCATAAATTGGCATATTGTATGTTTCTGACCAATATATCGATAATCGTCATAGCGTGATAAAATCGTTATCGTGATATCGTTATCATGATAATATCGTTATTGTGATAATATTGTTATCGTGAGCTTTGTATCGTGTATCGTATCGTGAGGTACCCTTAGGTTCCCACCCCTAGTGCTGACCTGATGTGTCGAGTTTGGAAACTTGATGGTGGTAAGTGATGGTTTTAGCACAGAACTAAAAAGCAATTTGTTTTGCTGCTTTGTCGACAAGGCATTTTCATATACACTGTTTAATTAGATATTATAGTATATTTAGTATGAACTACTTTTGTGCTACTTTTTATCATGGAAGGTATTTTGAGGTCCGGAGAGTCAAACTACTACAGTTAGTTGTTACATTTGTTTATGGTTCAATAATTTCCCTTAGTGGACTAGTCACACTTATTTGAATAATTGCCCCATTATTTATTGAGGGAATTATTGCACACTCGAGAATACAAATGAGGTGGGAATAAACAGTATAGTTGCCCAAATAAAATGCATGAAGTGACAGAAGCCAGTCCCCTGCAGAAGTCTGGCAGAGCGCAGCCCTTATTTGTGAATGGTGTTTGTGGAGCTGCTGAGTGTGAAGGGCATTCCTCCGCTGAGACCCTCTTTTGGGGCCGAGGATCCCCAGGAGGCGGTGACACTGGCAGGCTTTGACTTGCTGAGGGAGTGTGGGAATGGATAACGTTCCCTTGACCAGCCCCAGAGAAAACTGCAGCCTCAATGGTCTTTCCTGGCTCTAGTGGCACTCTGAGTGTAGCTCATTACTTTCACCGTTGTCACAATGCTCAAATGTCAAACTCAATTAAATACTCATGAAAAGGCTCGATATTTGATAATAATATGATCCCACAATGATGACTTCATAAAAAGGACCGTATTTTCAATTCAAATAGAATCTACATACTTTTATATGTATTCAAATCATATTTAGCCTTTTCTGAGCAGTGGAGTTCTTTTAATTAAAAATACATGATGTCTACAATATTCATGTCTATGGCTGTAATGAACGATAATTCTGATAATCGATTAGTTATTATTCTTTTGATTTTTGAATCCATTGAATAAGTGATTTTTTTCCAATGAATTTGACCAAAACAAAGCTAAAACCTGGATGGGACATAATTGGTGGTTTGAATAGAAATAATGTTCAAAACAATGCCCTGTCATTCTGGCCACAGATTTGTACTGTTTCTAGCCCCAGCCGGTGGTATGCATCTGTAATCAGTGCTTTTGAGTTAAATTCTGGATTCTGGCAACAAAAGTTGGATTTTAATTGTAATGAATGTTTTATTACTACAATTTGACCATTTAAGATTACTTTATTAAGCATTAGTAAATTTTCAATTCCAAATAATTATTTGTCCCACAATGTTTATACTAGTTCTCATGTAAATTCTGATACTTGCTTAATTGGGTGTAACTTTCGAATCCAGTTTAAGAATCAATAAATATCCGATTGTTGATACTTTCAACAGTCGTAGTGGGCGAGACCCAACAGGACGGATCTAAACGAGGGCTGATGGGGGACTGTCTGCCCCACTGCCCCTCCTCCGGCTGAAGTTGAAGGTTAATGATGAAATACGACATCCGTGGAATACAGATCAGGGCTCTGTAAGGATAATGCATCACTCCCTCTCCTTTCACATACAAGACTCTAAAGTAACATATTAGTTAGACAAGATTTGACATCCTTGTTCCAAACACTGACATTACAAATACAACAATTATTCAAAACATCCCTTGCAGACACTCAAAAATATGTCGCAGCTTCAGGTGATTGGGCATAGACCTGGGGTGTCAAGCCGGTCCTCAAAGGGCTGGTGTGGCTGCAGGTTTTAACTCCAACCAAGCAGGAGCGCACCACACTCCACCTATTTTCTCAAGTGAGTCCAGTTGTAACATGAAGATTTGGCTTAGGCAAATGAAACGCATTTGATATTAGACAGATGACAATTTACATTTGCGTACAAGACCAGGTGGTTAAACATTGTCATCCTTCCAGGAGTGATCCCCGTTCATATCCAGTCCAATGATTTAAATATCCATGGTCCATAATTCATCAAATAAGCGTGGGAAAGCTTAAATTGGTCTCAACAGTGTAATAAAATGGCACTATCTCCCTGTATTCATTTGTAGTAACTATCTCTCTTTGGACAGAAGTGTAGAAAATGTCCTTATATGGCACAGTGTCTAACAAAGAATACATTGTGCTTTTTATTATGCTAAAGTTGGTGATTTTAGTGCGAGATTGTAAAAGGGGAACCCAAAGATGATGACGTCAAGTGGACACTGACCGCGTCCAGCAGCCGCCACAATGCAAAGTGTCACATGAACTGAGACAACACTGACACTAAAGCAACAGACAAAACCAAAACGTCTGTTGACCTTGGATTGTCTTGCAAGTTCAATCACCACCTCTCAAACCCCTTACAGGTTGTACCAAACAAAGCACATGTTTACCCTTCCATAAAGAACCATATTATCTCCTAAAATAAGCGTTTACCTGCTGCTGTAAACAAACCTAAACTGCAACAGGAGGCAAGACCTGAAGATGAAGCACGGCTCTTGTTATGACAAACAATGACAAACCACAGAGAACATAACACAGAGCAATTTAGGTCAAACATGTTCTTCAATAAAATTTAAATGACTTTCTTTTTTTTGAAAGTACAAACCGTTCACGTGTATGTCACAAAAGGAAAATGCTTATTTCAAATTCAAACTAGGGATTTGTATACATTGACTGCAAGTGAAACCAATGATTTTGTGTATTCAGGTTGTCACTGTAGGGTGAGGGTTGTTCTGTGCAGGGCCCCCATGCTCTTTGAAAACCCCAGATTCAGTGTCATTCAATGAGATTAATCATTATGCATATAGGGCCTATAAAGCCTGTGTCTGGCAGTAACTAAATATTCTCGTTCACATACAAAGCTAACAGAAAGTGGGGGAAAGTGCCACAAGGCTTTTGCATATTACAATTCAAATTAAACATGCAAAGTATGAGGATTACAGTCATCTAAAGATGTCAGAGTATCATAAGCAGACACAGACAGGACAAAGGCAAACACACAGACTCCATAAAAGAAATAAGAGCATGTCAGTTGATGAGACGAACATCCGTATACAAACCATGACCTAAACACGCTCCATAGGACTGATGGGACAATCCATCAATATTTATGTTTGATTTAAAGTGAATATTCCCAGGTTAAGTCACCCTCATACTGTACATTCACAGATGATCATTACTTATTCTCTGTGTCAATGTAATGTTATTCCTACTTCATTTACTCCCAAGGCACATGGCGTGTTTAAGAGTATGCCAAAAAAAAAACCAGATTGCCATTATTATGGAGAGCAATGATTTAGCATCTGAATTATAGTCTATTATATTAATGTAATACATTGATTCGTTAATTCTAATCCTTCTTCAAAGACAAAGGAACATAAAAGGGGATGGGGAAAAAGGTCATTTCATGGGCGAAACAGAAATGTAGCCTACTACGTCTAATAATAACAACTCGGTATATAACAGAATGCGCGAGAACATTCTACATAGAATAGGACTGTAGCCTCGCTAAGGGTATTTTCAACAGAGCTTAAAACCAGCACAGATCCCACACGGATATAGAAACTGTCCAGTGCCTGAAGCCAAACAGGCTCTAAATGCACCACACACACATTCTCATTCACAGCATGCAGATTTAAAGCCCCATTGTACTGTGGGCTCCCAGTGCGCCGCCGCGCTACCTCTATTGTTGTTATTATATTAATTCAACAGTATTGTTCTGTTCAGACGGATTTTGTAGTTGAACACCAGGTGTGGACCGGTCCAGCTGGTCTTATCACTCACCCACTTGCAGCGCGTTGTCCACACAGCCGCTTTCGAGCAGCGCGACCCCCCGCGGAAACGGCAGCCGGGGTTCGTCGTCGCTGTCCGGGTTCGCTTCATCCCCGCAGCCGCTGAAAGACGAGTACATACATATCTCCCGTTCGCTCCTCGGGAAAGACCAGTACACAATCCTCCTCTGAACGGGCTCTGGGATCCGCTCGAAGCGCTCCTCCACCCGCTGAAAGGGCCACTTCTCTGCCACTTTCCGCGCCGCGATGTCGAGCAGAGTCTCGGGGCTTCTGGCTCCGGAGCCGCCCGCGACAGAGCCGTCTCCCCGCGGAGCTCCTCGAAATGTACCGCTGTAGCCGTGTCTGCAGCACAGCCGCTTTCCCGGGGGCTGCTGCGTGAGCTCCGCCATCATCAGCGCATATGAGCTCCGTTTAGACAAATGCACCTTTAAAGGAGAGCCAGGGTGGACCCGTGTCAAACCCCTTTGTTGACAAATGCAGTGTGAGGCGTGGCCTGTTCGGCTGGTTCCAGCTAAATGAAGGCTAATCCTTTGTGAGGCAGAGAGCCTTTCAATAAGAGCTGTCTCTGCCTGTCCTCCTCCCGCGCACAGTCACTGCAGGGCCCAGGACATGTCCAAGTCGGAGGGGCCGGGCGAGCTGCTTTGTCTGCGGCTGTCTGCGGCTGAAGCGCCTAAAGGCCCGCAGCTTGTGTGCGGCTCCTGTCAACACCAGGGCCTCGTGGTGTGGGGGGAGGTGCAGGGGGAGGTGCAGGGGGGAGGTGCAGCCGCCCGGGCCCGCCTCTGTGACGTTAAATGTCCACAGGAATGTGGGTCTTTGAAGATGTATGTCGAATCGAACTTAAAGCAGAATAAAGACCCCAAAACATCGCTGATGACAACATGTAGCTGTGTTATAAAACTGGAGCACGTCCCATCTATTCAGACTGGAGCTGCTACCAACAGACTGCTGCAGTCGAGGATAATATTATTCACAGCCTTCATGGTTTCCGGTTAAATTAAACAAAAGGAGAATTCACGATTGGCAAAGATGTGCGTCTGCGCAGGAATTAAGTAGTTAGTGTTTATCAATAAGCCTTGGTCTCAAATGGAAGTAAATGCACAATTTCAATAATGAATAGGCCCACGTTGTCTCTATAATGGATGACATATTCTGTGTAATAGTAACAAATCTGATGTCATTTGAAGTGTACAGAAGTAGTAGTATTTTTTGTGACAAAGGGTTGTGACATTGGATGAATGTATGTACACTTCTCCGACGACAAACATCAGCATTAGCACAATATGATTAAAACATGCATCTTAAATGTACCAACTCTCTCATACTGCTCTACTTATTGGATAAATAGGTTTACAGATGGTATAATTCAATATTCAATATTAAATTATATATGTATAGTATAATTTGAATTGATTTGTTTTATGTTCAACTGTGAAAGTTCCACCTACAAACACACTCATTCCTTGTCAATTCAGTGAAATTCAGTTTTTGCCCTAAATCACAACAATTAGGATTGGCAACCTTAACTGGGCCTAAACCCTAATTTCATCTTACTTTGACAAAGCAATGATAAATACATTGATTTAGGGCCCTGGGATTATATGCGTTGTACTTACTGTGTATCTGTGTTTGAGTTCATGTTGATGTGTGTGGAAATTGTGCAGGTTTGAAATAAATAATCTAATCTAATGTGCAATTGCTTGTCAAGAAAACAAACTGTTTGAGTTTGTTAAAATAATATACAATACTTTGGGAAGAAAAACTGCCTACATGTGATAATCTTGAGTAACCAGTATGATCTTGATTTGACGCAGACATGCATCATGGGTAGTATCCTCCAGTGAAGGCCCCGAGCTGAGCATCCACATCTGGACCCTGACAACTGCTCTACTGGGTCCAGTGGTCCGAGGACAACACTGGGTGTCAAACATGTGACATGTGTCGCGAGACCATTTTTACTGGGCTACAGAATCATTTTCAATAATTTTTATGAACTTGTAAGATGTTTTTATGTTATGCACCTGTTTTAGGCCAGAAATTACCACATCATTTCATGTATTTGAAAAAGAATTATTAAGAACTAAATGAAAATAAATCCATGGAAATTACGATGAAATCCATTGGAAGTAACATGCTATTGTCCTATTCTTACAGGATTGAAATATAATGGGGAAATCCAAAGTCAATAAAAGTAACAATCTGGTCAAAATACCAAGATAATTAAGAAGAAAAAAGTGTATACACATTTACATTATCTGTCATTAGCCATACCGGTAATAACAACATTTTCACAAAGAAATTAACAGTGTATTTTGGTTAAATTCAATTTATTTTTCCACAGCCCTAAATCACAACATCCGTCCTCTATGAGTACTTTAGAAAGGTGTCGATTTGCCATCAACAGATCAGAGAATCAAACGGTTCGAAAAGAGGAAATGCAGTATTAACACAGGAGCCATAGGGAGCAGGGCGACCAATGTCCATGAAGTTAATAAATATGGATAAATGTCCTGGGTCCTGGATTATCAGTGTTCACCTCCCCATCGGCCCCATCGGCCCCATCGGCCCCATCGGCCCCATCGGCCCCATCAGCCCCATCGGCCCCATCGGCAGGGGAAGACTCACACAAAAAGACAGTGGGAAAACCATCAGGAAACCTTTTATGCCCACATTGAGAAAGGGATCCTCAGATCTGAGTTCAATATTCTCATGTTTCTCTGGAGCATGTTGTTGTCCAATAAGTTTCTCTGTTTATTCTCTGACTATGTTCAGCATTTCCTTTACCCTAAACATTTTTCTGTTCATCGATGATCTATTGGATTCATGGGAATTTGTAACCTCATACATCTGACATTAGGATTAAGAAATCCTTTATTCATCCCACTGGGAAATTTCAATGTTGCATCACAAGTTACAGAAGAGTAGGAATAATAGAACACAACAATAAGTATAGCACAACTCTGTACTTAAAACAAATCTATTTCTTGCTTACTGCAGAAGCGAACTTTAAACTGTATAAACTAGAGCATGGGTGTCAAAGTCAAGGCCCGGGGGCCGGAACCGACCCGCAAGACAATTTTCAGACGCTCTTAAAATATTTTTTTATTTTATTCTAACTTGCAGCCTTGATGGTAAAGGGCGACTAAGGCAGGTTATACATAATCTATTTTCTCAGGAAAACAACCAAATGTAATGTATTGTAACACTTTAACCCAATAACACATCATTAGAAGGGAAATAGTTCAATATAAAATGTGTTTAACTTATTAGATCCAGTTTTGGTTCAATCTAAACAATAAACAACAATCAGAAAAATCAACCAGAATGAAACAGTGAAGTTCATGTCACAATAAATTCATGTTAAAATATCTTTGTGTGAGTTTGACACCTCTGATCTAGAGTCTGAAATATATACGTACATATATACTGAGATAATAGTAAGTCATTAGCTCTGAGGGTATGTTCACAGTACTGCACATGTTAGCAGCGCGAGGGTTTGGGCTTTAGGTAAAGTGACAGTGGACACATGTGTTCCTGTATGGCACATTCTATCGTTATTGCAGTTGTGGCAGATGTATGACATGTGAGCTCAGGTGGCGTGAGGACATGAGGAGTTATTAAAATAGACTTTGCTATAAGTATGAGTTAAAAAAATCATGGGGACTTTTGGAATGTAATGTAATGTAAGGTTTGCATTTGCATTAACCGCAGATGAGTTTAGTTCCTGTTTGTACATCTGCCTCTGCTGCTGTGACCTGTCCTGCTCCACCCAGCGGCGACTCCACCTCTGCTGCTGTGACCTTTCCTGCTCCACCCAGCGGCTTCTGCATCTCTGCTGCTATGACCTAAAGTGCTGTTGCATTTTATTCCTATGGTTAGCTACTTTTAGAATTGTGTATTTATTTGTTTTACTTGTATGGATGGATCTATGGACCTATCAATCTACCTATCTATCAATGAATCTATCTATCTATCTATCTATGTATAGTATGAGATTATAGTTTCAATACTGAGGGAGCATTTTGACACTTATGGGTTTTGTTAGTGATTGGACGTGAGCTTGTGTGTGGGTGTTTGAGCGCAGTTTTCACGTGTTTTTCTTTGTTAATCCTTTTGTATTATTTTGTTTCTTTATGTCTTTGTTGTTGTTTTCTTGTTTAAGCTTGTTTTCTTGGATTAAAACAAATCTATAGGCCCAAACACTGATCCTAAACAATAGCAGGATTTCTATGGACAGCAAGTGCCTGGTAATAATGCACCCTTCCAAGAATAATCGGTCCCTCGCCCCACACTCACCATAGCATCTTTTCACCGTGCACCTTCATTTGCATCCTCATCAGTATGCATGGAATTTCTGTCTGAACTCTAATACCCTAACTGCTGCATAATACACTTTAATGACCACAAAAGTGAGCATGACAATTAAAACATGAATTAATCACAAGATAAGGAGCGCTGGTGGTGGAAGTGGGGTTTGGGCACAAGAGGAATATTGAAATGGCAACCGCTAAGCCTTCGGAGCTGTGGGCCAATATGGAATGAGGAGGAGCCACGCAGGTAGCAGAGATAAAGAGGCATCAGATCCTATAGCTGGAGGCAGAAGACGGATGGGTTTTATATATTAGTAAGTATTATCGTTTGCCCTTTTTGTCACTGCTATAATCTCTCACATTCTCTACAATCAGCAAAACCCATTCACAATTTACAGTTAGTGCATGATCTTGTTTCTTTCCAGTGAAGGTCAGAGGCATGATCTATTTGTACCTTGCGTGTGACCTTCATGCATTTAAATCCGTTTAGAAAATATTAAATTATGTACAAGGTGTGATAGTTGGCAGATAGAAGCCCAAAACAGAGATTAAGATTAAGAGTTCCTTTATTCATCCCACAGTGGGGAAATTTCAGTGTTTCATCGCAAATTACAGAACAGTAGGAATGAGTATTGCACAAAGCACAAGATAAATGAACTCTATATACTTAGAAAATAAAATCTGAAGAAGAAGCAAGTATAAAATCTCTATCTTTAGCATAAATAAAGAAGCAAGTAATGTATATTCTAGTGCAAGTAATTTATAGTTGCATGTTTACATCTGTACATGCTAGCAGCAGGGTATGGGACAAAGTGACTGGTAGAGCAACAGGAGACTGTCACGGGGTGAGCTGAGTGAGGACTCAAATGCAGGAGTGCCAACATAAAGCTTTTAATAAAACAAAGTCCAAGGCAAAAAACAAACTCCAGAAATCCAAAGTAACCAGGACAGAACATGACAAAACAATGAAGCAGCAACAAGGGGAGAGAAGCAAAGGGTACATATAGACACAGACACAGGTGAAACACATCAGGGCGGGGCAGACAATCAAGACAGGGGAAAACAGCACTGGAAGTCAAACTGAAAAAAAACCACAGAACTCATTTCAAAATAAAAGCAAAATACACAATCAAAAGCCACACCATGACAGTACCCCCCCTCCAAGGGACAGCTCCCAGATGTCCCTAAAAACAAACACGAGCCAGGGAGGGTGGCGGGGGTCTGGAGGATGGGCCAGAGACAGGTCAGTAGTACGGAACCGATCAGGGACAGGAGCTGAAGTCCAGTGGCAACCTTCCCGAGGGTCTGGAGAGTAAGGAGCTGGCTCACCCCGGACGAAGACATATGCCCGGCGGTGACTCAGGCTGGGGGCAGAACCACCCCAGACGAAGGTAATGTCTGGCGGCGGCAAGAGACAAGGGAAGGACAGGTCACCGTAGAACAGCAGACTGAGGGTGTGAAAACCGGTGCAGAACTCCACTGGATACCTCTCAGTAGGACGGGCAGAGGGAACAGAGGACCACCCCGGACGGACATCAATGCCCGGCGGTGGTGCAAGACGAATAACCACCCCAGGCGGAGTTTCTTGCCTGGCGGTGGTTCCAGGTAACAGGTGCAAGAGGTAGGCAGTGAGGAAGGCAATCGGCACACAAAAAAAAAAAACTTGTGGGAAAAAAGGCAATCCGCTGAGTCCATTAGTGGCTGCTTCATTCTGTCACGGGGTGAGCTGAGTGAGGACTCAAATGCAGGAGTGCCAACATAAAGCTTTTAATAAAACAAAGTCCAAGGCAAAAAACAAACTCCAGAAATCCAAAGTAACCAGGACAGAACATGACAAAACAATGAAGCAGCAACAAGGGAAGAGAAGCAAAGGGTACATATAGACACAGACACAGGTGAAACACATCAGGGTTTCACACCAAAAAAGCCACACCATGACAGAGACTGAAGTTTAACAAGTTTATTTAAAGCCGACATAGCTGGAGTGTAGAAGGGAGAGACCAAGAGCTGACTGGAGATGCAGGGACGGGACACAACCGGATCTGAAGAGACGAGGAGCCTGCTGCTCCTCGTCTCTTCAGGTCTGGTTGTGATTTGTAAGTATCATGAAATCCACATAATGCATTGGTTTTATTTAGCACCTTTTCTGTCACTGCTGCCCTGAGGCGCACTGACAGATGCATGGCAACCAGTATGTGCCAACTCTGACTACCACCCATCATTCACGCACACACCAGGCTCATACAAGATAAAAGATCCTTTATTCATCCCACAATGTCCCACATATATGACAGTATAAAGAGCACACATAAAATAGAGAGATAACATTTCTGTGAATTTTTCTAAACCAGCTGTAAATGCCTTATATCTATCTATCTATCGTGGACACTCTGAAATTGCAGTATTGCTCATGATTGCAGTATTTCCTATTTACACATACGATGAAATGTCAATGAGGGTGATGACAGGCAATGAGGGTGAAGTGTCTTGCCCAACGATACAAAGACAATATGCCACTTTAGAGCCACAGCCGTCCCACTGCGGCACCTGGTGTTGCCGACGTCTCCCATTAAAGTACCAACAAGGCCCTGCGCTGCTTAGCTTCAGAGGTCTGACTTTCACATGGAGGGGGCACCACAACAAATAATACAAGATCCTAAAAACACAAGAGCGGAAAACATTGCCGACTGGGACTGAATTATCTGTGAGGAAGAGAATGTGTGCCTCGTCTGCAGCACAGGTGAATCTGGCCACGCCCCCTGCCACACACATGCCCCAAACAGGAGGGGAGGGGGAGCACAAAAACACATGGATGGTAGTCTTTTTTTTTTTTTTAAGATGATAAATTGTAAATAAAGTTGTAAATACATTTTGTAAATATATCGACACATGGTGAATGCTGGTAAAATAAACATATGTATATGTTTGTGTATATCTATGGAGGTGTGTGTATTATATTTCTTAAAAGGAATGGATGAAAGTGACTATTTTTGCTCAAATGGATAAATAAATGAAAATAATAAAAAATGCTAATCAAAAATATTGTTTATAGTTTTGCCTTTTGATTTTCTGCTCGACTCAAAAATAATTATTATATACAATTCAAGGTCCACTACAAGGTTATAGTTTGTTCAAATACTGAATTAAAAAGCCTTAACTTCTTCCTTAACTTTTTTCATGATTTTAATGTATTTTATTGTTTTTTTTATTGTGTTTTTATCTTTTAACTCCTATATCCTATATTTGTATGTTTGTATGATTGCGAGCAAGGGACCAATGCCCAATTTCCTTTTTGGATCAATAAAGTATATATCATCATCATCATCATCATCAACTATTAGGAATCAACAGGAGAGAAGGTTCAAAGACAGTTTTGCGAGGGGAAATACCGTGTTACAATTTGTAACAAGGTATTGAATGTGAAATGAATGAATGTCTAGCCAGTTTATTCAGACAATATAGCCAGTTAGCTTGAATTAAGACTTGTATATACTTCATTTCAAGCTGGGACATCAAACTTATTTTCTTCATAAATACAGGTCATCTTTTTGAAGTAAAATGTTCACAACAGAAATCAGATCACGACATGCTGAATTAATCTTATTATTAACATTATCTTTTGCATACGTGTAAGAAAAAGCACGCGATTCACTCTATTTCACTTTTTATTGTCTGAAAAAGCTGATCCTCATGTGACAGAGACCAGAAATACCTGCATGTGAAAACTAGAGAAAGAACCAACATATTTCTGTTCTAATCAAAACAAACTAGATACATGGATTTTATTACATAGTTCAACTCTATTGTGGTTTGAATGTTAGGTACCCCAACTTTAGCCTGATTATGGACTGTAATTAAGAAAGAATCACCAGAAGATAACAATCAACAAGATAAGTGAACTGACAGAGACAAAATAAATCATTATGCCTTCTTTTATGTTTAAGGATTAGACGGTTCTTTTAATTGGACACCTTAAAACAGGGGTGTTCAAACTTTTTAGTAAGAGGGCCGCTTTAGTTCACCAGACTTGTCCAGGGGCAGACAACCCAGATTGTAAAACTGTTCACAGTGGTATATGGTATTTGCATGTAGTACATTTCCCTTTTGGTCAGTCTTCTGATTCTGTTTCGAATTTGTCTTTTAGTGTTCTGTGAAGTAAAACATTTGGTATAGAAGTTAGAAATCTCTCTTTTTGCAACTTATGTAAAGTCTGAATTATGTGTCTGTCTATACATATACTAAACAACTGCATTCTAAACGAGGTAAAACATGTCTATATTGGTAGAGCTGAAGTTGGCTGGATGACACCGTGAACTTGTGTTTATGAGCTCTAGGACTACTGCTAGCAAGACAGAGGGCCGTATTTGGACACGCCTGCCTTTTTTTGTATTATGCAAATTATGTTTTCCATGCGCCTGTCCTCATTAATATGTATTTCTTGAATTATAATGTACCTCTAAGACCCTGGGCTTGAATGGACTCCACGCACTTGGTCAACAGTTGCATAGTGGTCAGTTTGATCATTTCTCTGCTGATGGAGGAAACGTGTTCATACCTCCCTAATCCTCAAAAACATGTGTGATTGAGGCCCATCTGATCCAGAGCATGTGTAAAGTTGAAATAGATCCTGTGGTAGTTTCACTAAAGACCAGAGGGACCACTGTTCAGAAGAATTAGGAAGAAGAGAAGAAGAAGACAGGACGGGCTTCTGCTGCTCTAAATAATACAGCACCATCAGCAAACAAAACCATCGGTGTAACCAGGGGCGATAGAGCCAGAAGATAGTGTGCGATTCTTAAATAACAGATGAGTGTATACATCTAATTCATGAATGATTGATGCAGCCCAAATGCATGATGGTGCAAAACTATAATGCACAACTCACACAAAAAATACAATTTAAGTTTATTTCAAATGGACCTTGTAGATTACATTTTAAAGATGAGAAACATTACAATATTCAAATGTATTAATATTTGGAGAATAAACAATTATTTCATAATTACTGACAGAACACAAGGAAATCCTTGCCAGCCTTTTAACTCCCTCCATATCCTGCGTCTGCCTCCTCCTCCTGATCATGACAAAGCATCTTGCAAAGACACCGCCAGTTTATGTTGAACAGCTAGATAATTATTCACTTATCGTGGCAGTGAAAAGATATATCAAAGATTATCATCTGTCCTGCGGCACAGCTAAGAATGAGATTATGCAATATTTGATGTTGATAATTATGTAAAAAGAATCATACAGTATGTGTTTGTGCAGTGAAACCAATCAATCAACAATCCACAGGGAAGTGTTTAAGCTTCATGGCGCAGTGTGTACCTGTTCATCTCAGCTGTAGCTGGACCTGACTTTGATGAATGTGGTGGATGAAAACCAACATCATTTGCATGAAACGCCCAGAGCCACGATGAGGGTGCGTCAGCGCCACCTACTCTGGGAGATGCAGGACTGCAAAGTCCGAGGCCGCGGCCACTGTATCAATAATAGGCACAATCTTACCATAATAAAAGAGCGATTTTATTGTCCTGATGATAAACGGTCACTGATAAAATACTGTGCACCTGTTCTTAGATATTTAGGGCCTAACTAACTTATTTTTGGACTATTAAATGTCTTTGTAAATTAGAAGATTAAAGGTTTGTGCTGCTCCCAGGGAAATTCTTCTCTGCCAAAGTGACCATAACAGGATGTGGCCTGGTAAATGGGTCTTTTTAGATCCAAGTCCCTTCAGAACAGAAGAAATATAGATGTTATCAAATACTACACTGTGAAACATATTACATTTAACTTACTTTACAATCACTCCTGGTCTCAAGTCAAAGTTCTTTTGTACAATTTGAAGCAACTCATCTTCATCTCTGGTTGATGTGCCGTAGTGAAACACAGAGATGGAAAGTGGATGGCTGACACCAATGGCATATGAGATCTAAAAGATACACATTCAGATTAGCATGAAACGAATAAACTAATACTAACTAATACTAACTAATACTCACACATATGAACTGTACCTGGACAAGGGCTCGTCTGCACAGTCCCGCTTTCACCAAAGACTTAGCGACCCAGCGAGCAGCATATGCTCCAGAGCGGTCCACTTTTGAATAGTCTTTTCCGGAGAAAGCCCCTCCTCCGTGACCACCCCAGCCTCCATAAGTGTCAACAATGATTTTACGTCCGGTGAGGCCTGCATCAGCCTGTGTTTCAGAATCACAAAGGTTACAGCATGCAACAAACACACAAACATCTAAAATACCTGTGGTCCACCATAAAGGAACATTCCACTCGGAAGGAGATGGTAGATGGTCTTGTCATCGAGATACTTGTCAGGAATGACAACTTTCACCACCTTCTTCATCAGCTGGTGCCTGATCTCCTCGAGTGCGATGTCAGGACTGTGTTGCACTGAGATTACCACTGTGTGAACTCGCTGTGGCTCCATGGCCCCCATGTTGTCTTTATATTCCACAGTCACCTGTAATTGTAGCCTTTGAAAGCAATCTTCCAAATATAGCAAAATAGCACATCACTTAAAATAGATTTCAACATTATCTCTGGGAATAACTTCTCAGACATACTCCGTGCATCGGTTCATTTCAATGGGAAATTATGTTGCTTGAATTCATGAGTGACAAATCCTTTTACTTTTAATCCTCATTTTTAACAAATAAATGTTGTCCAAATGAATGAATACAGGTGGAGGTGGTTAACCTAGCCTGGCCTTAGCCATCCGTACACTCCACTCAATCATCATTTCACTGCATGTAACGTCTGGGTCTAGTTAGCGATTACAATCGGTTGAATTTCGACCGACCATTCAGAGAGTGCGGAAGGCAGGTGTTGTTGTTAGTTGTGGATGACGTCAAGAGTTTGCGTCAAATGGGAAGGTTGTAGTTTGGCAATGGCGAAAAATGCAATAGTAAAGTAATCGGGTCTGGTTCTATCAAGAAATGGAAGCCGGAGCAAGAGGAATGTTTAGCAAATGTAATCGCTAGAATAAATTGTGGCGCTACTTCCCACGGGCTCCGTTAGCGGCAAAGGAGATGACTAGGCCAAATGCTAACAACAGACTCGGGCGCATTACATACATCACGGTAAACTCAGATCCAATCGTTCCAATCTGCAAAAGGAGGCTATTCAATATACCCAGATCAACTTTGAACAGAGAACAATATGATGCTATAAAAGGAGAGCAGTGGAGGGGGTGCCAGAAGAACCACGACAACTGACATACAGGACCTAACAAGGAAGTCATGCAAAATGCAATAATCCACAAAGTGATTAGAGAAACATTTAACCTACTCTTATTTAGCTACAGAAGAGTGATATGTAAAGAGTGTTTTATCAAACAGTATTATAAAGTGTTACCTATATATTTTGTATTATTCCATCATATGCCTTTTAGCCCTTTTGTTTATACATTTCCTCCATGCAGCTGACCTGGGATTTGGAGTCAGGTAGTATCCAAGGACATTCTCCACTTTGAGACAGCTCCCTCATCTTGAAGTTGAGTTTGTGAGCCAGGAGTATGGTCAAAGGCATGCACTCTGCTGTTTCATCTGTGGCATATCCAAACATTAGACCCTGTAAGGCAACACTCATGTGAATAAGATACTTACTTAGACAAAATAGTTAATTTATTTAAGTTATTAAATAGTTAAGTTAGTTATTTAATTAACCTGGTCACCAGCACCAATGTCCTCTTGGTTTCTGCCTTCAAAAACACAGTCTGAGATTTCCACACATTGTGGCTCAAGTGCCACCAGCACGTTACAAGTCTTATAGTCAAATCCTGCAATTTGAGACAAATCAACAAATGATCCAGGAAATAGGACAATTTTGCATCTTTCTGTGCATGCTGTTCCAGGTCAGAGGTGATCCATCCCCAGCTCGCATCCAACTCTGTGGTGAGACCCAAGTGTGGCACATAAATGTAATGTTGAATGATAGTGAACATGTGGGATTAATGTCTCAAGACTTTACTGCTCAAAACAATGCATTTAAAACGAACTGGGCCGAGCATTTTCTTAAAAACCAGCCGTTACAAATGTTCATGTAAAGTCTGTGATGTGATCATGGATCATACATAATACTTACAAAAACTACAATCTTTTAGAAACTGAAATAGGGAAACGAAACGTCTAGCACTTTGTAAGAATCACACTACAAATAGTTGTAAAAAGTTTCAGATGTATCACAAAATACATAAAAGGAAACTATACAGGATGTGCTCTTACTCCACCACATTCTGGAAGGACTTACTGTAAGTAAATGTGTTACAAAATGTTAATGTTTTATTTTGGTTTTTAGAAGGAAAACTTATTTTTATTTCTATTTAATCACAAATGTAAATTTATGAATGTTCAGAAATAGTTCGAAACAAAATAGATATACAGTGCATCCGGAAAGTATTCCATCACTTTCGAAATATTGTTACGTTACAGCTTCATTCCAAAAAAGATTCACTCTTTTTTCTTCACATTGTACACACAACCCCCCATAATGACAACATGAAAAAAGTTTTTAGATTCTTGCAAATTTATTAAAAATAAAGAAAAAAAGAAACCACTTGTAATAAAGTATTCACAGCCTTTGCTTGATACTTTGTTGATGCACCTTTGGCAGCAATTACAGCCTCAAGGTCTTTTTGGACTATGATGCCACAAGCATGGCAGCACCTGTCTTTGGTTTTGCCCATTCCTCTTGCCGGACCTCTCAAGCTCCATCAAGTTGGGATGGGGCTTCAGTAAGTGTCGGATGCACAGCCCATTGTCAGATCTCTCCAGAGAGTTCAATTGGATTCAAGTCTGGGCTCTGGGCCACTCACGGACATTGCAACAGAGTTGTCCTGAAGCCACTTCTCTGTTATCTTGGTCTGAGTGCTTAGGGGTCTCGTATGTCCTGCAGACCGAAGAAACGTTTCGCCTAGTCTGAAGGTAAGAGCGCTCAGGAGGCAGGATTTCATCAGGATGTCTCTGTACAGTACATTGCTGCATCTTTCCCTCTATCTTGACTAGAAGTCCCAGTTTCCTGCCGCTGAAAAACATCCCACCGCCATGATGCTGACCACCCCAACGCTTCACTGTAGGGATGGTATTGGCTTGTTTGATGAGCAGTCTGGTTCCTCCCCAATCCTTGACTACGCCCATACTCCCTCGATCGCTCAGTTTAGGATGGCGGCCAGCTTGGGAGAGTCCTGGTGGTTCCAAAACTTCTTCCATTTACAGGATGATGGGGAGGCCATGTGCTCATTGGGACCTTCTAAGCTAGCAAATTTTTTATCTGGTACCCTTCCCCAGACTTGTGCCTCGAGCCCATCCTGTATTGCGGAGCTCTACAGACCATTCCTGTTGATTCATGCTTCGGTTTGTGCTTCTGGGACATGCATTGTCAGCTGATGGGACCTTATACATAACAGGTGTGTGACTTCCAAATCAACGGCAACATCAACTGAATTTTACCACAGGGGGACTCCAATGAAGCAGTAGAAGCATCTCAAAGGATGACTCCGTGGAAGCAGGCTGCACCCTGAGCTCAATTTTGAGCTTCCTGGCAAGGCAGTGGCTCTAACCTTATGTACATGTGATTTATCCATTTTTCTTCCCCTTAATCCATTTCTGGGTTGGGGGGGGTGGCAGTCAGAGCTCCACCCAGTACACAGAGCACCAGCCCCTCACTGATCCTCCTGCACGTGGTGAGTTCCACAGGAGCACGTGGGTTAAAACGGTCTTGTCTGTCTGTGTGTATCTGCTTCATCTTCATTATTGTCCCCCCTGTGTCTGTTTTGTTATTCATTCAGCGTGTAATCTGTTGTGCAAGGTTTTAATTATTTTGTGTCTGGTTTTCTTGGAACCTGGAAAAACGGCTGACAATTTTGCAGTTATGCTAAGTCCGCCGTTTATTTACACTGATCGCTTAAGGGCCTTCAATGGTTGATTGAAGGCTGCAATATACCATTTGTCTTTAAATGTTTAATGACTACACACTCACTGGCTGTAGTCTTTTCGTATCAATCAATCAATCAAAGTTTATTTGTAGAGCGCCTTTCATACACAGGGCAACACAAAGCGCTTCACAGTCCACATCACAAATCATCACATAAAACAAACACCAGAATCACAATTAAAACATTAAAATCGCACAAAAGATTAAAACACAATTAAAACATTAAAATCACACAAAAGAATATAACCATTAAAACTTTCAAAATTACACAAGAAATTTAAACAAATAAATAAATGACAGCAGTGCATTAGAAATGGAGATAAAATCCTTCAGTTGTATGCACAGGCAAACAGAACAGTCTTTAACCTGGATTTGAACATTGACAGAGTAGACGCCTCCCTCACATTTTCAGGGAGATTGTTCCAGATCTTAGCTGCATAGATCTGAAACGCAGCCTCCCCATGTTTGGTTCTCACTCTGGGCACCAGCAGGAGGCCAGTCCCTGTGCTCCTCAGAGTCCGGGCCGGTTCATATGACACCAACATGTCACTAATGTATTCTGGTGCAAGGCCATGGAGAGACTTGTACACAAGCAGAGCTGTTTTAAAATCTATTCTTTGAGCCACAGGAAGCCAGTGCAGAGACCTGAGGACCGGACTAATATGGTCATACTTCCTGGTTCCTGTCAGGACTCTAGCTGCTGCATTTTGGATGTACTGCAGCTGCTTACAGGTCTGTTTGGACAGACCTGTAAGCAGGCCATTGCAGTAGTCTAGCCTGCTGGAGACAAATGCATGGACAAGAATCTCCAAGTCTGCCCTGGACACTATATTTCTAACTTTGGCAATGTTCTTCAGATGGTAAAAAGCTGTTGATGTTATTGATTTTATGTGGCTATTGAAATTTAGGTCTGAGTCCAGTATTACCCCCAAATTTCTGACCTTGTCTGAAGGAAGTAGGGAGAGAGACTGAAGTTGACAAATGACGCCCTCTCTTTGTTTCTGGGGACCAAAGACAATGATTTTGGTTTTGTCTGCATTTAGCTGGAGGAAATTATTTTGCATCCAGTCACTGATCTGTTGGATACAGTGAAGGAGCAAATCCAGTGGTCCATGTTCTCCTGCAGTCAGTGAGACATAGATCTGAGTGTCGTCGGCGTAATTGTGGTAGGACACTTTGTTTCTTTGTATTAACTGACCTAACGGCAGCATGTAGAGATTAAATAGGAGAGGTCCCAGGATCGACCCCTGTGGTACTCCACAGGTCAGGGCCACATGATCTGAGACGCAGTCTCCAATCTCCACAAAGTACTTCCTATCCTCCAGGTAAGACCTAAACCAGTCTAGGGCTGTGCCAGTGACACCAACCCAGTCCTCCAGTCTCTGCATGAGGATCTCATGGTCGACAGTGTCGAACGCGGCACTAAGATCTAACATGACCAAAACTGTGACTTTACCTGCATCAGTGTGAAGTCGAATGTCGTTTGTTACCTTCACTAGAGCGGTCTCAGTACTGTGGTGGGGTCTAAACCCAGACTGGAACATATCAAAAGAATTATTCATTGTTAAAAATTCAGTAAGTTGTTGGGAGGCCACTTTTTCAAGAATTTTTCCAATGAATGGTAGATTCGATATGGGGCGATAATTTTGAAGTCCCGCAGGATCCAGACTGCTCTTTTTTAGGAGAGGTCTTATGACTGCTGTTTTTAGGGCCATAGGAAATGTTCCTGACGACAGAGACATGTTTACTATTTGTGTCAGTGAAGGTAACAAACTGCTCAGGACGGACTTCAGAAATTTAGAGGGCAATATATCCAGGCTACATGTGGAGGAGCTCAGACTCATGATTATCTTTTTGACAGTTTCAGTATCCACAGGTGCAAAGTGAGTTAGCTCAACAAGCTTCTCTGGCTGTTGCATTGTTATACGTGCTGTGGAGGTGATAGTGTTTTTGATTCCTTGTACTTTGTCATCGAAAAACTGTGCGAACTCATTACACCTAGATTTAGAGGAAAATTCTAGGGGCAACTTTACAGGGGGGTTCGTTAATCTACCAACTGTTGCAAACATAACACGAAAATTGTTACTGCAACCTCCAATAATGTCAGAAAAAATACATTTCTCTTGTTCTACGTAGAACCCGGTTAAATTCACCCAACTCATCTTTAAAGATTTCATAATCGCCCTGGAAATTGGACTTTCGCCACTTCCGTTCGGCCCTCCGGCACTCTTGCTTCTGTGCCCTGACCGAGTCTGCCTTAGTCCATGGGGCCTTTTTCTTACTGGTAACTATTTTAACCGTCACAGGAGCAATGGCGTCCAGAACAGTCAGAACACTGGTGGTGACAGAGTTATACAATTCATCAACAGTAGAGCATGGAGTTTTCTCAAAATTTAGCATTCCCATGAACAGTTCACTTGTGTTTTCATGTATGTGTCTTCTTCTAACAATTGTAAATTCAGCTGGTGGTTTGCTAGCAAAACACATGTCAAAAAATACACAAAAATGATCTGACAAAGCAACATCAACTACATTAACATTTGATACATTAACCCCCTTTGTAATTAGCAGGTCAAGAGTGTGCCCCCTGCTGTGGGTGGGGCCACTCACGTGCTGAATGAAACCAAAGGTCTCAAATACAGAAGCCAGCTCCTTTGCATTTCTGTCATCAACATTATCAACATGTACATTAAAATCACCTGTAATAACTAAACTATCAAAATCTGTGCACACGAATGAAAGTAGTTCAGTAAAATGGTCAATAAAATCGCAACATGACTGTGGTGGCCTGTACAGGACAATGAAAAGAGTAGAAGATTGCTTTTGTTCCATTTTAAAAGAAATATACTCAAACGATGAAAAATTTCCAAGGGGCATTCTATGGGAGACAAAGTGCTCTCTAAAAACTGCAGCTATGCCTCCCCCCCTTTTGTTTTCTCGTACTTCGGATTCGAATTTAAAATTGGGTGGTGTTGCTTCTATTAGAACTGCATTTCCTGTATTTTGGTCCAGCCATGTTTCAGCCATAAGCATAAAATCAAGATCATAAGAAGTGATAAAATTATTAATTAAAAATGATTTGTTACATAGAGATCTGACATTAAGCATAGCAAGTTTAAAAATAACGTCAGAGTCGATTAATGTGGTTGATTGATTTCTACAGGGAACAGAAATTAGATTTGCAGAGTTGGACCGTCTAACTGCTGTCCTGTTTTGATTTCGTTTTTTAGAATTTAAAAACATTTTTGAGCTGGTGCGAGGAACACACACAGTCTCAATTGGCCTAAAATGTGAAAACCCTTGTTGTTCTTTAGCTCCCAGAATCAGAAGGGAGTCAGCACAGTTCAGTGTTTGGACTGGTAATACACTGCCAGACGGACAGGGAGCAGTGTTTGCACCGTTGTACTCACCCGGTGCTGGTGAGCAGGAGGCGGGGGAGTGCGGTGGGGTCCGAGGGGGCTCAGATGTAAACAGTCACGCCCCCCTCGGGGAACGCTGAACAACGTAACGCATGTAGTCCATCAACAGGCTGCTACCGTATATGTTTGGGTGTAATCCGTCTGGACGATAGGCTTCGTAACGTTTCCAGAAAAGGGCAAAGTTATTCACAAAGACAAAGTTAAAAGAGCTGCATGTAGCCTGGAGCCACATATGCAGCGCCACAACACGACTGTAGAGGCAGTCGCCTCTGCTTACAGTCGGGATTGGACCAGAAATAAAAACAGATAGTCCGGAGGATTGAAGGAGGTGGAACAGATCCATAAAATGTTTCTTCGTGACTTCTGACTGCTGAAGTTTCATGTCGTTAATTCCCACATGCACGACTACCTTGGAAACGGTATCAGGCAGGGACTGAAGCAGAGGAGGGAGACGTATGAGCAGGTCTGGTACAGTAGCTCCGGGAATACAGCGAGTGACCGCGTTAAAAAAGCGGACGTGTCTCACAATGGAATCTCCAATAATCAGAGTGGTCGGGGCGAAGAGTGGACGTGGACGCGGCCTCGGAGAAGGAGCTCGGTGGACGGAACCAGCGGGTTCACCCGAAGCAGGACCCGAGTATACAATTTGTACACATGATAAATTTGTGCGAAAAAACAAAACAATGTGAGGTTACTTGATTCCACTCACTAATACTATGATGATAAGTCTTCTGTGTGCTCAAACCCTGTATCCGCCAGACCATCCTTGGCCCTAGTTCTAACCGGGCCGAGCTGGTACTTAACTGTCCGAACTGACAGTGATTGGCTGGAGTGCTACAGGAATTGGTTACCTTGGCTACTAAGGAATTTCCCTGGATACTGGTTTGTTGCGGGTGATTGATACGGTATCAAACACTAAAGTGTATTGGAAACACAACCAGAGTAGAACCGAGTAGAGTAGGGGCAAGTAGGGCTGGTGGAAACAGGGCTTTAGTCATTTTATGTCCAGCTTTGGTACAGCCTGCACTGAAGAATACAAACCTGCATAAATCTGTGTGAATCCTCTAAGAGTTTGATGGTTCGATGTCAACCTGGGGACAGGTGGACTCTGACCCAGAACACCTGTTGACTATTTAGCTTATGGTTGCTTGAACATGCTGCACCTTTGGATGAGCCATCATAGCCGATCTTCTTCACGGTGTTTCGGACAACAGACTGAAGATCTACGGTGGCTTTAGATGTAACTTCACCAACCAATAAAATCATGCCAGTCTTTGCAACACATTCTGTCAGAAAAAAAAAAACCCAAAAATTGCACATGGTTTGAATGAATGTAAAGCAAGTACAAAAACACATTATCAAATAATATAAATGATTCAGGGATTGATAATAAAGAATCAAACGTACCACAGGCCACTTTAGAGTCAGGGTCCTTACTTAAATATGCATCAAGTACAGCATCACTAATTTGATCACACATCTTATCTGTGAAAAAGAAAAAAGTTAAAAAAAAATATTAGAGGGGGAAAAAGATTAGACATGCTGAAGAAGATGACATAGTCTGGGATCGCGTCTTTCATTCAGACAGAAGACATGTTTTATTGTCAATGGTAGAGACAGCACGATCAAAGCACACGATCACAGATACAAGAGAATGCAAGTGTATTATACAGAGCAGAGGCATGGAGACCTCCAATCAGCAGCTTCCACGGTGTGCTTGTAGCTTGGCCTTCAGATAGACAAAACAAGGGAAAAGTACTGGCTTTTGCACATTGATAGAATGATGAGTTTAACTTTAACAAAAGTTTCTTCAAAGTGTTATGAAATCTCACATTCCCCCCTCTGGTCATACATTCACGTGTGACCATCAGGATCGATAAACAGCAACATAACATCATATCTCAATACTTCAAAAACTCATAAACTCGGTACTTCACTCGGTACCTCAAAAAACTCAGAACTCGGAATACTTCAAAAACTCAGAAAACTCATAAAACATTTTCAGATCTTTCATAAAACTTGTCAACAATCTTCAGTAAAATACCAAACTTTATCAGTCGATGGTGATTCCAGATATTGCTTTGAAAACAGTCTCTCCCACTTCTCCGTGTTGATTTTTTCAGGCTGCATTTGTTGTGTCGAGCCATGAATTCTTCTGTGACGTGTCTTTCAATCACACGTTTCAGCTTCAGTGTCCAGATTCAGCAATCCAATTCAGTCCAAATTATGTCCAAATTCAGAAATCCAATTGTTCCAAATGATGTCCATGCAAAAGAGGACGCTGGTCTTGTCCATATCTCAGCAGCTCACAGCCTGACTGGAATCAGGGGCTGTGCAGATTGTCCATGTGCTGATCCAGATGCATGGTTTCTCTTGAGGTTTCTCAGTTTTGGCTTAAAAAAAAAACACTTTTTGTGTAAAAAAAAAAAAAGTCTTCTGTTCTCTAGATGTTACAGACAAGGCCCGCATCCTTCCACCACCTGAAGAAGATGACATAGTCTGGGATCGCGTCTTTCATTCAGACAGAAGACATGTTTTATTGTCAATGGTAGAGACAGCACGATCAAAGCACACGATCACAGATACAAGAGAATGCAAGTGTATTATACAGAGCGGAGGCATGGAGACCTCCAATCAGCAGCTGCCACGGTGTGCTTGTAGCTTGGCCTTCAGATAGACAAAACAAGGGAAAAGTACTGGCTTCTGCACATTGATAGAATGATGAGTTTAACTTTAACAAAAGTTGCTTCAAAGTGTTATGAAATCTCACAATGCCTTTATATCTATTTTACTATTTTATTACTTGTTTGTTCACAGTTTCTATTGAATTAAATGCAGTTCAATGTCTTCTCTGCCTACAGCCATGAAGCAAAAGAAGGAGATTTATTTTTGTAACCATATGGCCCTGCATGAGCAGCCACATGGTATTATGACGGAGCAACACATATGGTTTGAGCTCTAGACTATTACATAAAATCCCATTCAAATGATCAATGCTTCAAAGACAATAAAATCATCATCCACCTGAATGTCCTTCTCCCACAGACTCCGAGGTGAAGAGGAAGTTCTTCTTGCCTGATGTTTTTGGGTCCATCTTTGAAACTTTGCAGAAACAAAACAGTGTTGATCAAATATCATTAAACGTATCCAAAAGTCTCTGCATATATTGCTTTTTACAAGACAGTGGAGAGTGTCGACGCTGCAGTGTGAACGTACATACAAAAAACTGTGCGTTAAAGCCGTCAAGAAGAGAGGTTTGAGGCGCTCTGTGAAAAGATAGAATAAAAGTCAATTATTGTTTTACATGGGACGGGCCAATGTTTCGTCTTTGTCAGGGCAGAAGTTCAAAAGCCAGTTGCCTTTTATAGCCTGCTATGCCATGTGATTAAAACACGTTATATAACAATTGCCTAAATCATCAGAGCGCTAAAACACACAGAGTACTATTATCCATTTGTAATAACACTGCATCAATAGAACAGAGAGAACATGCATCAACAACAGAAAAGACCACGAGGATTTGAGAAAAAGGAGACAAAAGACAATTTCCTTGTTTCCAAAATGTTTCTCTTTAAAGATTTTGATGCTTTTGACTTCAATGCATTGTATAAAACATTTCACAACAAGACTTGACATGGCTTACTGCTGATGAAAACAGGATGAGGAAATGAAGTAGAGGAGGCCAACAGACGACACCTCCCTTATTGCCTTGCAAATATCTGCGCCTACAGCAGACGCAGCACTTTGCTCTCTATCGGTCCAGTTCTTCTGCACTTCACAGCGGGGGGTAAGTAGGCCTCTTCTCAACCCAACTATTGATATCAGAAAATGATGTTATTTAATCTTATATATCTATACAACTAAATCAAACTCTAACTTTTGATTAGATTTGAGAGTGCAACGGTATCAAATGTGAGATAATGATAAAGGGTTGGCCAGTTAATGAATAACAAGCACGGTGCAACCCTCACTGGACATTTGCCCTGACCCAGCTCCAGTCTCACAGTAAGCAGTACCTTCACTCATAAAATGACTTTGATGTGGATTATTGTTGAATGAACTCGGTTGTTGCCTTTGACAGGGACACAAACAGTGCTGAAATGGTGAGTCTGTTTTTCATTCAGTTTATAATGTTTGCCATTTGCTAATCTGTTCTCAGTCCATGCAGAACAAAGGCTAAAAATAACCTTTTCAGGAAGTCTCTGGTAACGGTTCTCTTTTATTAAGGATTACTTCAGCATTTTGATTGAGTAAAGAATAAATATCATTCATTAGTTTTGACATGTCATTGCCATGTTTTAAAATGTGGAATAATATCTTAAGTAGAAATATAGTGAAACAAGTATACGAAGAGTAAAGAATGCTTTCTATCTGTAACTCCCTATGCTACCACCAGAGGGAGGAGTTAAGCTGGTTTTAGTTTTTTTTCCAAATGTTTTGAAACACGGAAACATGACTGTAGGGCATGTAAATGGTCAAAATAATTCATGGGGGTTACGTTTGTTTTATGTGGTGTCATAGTGGTATAATGACATCATACTATTAAGGACTGAGACAGGAGCTTTTAAGGCAAACGGGGAAGAGTTACATGTTTGTGCCAGGAGTTCCTTTTATTAATGTGGATGGACCTAAAAATAACTGTTTTTGATGAGGGAAAACTGGCACATGGTTTTAAAAAACAAATCTCAAAATAGTCAACTATGCATATCATTCTCCTTTGACTTTTTGCCCCACTTCTTTTTAGGACAACCCAAACTTTCAGACACCTTCCTCTGGCCCGTCAACAAAACTCGACAATGTTCAAGGCCAGGTGAATGAGGTGAAAGTTATTCTGAAAGACAACATCAAAAAGGTTCTGGAGAGAGGGGACCGACTAGACGACCTCATTGAAAAAACCGACGATCTCCAAGCGACTGTGAGTTGTGACCTTTCTCCTGTGTTGTAAATTAAAACTGCTGATGTCATTCATGTACAACATTGCAACTAACCAATAGTTTTATATGATTTTTTCCATATTACATTTTTTTATTTTCAGGCTGATTCCTTCCAAAGAACGTCTACTCGGGTTGCCAGGAAATACTGGTGGAAAAACATTAAGATAATGATTATAATAGGTGTGGTAGTATCGGTTGCTATCATTCTCATAATTGTATTTGCCACAACCTCATAGATATATCTACTGGTATTGCTTTCCAAATTTCCGAGCACTTTCACATTGATTTAGGGCTACCATGAAAACCACAAATCACTTGATGTGTACCTAAGTAATAACAAAAAGCTGAAGACCCTTCATGACCAGGTTTTCTGATGTTTTCTATGTTGAGAATGATTCAACTTGTGCATGTTTAAGCGATATAGGCTAGTTTTAAGCTGATCCGCAATAACCATGGTAACCAAAGTGCACTATACAACTCTTATGGTGGATGGAGCACTACCATAAGTCCCCACTATTTGAACCATATGTCTACAAACTCCAATGTTATTATTTCAATAGTACATCTCTGAAGCGTGATATTGTCCAAAATGATGATACTGAAGTAATAGCATCTTCATAACAAGTGGGGGGAAGACTCCATCAGAAAAATTGCACCTTTAAAGTCCTACCAGACCTACTTGGCCCAACTCTACATTCATTTGGTTGCGTTTTCATTATACTTTAGTGCCTGGTACCTTATCCTATCAACCTACCCACAACAAACCAGTATGCGTGGAATTTCCTTGGTGACCATGGCTCCCAGCCGCACCCTGGCCAATGTCTATCAGTTAGAGCACTTTATTACCAGCTCGGCCTGGTTGGAAAAAAGTAAAGCAGGTACTAAAAAAGTACCTGGTACAGGGTAACACTCCCGATCAGGGTAGAGTAGAGCGAAGTAGGGCTGGTGGAAACGGGGCTTTAATGAAAAGGCTAATGATAAAAAGTTGGTCTTGATATTTGTTGCAAATCTGCGGACAAAATGTGAATTCAATTTGGAAAATCGATGTTGTAGTAGTTCGTCTATGACATATGTGGAGTAATCGTGTTGATATAAATACTTAGAATATGGTGCCAACAAACTCTTTGTAAACAGAGCGCCAATATTGAGCTAAACAAAGGGGGCACTAGAACATTATTACAGATCCTTGACTAGAACTCATTTAGTTAAAAGAAAACTTCCAAAAGCAAACTCACGTGATGTGGCCCTTTTCCGACGTTGAGCGTGCGTTAGGGACACAGCGCCACGTGACGGACAGATGCGGGAACTGCAGTGATCAGAGTCAGACCTGCCTGACTCAACAGTCTATGAACTCAACGAATAAATGAATTCACTTTTCACTAGATAAAAGTCCCCTGTTAAGACTGCAGCTCAGAAGAACAGCACAATCATCCCATCTCTTAAACTGTATCTATAAGATGCTGATAAAGAAACCAACATGAAAATGTGATACAACCTAAGAACAAAACAAATCCACATATTCTGCAAGAGTAAGCAGTTTCCTAGCAAACACATAATATAGAAGAATAAGATTTCCATAGTGATCAAGAACACTCCAAGGGGTTTGTGCATTTATATGACTTTATTCTTGTTCATTCTGATGTTATACATTGTATATGATGTATGTTTACTGTTTCACTTGGTTAAATGTGTATAATTATAAAGCAATACAGCTGTATGTGACCAAGCCAGAAGTGTAAATACATGTTTTTATGTGCCACATCCTTGGTTATTATCAACACAGAGATGATAAGCATTATTTAAATAAAAACATAAAGGCTCAAGTCTTCTGTGACAGTTAATACTCTGGGAATACGATGATATAGTACTCATTTTTCACGGCTTTCAACTCGACAACCACCATCTTGGCAAAGGTTCCTCCCGTGGTCCGGAGTCACTCAACACACCTGAATAAAACAAAGAAGTATAAGAATTAAAAAGCCCGACTTAAAGTTACATTTAGTTAATTAACTCAAAATTCCCATTAATATGTAAACAACTCCCATTTGTCAAAGGACACGTTAAGAAAAAGCGTTACATGCAAATTTCAGGGAATATACTGACACTTCATTTTCTCCTTGTTTTACAAAACATAAGAAACAATTCGTTAGATTAAATACTTTGTTTCCATTGCTGCCATTCATAAAATACAGTCATACATGTACAAAAAGCACTTTATCCCCCACCACAGAGGAGTCCAATACGAACCAGGTTTAAGGACTACAGGCTAAATGAAGAAATAAGCATTATTAATGCATGTGTAATAATGATAATAATAATAATAATAATGACAGTATTAACTGGAAGCTCTTGAGAAAGCTGAACATGGCCTTTAAAAAGCAAATAGTTATTAAAAAGTCAGATGTAATAATAGATACGTGTGGGGGAGTAAGGGCCTGTAAAAAATAACATTACATCATGTTTGTTATGTGTACTTTTTACATTTAACACATTAAGAAAAGCTTGTAGAGAGAGAGAATGACGATAAAGCTGGAAGTGTCCCATAGTTTTAGTTTAGAAATGCTGATACAGGATGTTGTAAGACCATACCAAACAGCAGCATTCGAGAGCTCATGCGTCTCATACCCGGTCCGCATTGAGCGGCCCTGAGAGTTTCTGGGGGTCAGCTCATGGCCTGCAAGGAAGCTCCGCTGGCAGGTACAAACAAGGTATGTCAGAGTTAGAAGACAACATTCTCTTTCTGTTACCGTACACAACTTTGCCAGCCATTAATTGAAGTATCAGTTCTTTACCTGTTAACTTTACAATAAAAAAGAAGCAAAATAAGACAGCAGAAGGCCAGCTGTGTTAAATGATAATCAGCACAACAGAGTAACGTCTATGTTACTACTAAGTACTTGTGGTGCTGAGAAAAAGGAATAGAATTACCCGTACCAAAGTTATTTTCTATCTAAAGCAAAACTGTCATGTATCTTTGATTGTACATACCTGCAGTTCTTCTTGGTTTCCCCCTCAATACGGCTTGTAACTGTTCGAGTGGCCGCCTCGCCGTGGCAACTTGCCGTATCCACCTGATTGACCTTCAAATGTTCACCAAGAAATAAAAGGAAAAGCAAACATAGATATTTCTGGCCACTTTTGGACAATTTTTGAGTCAGTTGCTTCTTACTGTCATAATCGTTGTATCCACCGTAGTAGTTATAACCAGAATAATCATAGTCATTGTATCCGTAGCCTTGATTATATCCATAATTTCCATAACCTTGGTTCCAATATCCGTAATTCTGGTTCCAACTTTGATTAGGACCTGCAATGCAATTCAAAATAAACATTGATCTACTAGATTTTCAATGCATGGATTACAGAAAAAAATGCTACAATGAAGTGGCCTGCTGCAGATGGTTTACGGACTTGGGGTGTCCACATTGACGTGCCGCTTTCATGCGATTTTGGAAACTCTAAAGTTACAGGTTCCCACTCGGAAAAAATGGTATTGTACAATAACTAAGAAATTCAACTTGGAAACTCGGGTTGGTGGTCCCATGGGTCCCCCAGTTGACGTCACTGTGGCATGGGTCAGATTGGAATTGGATGAGAGAATAAGACAAACTGGGACGTTTAGCTGATGGCTTTAATTTGAAAGATAAAAACATATTCAAAATCCATTAAAAAAATCATAATTAGTGAATTTATGGCCACAAAGACTTTGCAGAAAAAACTAAGATAGTATATGAACAGTCTGCGAAAAAGTCTCTCCATGGCCTCACACCAAAGTACATCTATAACATCTTAGTGCCATATGAACCAAATCGAACTCTGAGGAGCACAGGGACTGGCCTCCTGATGGTGCCCAGGATCACATGGGGAGTCTGCATTTCAGATTCATGCAACTAAAATCTGGAACAGTCTTCCTGAAAATATGAGACAGGCTTCTTCGCTGAACATTTTCAAATCCATGCATTCAACTGAGGGATTTTATCTTCACTCTTTATAATGTACTGTTATTATTTCTGACTTCGAGTTGCCTTGTGTATGAATTGTGCTATACAGGTAACAACACATTTGCTCCTGTATTTCTCATATCATAACAGTGGAGGTTTCTGTGCCTTTCTAATGCATGAGCAAAGAGAAACAGTTATATCTCTGCACTTTTTTGTATTGTTGTCGTTGCTGCCTGTATGTGTATGTGTATGTAGGTGTGTGTGTGTGTGTCACCAGCATCACCAGCTCCTCATGAACGCTGATTTCGGGAAGTCATAAGATCATGTAGATATCCCTGAGTTTCTGAGATTGCATGAAAGCGGGAACAGTCTTTGTCTTTGGTTCTACCAAACAAGTTTATGTGAGTTTGGTTTTTTGTCTTGTTTCAGAACAGAAGGAAGCATTACTCTGATCATCCACATTTCCAAGAGTTTGAGGTTATATTTCAGAATACAGCTCATGTTCCAGTTGCGGCACATACTGAGCTGCTGAATCACAGTGTTTACCGTGTGATCTTTGTTGTTTTCCGTTTTAATTATAAAGGCACAACAACGCCAGCCTTAGGCAAACTTCCCCAAGGTGATAAAGTAGATTTGCTGTTTATAATCTGCACTACACATAATTGATTAAATGAGGTAATATTTGATTGCATCGAGTGGTTTTGATCTTAATTTGAGAACATTCTGACTGTCTTAAAACAAGATTTACCAATAGGTCAAGCTATTTAGTCTTAATTGAAGAACTGTTGCTTTAATTCTTGTATCTTTTTAAAACATGATCATTTTGCTTGTCCTATTGGGAAATCTTCAGAATGTGCTCAAATTAAGCTACATTTTTCATCACTTTTTGCAGTGTGTGAAGTGCTAGATTAGTATATGATTGTTCAAAAATGTATTCAATGCCGATTTTGTTTGCACTTAATACATCTATGTCCTAATGTATGTTCTCTGTACGCACCACCTCTTCCCCGAGACCCCGCCCTGCTGCCCCAGGACTGCTGCTGCTGGTACTGCTCCTTTGACATGGCAGCCTTGGCTTCACACTGAAGACATTGTTAGTCGGTGTTAAATGAGCACAATCTAGCTCCAGATTCGAATTGAAGAAAAAAATACCTTGCTTAGACCAATGTTATGGAACTTTTTCTCAATGATGGTCTTAACTGGCTCTTCCTCTTTAAAAGTTATAAAACAGAATCCTCTGCGTTTATTGGTTTTATTTTCCATGGGAAGTTCAATAGACTCCACCTGTTGATGGAGAGGAGAGAAATGTGTTGTTTAAACATTTGAGCACAATAAAAAGCATGACTTTGATATGACATACCTCTCCAAAGGTCTCAAAGTACTCTCTTACTTTCTCTTCTGGAGTGTCTGGCGAGAGACCTCCCACAAAGATTTTCTTCACTGGTTCTTTTCCCTTCATAGCTTTGGCTTTTTTGGGGTCAATTACTTTGCCGTTTAGTTTATGCTCATTTTGTGAAACAACCTTATGGAAATAAACAGAAAGACTAAGCATTGTGCTTTCTTGTTTTGAGATATTACTCATACCCTCTCAACACTTTGAGGATCTTTAAAGAGGACAAAACCAAAGCCCCTTGAGCGCCCGGTCACTGGATCAAGCTTCAGTGTGCAGTCTAAAACCTCGCCAAATTTGGAAAAGTAATCTTTCAGGTCTTTCTTAGTCGTATCCCAGCTCAGGCCCCCAACAAACATTTTCCTGCAAAAAATAAATAAATAAATAAAAAATCTCCATACCACTTTTTCAAAGGTTTGCCAACTCAGCATTTTTCAACCAGTGGGGCGTGGCACATTGGTGAGATGTGGTTTGATGAGCCTTTGGAAATGATCCGATATCACCTGATTACTCAAAATAATAATACAGACTTTTTGTCTTGTTTGATTTTCTATGAAATACACTTTGATGAGTATAACTTGTTATAGTTATAACCTCTGCAACAAGGTTTCCTGGGCTGGTCCTTGGACCCTCCATGTCCTGGACTGGTTCTCTTGGCTTGGAGCAAGTGCTGGTTACCATAAAAACACACAGTTTACTTGCAGCAGTTAGTATTGAGTTTGGCTCTTTTTCAGTTAACCAATTTTTTCATGTGTTAAATATGAAAACCGTGTGAGTTACTTAATTTAATAACAATAATGAAAACACTAAAAACTTTTTTAAAACTTTATTTTAACAGGAGCCGTCAAACATGCTCTGCTCTGGTTGTTCTAGTAAGTTTCAGAATTCTAGGAGTCCTAGTTGACAACCAACATTATTATTTGAGATGTCTTTTTTTTTTTGTATGGACAATTTTGTATGAATAATAAACCTGTCTTTAATGAGCCAAACAGCCAACAGGTCAAGCTACCAGTCTGACCTATGGAGGTATTTCAGCTATCATGTAGCATATCACTCCTGCACGTGATTTAAATGCAAAAAAGACTTGCACACTGACTTTCAATTGCAAATGCTCATAGTGCAGCTTCATAATAGATCCATGGATGACAGCAGACAGACCAAATGACAGCTGTAAGAACACATCATACAGACCCTTCATCATCTTGGTTTTTGCTGGCGTCTATCCTGGACCCTTCGGCCTCTGTCCCCGTCAGACCGGACTCACTGCCCACCACTGCCATAGGGTCTTCGCTGTTCGCCTCCCCATCTTCCTCCATCCGCATGAGGCTTAAATCCTCGCTAAATTCGTAATCCTCTGACATGTTTTAAGTTGCAACTATTTCAATTACAATAGAATGAACTACGTCAAAAATATCCAAGATACAACAAGGCTAGTATGTCAGCTGGTAACTGCGCCAGGCTTCCAGAGGTTTCTAATCCCACAGCAGCTACAAGTCTCGCGTTTTGATAACTACTTATTAAGGAAAAATACAGTTTTCGTGCAGTCGAGATACATTGTAATTAGCTGCTAAATAATTTATAACGACAGAGAAAAAAACCGCTATAATATATCGCCATCTACAGTGTCGGAGTATGCGACTGATGGCGAAATAAAAATATCAGTTATTTATATTTATTTTACTTTTTATATTGCTTTTATTTATGTACTTAAAAACAATCACATAATAAGATTTTATTATTTGCCATATTGATGATTAAAAAAAATGTTAAAAGGTATATTGTTTTGTGCTGTATCTTTAACGCCATCTAGCGGATAAGCACATCATTACATGTCATGTATTGAACATGTGAGAATGTGGGCCAGTCGCTCAGTGTCACACTCACAGACAGAACGCTGCGAAACCACACACAACGACTGCCTTTCAGCTTGAGCCAATGAGTGAACCTATGGTAAACATTATAGATGCATGCATTTCGTCCAGGTCAGATTCAGCCAAGTGACGGGTCTACAGCTTCGCTCCTTGTACCTGTGACATCAGCGCATCAGAGCAGCATTATATCCATGCTAGCTAGCTTGCTTTGGCGAAGACAGAAGAAAAATGGCCACTGTCTCAGTACCTGTGAATACAAGTGCACTTTTATTGGATATAGAAGGAACGACGACTCCAATCACGTTTGTTAAGGTAAAGTATAATTCATCTTTTTTCATTTTTTTTTATCTGTGTGGCATTGTTGGTTCATAGGCATTGTGCAAACGAGAACCTAATTAATCTGAGATTCATCCAGGAGTGTCTGTTATAGTTACTACTGCGTAAAGACGAGGGGACCAAGGAAGGCTCTGTTTAGACTTCATAAAACAGAACATTTTAAATGTAATTTCTCTGATATAAAATGCTTAAAATGTTGGATTTTTTTTATTACTCTGGCACTGCTTGTTTCCAATGAATAATCCTGTGGAAATCGCCATCATGGAGATGACGTACTACTGAAACCATCTTACACTGCTGTTACATTGTGTATTATTTTTCAGGATATTCTATTTCCATATATTAAGGAGCACCTAGAAGATTATCTGTCAGCTCACTGGGAAGAGGACGAGTGCAAACAAGATGTGCACCTTCTTAAAAAACAGGTATTTATAATAACTCCATCTGTACTGCTATTAGACGGCAACCTTTCCTTTAAAACTTCCATTACTGTATTGTTTTTCTTCCATGCATTCTATTAAGAAGGGCTGTTACAATTAATCATCAAATTGCATCTTGAGATGTAAAGATTAACCAATTTTCAAATAAAATGAATATTTCCGGCCACAGTAAATTTATAATAGGAATTTTGAAACCGCAGTACTCTTTCTTCATCATTCAATCTCATGCTCCATCCTTCTCTCACTTGTGAACAAGACCCTGAAACACTTGAACTCCTCCAGTCCTCCCACCTGGAGAGGGCAAGGCACCTGTTTCAGGTCAAGAACCATGGCCTCGTACTTGGAGGTGCTGATTTTCATCCCATTTGACTCTCACTTGGCTGCAAACAATCACAATGTTGTTGGAGGTCCTGGTTTGATGAAGACAACATCTTCTAACAGTAGAGATGTCCTGTGGTCCTCAAACCAGCAAGCAAAGTAGAGCTGTAACTAGCTATTTTTTGAATGGCTGTGTATATACTGTAGCTGTGTATATACTGAACGGAATCAATAAGTCAAAACCTGTATGGACCTGTATTGCAGTAGACCTTATGTACTGTCCAGCAGGGACTCAAAGAAGCCCTGGTACTCTGCACGTGTCACCATTAAAAAGGGAAGGGACACAAACCTCTCATTCGCTGTGGCAGCGAAAATGATGGAAAGGCTCAAACCGGCTTTTGCTCATTGCCTCTATCTGGGAAACTGCATCTCTCCATTATCAGTTGCCGGTAACTCTAACCATAGCCTCCTGCCACCAGAGAGTTAACATTCCATGTGAATAGAGCCAATTTCCGCACAAAACTGCTGCCCAGATCTCTCTGCGCTGGTCTCTTAGATTCTACTGCAGTTTCTGGGTCCACAGGAGAAGGAGCTCATGACGCTCTTTCAGGCTGTGCCCAAATCCAGATTACATACTGTAGCTGGATTTGATCTTTTCATAAGGGGCTTCACTCTTGACATGATTTGTAGGAAGGAATTGTAGGACCTGTTCGGCACAAAAGGCACTACCTCCAATAACAAAGCTCCTCGAATCATTTGGTGGTGGGAAATATAACTATTATATAAGTAGAAGAACTATCAAGTTTGACTCAACCTTTTTTACGAATACAATGCTTTGTTTCATGGCAGATTGAAGAGGACATGAAACAGAACCGGGCTTGCGCTGTCCACTCCGTGGACCAGACGATACACACAGATGAAGAGAAAGCCATTAGGGAAGTAGTGGATAATGTTCTGTGGCAGATGGCTGCAGACAGGAAGTCTACTGCGCTCAAACAATTACAAGGACACATGTGGAGGGCTGCCTACACATCGGGGAGAATTAAGGGCCAGTAAGTTCATGATTTGTCTCAATGGTTCTTTGTATGGCACTTATGATGGTTCTTTTATAAACAGGGTGTATGAAGATGTCATTCCAGCAATCCGAAGATGGCGAGCCAAAGGTTTAAAAGTGTACATATATTCCTCTGGGAGCGTGGAGGCACAGAAACTTTTATTTGAACACTCCATTGAAGGAGATGTTTTAGATGCAAGTATTCAAATTTTATATCGTTGTTCTTTCAACTAAAGCAGGTCATGTTGTAACCTGGATATATGTATGTTTTTTTCAGTTATTTGATGGACACTTTGACACAAATATTGGTGCCAAAGTAGACCGTAAAAGTTATACAAATATTGCTGAAAGGATTGGTTGTGGATCAGAGGAAATCACTTTTTTGACAGATGTTACCCGTGGTAAGTAGTAACCACTACTTTGTGGAATAAAAACACTTGGAAGAATTTCTATAATTGACAAAAAAAAAACATAATAATATGCCCATTGTTTTACAGAGGCAAAAGCAGCAGAAGATGCTGGAGTGAATGTGGTGCTGGTCGTCAGACCTGGCAACATGGAGCTAACAAAAGAAGAGAGCGATCACTACAACCTCATAACTTCATTCAGCCAACTGGAGGTGATGGGATAAAAAAAAGTACAATTGCACCTTCCCACAACATTACTCAGTGAAAATACTTGTTTTCATGGGTTTTGTGAAATCTTTCATAAATGAGCATTCATTATTTGATCTTCTTAAAACTGTTCATTGCAAGAACTTTTCATTAGTGGCAAAAGGAAAGTTCATAAACCAGGGGCGTCACCAGCCCCTTTAATTTATACCTTATTTCAGGAGAGATTGTGTATTTCAGACAAAAACCCTAACCCACCCAAATGCCTAAAACATTGTGATTAAGATCTGGTACTTTAATGTCAGTATTGATTATAACATGCATTATTCTTTTTGTTTGTGATGAGATGTATAATATGCAATGCTTCTTGGCGCCTGGTTCACGGTGGATTTCTTATGTTTGTAATAAACTATTGTGGAAACAAATCTTCTGAAATGTGAAGTGCAACATAAACCCACTTTCTACTTGTTTTTGGGGATAAAGGATCAGTTGGTCTAAATTACTGTCCAAAGAAATATCTTCAGTTTGATGCTATTACTGGGACTCAATATTTCTGCCAATGCATTGTGCAATAATTACAATTTAAATAAATAAATTTTATTAAGAATTGTTTTGGCAAAAGACAGCATGAAACATTAGTCATTGTACTTAACATTTTCACAATTGTTTTAGTTTCAAAAGCATGCATTCGAGAGTGTCAAGTGTGCACTGATCCTACTGTATATCCTTTCCAACATCTGCCAGCCATAAAATGACCTTGAACAAAATGTTTTTGCATTTATAAAACTAAACAAATTCCCTTTTTCTTTCCCTGTGTTCCAGTTCAAGCTAAAGTATATTTCCATGATAATTATCTGCAGGAAAATTATAAATTATAAATTTACAATTACAACAGTGATAAAAACTTGATCAGGGTTAAATTAGAATACTGTTTAAAACAATAGCTCGATATAAGAGTCAGATCTTTGAGCTGGTGGGGTCCTGCAGCGCTCAAACCCCCAGTCTGTTGGCTTGTGTTAACACTACTTTGAGTACAGGCATAAAACCTGAGATCTCACTGAAGTTGCTGCTGCTTACAATATGTGTGTGGATCTTGAGGGCTTCTGCGTAGGATCGAGAGTCAATACTTTGAGCAATGTTGTGAAGACCTCCTACAATCGCTGGGGACAGCTGAAAATAAACAAAACGGTGAATCTTCCAACACATACTGTAAATATAATGAATGAAATGATAAAGACTCACAGTTCGATCGCTCAGTTTGTCATAAAGTGTTTCCAAACGCTTGTTGGCATCAACAAGTTTCCTTTTAGTTTGCTGAAAAATAATCAACGAATATCAGTGTTCAGCACGTTTACTTAAAGGTAAACCACTTTTATGTGATTCTAATGACTTCCCTACGATACGTTACTACCCAGAAAACAACTCAAAGAATGTACAGTACAGACCAAAAGTTTGGACACACCTCATTCAAAGAGTGTTTTATTTTCATGATTATGAAAATTGTAGATCCACACTGAAGGCATCAAAACTATGAATTCACTCATGTGAAATTATGTACATAATTAAAAAAAAATGAAACAACTGAAATATGTGTTACATTCTCGGTTCTTCAAAGTAGCACCTTTTGCTCTGATTACTGCTTCACACACACTGGCATTCTTTTGATGAGCTTCAAGAGGTCCTGAAATGGTCTGAGTTCCCACAGATGCTTAGCACTTGTTGGCCCTTTCGCCTTCACTCTGTGGTCCAGCCCCAAAACCATCTGGATTGGGTTCAGGTCCAAAACCATCTGGATTGGGTTCAGGTCCAGCGACTGTGGAGGCCAGGTCATCTGGCCCAGCACCCACCACTCTCCTTATTGGTCAAATAGCCCTTACACAGCCTGGGTGTGAATCTACAGTCAATAGTCATGAAAAGAAAGGAACCTCATTGAATGAGAAAGTGTGTCCAAACTTTTGGTCTGTACTGTCTAATTTTTATTCTACATTACAATTCATCTGTGTCTCCAGACAGAAGGTAAAACATACTCCAATGAGATGAGGTCTTTGTATTAGTTAAAATGCAGAATTATTCTTACATTAAAAAAACAATGGCCATGTTTATGAAAAAAAATTCTCAAGATTGTCCAATCACAAAGCAAAATGAGTCATTTGTGTGCACTCCCGTGATTTGGAGCATTTACACTAAACATTTACACCAGTAAGTGCGTTCTGTTCTTTAAAGCTTTGACACTGACTTACCGGGTCTGTTGCCACGATTAAACAGTTTTGGATAAGGCTCTCAAATGTGGTCTTTAAAAGAAGGTGCTCCTCAGGAATGGTCTTTGTGATCTGCTCAGATGGCAGCGATTGGGGAGGCTGAAAACACATGTACAAAATAACATCAGCCTTTTTGTCTCCAGAAAATGTACAACATTCACACAATTCCATCCACCGCACAACACTGAGCAGCATACACACATTCACACCCAAAAACACAATCTATTTAAGTGTCTTGTCTTTTTCCATTGATGCGACTTCGGGAGTGTCAATATTAGACCGAGTCAGAGTAAGACACACATGTCTTCAGTAAATAAAAAGTTGAGAAAATAAAAATGTAAGCAGTTTACCTGGATGACATCGCCAACAAGAGCTCCAGGGGCTCCCTCAGAGCTGGCGTTTGAGGCACTTGTGCTCATGGAGTTGATGAAGGGAGAAGCAGGCTGCTGGTGGCCTGAGGAGGAGACCTGAGTCTGTGGAGGTTGGAGGTCGACGCCCATCGGAGCCATAATGGGGGAAGTGATGGGCGCAGGAGGAGAGTAGTATTCTGGAACCTGCTATGGAATTGTACAGGTCGTTTAATAACATTTAATAACATTCATACACAGAAGTAAAGCTGTTATTACCTTCTTCATTGGACCTCTGACCAGTGTTGGGGGATCATTCCAACCATTTTGAGGTGCTATAAGAGGAAAAACACAGAATGTATTCTGCAGTTGCATAAAGGCCCATCACAATAAAAATGTTTAAAAGATGTATTGAGATAAACAACATTATTGAAATTTTACTTTGTGCCACTGGTGCAATTGCAAAACAGCAGGAGAATATCTGTGCATCATTTTTAGTTTAAATCTAAGCTGACATTAATTAAGAAATAATTATGCATGCATGACTCAAACTGTGTTACAAAGAAAATGGAAAATATTTCTCACTATTCAATAGAAAAGGAATATTAAGCTCCAGAATTAATCCATCTGTTATTTAACGATACATCACTATATGGACCTTGCTGGTGCTACTTTTATTTTTCCAATGAATGTATTTAGATGGCACGGTGGTGCAGTGGTCAGCACTCAGGGGCTGCATGTTCTCCCTGTGTCTGCTTAGGTTTCCTCCAGATGCTCCGATTTCTCCTACCACTAAAAACATGTTCAAGAGGTGAGGGTTGAATGAGTGTGTGTTTGTAAGTGTGGGACTACAGATGGACATTTGCTACAAAAAGCAACATCTGGTGTTTGTACAGATAGTGCTGATTATTGCCCTACACTTTCCCATCCAAATAAATACAAATATTGCTAGAACATCCCCTTTTGAAAATATATATATACATATTAATCTTGTTACATTATTTTGCCTCCATCAGCTTTTAGTAGGGATGAGACACATATTTATTGTCAAAATAGATTGGATTTACCAGAGTCATCATGAATCAAGAGTGGGCATAACACCTCAGATCATGTTGTGTCCAGTTAAAACAGTCGTCTAATGTTTGTTTTGCTCCATCAGCTGTCGATTAAGTTTTACATTAGCACAAGAAAACCTGTGAATTATATTCAAGTGCTGCCTGTATGGGGATAAATGTAGATGAAACATGTAGATGGTGCGGTTTATATACAAGTGAGCTTAGTAGTCCAGCAAGTACTGTAGTATTGATCGGAGCAGGCTTAGTTAAAGTATTAACAAACATAATTAATATTAGAATCAATAGATAAAAAAAACTATTAAAAAAGAAATGTCATAATTATATGTAGTTATGATGAAATGATCCTGTTGCCCAAATACTGCATTTTAGTTGTTTGAAGAGCATGCAGCTGTGAGGGTTAGTTGTGGTGGTTTGGTCATGCAGTGTACCTGAGAATCCATTCTGTGGAGGCAGCGGCACGTAGGACCCCGGAGAGCCAGGGCCACTGTGCTGGAAGTCCGCTATCGAGGGCGGAGGAATAGCAGAGTTTGTTGACGAAGAAGTTATTGTAAACAGATTGGGAGAAGCGAAGGATGCACTTGGACTGCTGAAAGGGGTGAAGGAGGTTTGAGGCGGGACATGCTGAGAGTACTGAGAGAGAAAGCCAGGAGGGTGAGGAGGAGCAGAGGCTTCAGCCAAAACAGGCGTCACAGGAGAAGAGTACTGATCAGGCCGATACATACGAGGCCCTCCAGCTCCCTGTGGGTACTGGGTAACCTGGGCTGATGTCAGAAAGGACAGACAGAAAATAAACAGGCTTATTTTCTACTCAGGAGGCATGCTCAGGTATGGCATGCCATTTGTTAAAGAAAACATACATTAACATAGAGATAATATATCTATGTATATATATAATATAATGCTACTGTCTACAAAAAAAAGGTGCACTATATAATCATATGTGCCCTCCACCTTGTCTTTTGTATAAAAAATAAATATTTATGACATATTAGCATTTCACTTTGTACACTATTCTTTACATTTCAGCCAAGACACTTACGCAGGTATTGATGGGAAGGCACAAAAGGCACAGAAGGGACAGCAGCGTTTTCAGTTGTTGGCATTCCGCACATAGGGTTTGGCAGCTCCACCTTTACAAAGACAAATATTTCTTTCTTTCATGCAGTATGTACAGTATACTGTATGTATGTTTTTTGCATTCAAGTTTTACTGTCTTTTTTATAAAGAATCCCAGTGATTTTCCTTAGGCTGTATAATACCTTAGATGGGTCTGAGGCAGCAGCAGTAGGTACATGAGGAAAGGCTGTTGGAGTTTGATTACTCCATGAGGTGACAGTAGAGGCGGCCCTGACCTGAGCAAAAAGAGACTGTATGACCACAACAAAGACACAACAAGACATTACTGCAACAGATATCACCACAGAGAAGGAGTACCATAATTGCCAAACTATAAGCCACTACCTTTTCGGGTTCTTTGAACTCTGTGGCCTACATAGCAATGCTTGTCATTTTTATTTTGTTCAGAGAAATTTAGATACAACCCTATCAGCTCTTGTTTTGACTCCATCAAGTACTAGTAGGTAAAGGAAGCACCTTTATTGTCAAAATATTATTCACCTGAGTGCCCTGATCAGCACAAGTCAAGCGTGCGTTAAAACACCTGTTGTGACCAGTTAAAGCAGTTTTTGCTAACCCTAACTCTAACCCAAATGTATATGACAAAATGTACTTTCTTTTCAAGTTTAGCTGGGGCGGTTTATATACAGCTGTGCTTAATAGTCCAGCAAGTACTGTACTTTAAGCAAAAGTAACATTTACTGTACAAAATATAATTGAAGCAGTACATATATAGTTAAATTGTGAACTAAGTTATAGAAAAATAAAATATAACACCGTATATAATATATAGTAATAAGATGAAAGTTTCGGCCGTATCACAATGTGGAGCACACGGTAAGAACATGCAACAAGAGATCAGCTGTCATGTGACTCACAGGCTGATAGAAGTGAGGCTGGGCAGGAGCCGGAGCAGTGGAGATGGGCTGGACTGCAGAGTATGGGTTATTGGACTGAGCCGCTGTAGGAGTCTGAAGGGGAGGAACCTTACAAGCGACACTTTGGGTTTTGGAACATGCTGGGTCCTGCCGACTCAGAGCACAGTTCAGACGTTCACGAAGAAGCCGAACACAAACCTTCAAAACAGAACAATCAAACATCAGTGTCAGTGTTTTCCATCGAATAACATCGCATTAAAATAGGTACATACGTGATTGGGTTCATCAGGTAAGTACATAACAGCTGTAGACAAGCAACCTTGAGAAGCTAACAAGTTTGCATACTCGCTCATCTTCTCAGCAAGCAGATCCCCAACTGCAAGAGGACTCGACTTCTGAGTCTCTACTGCATGTCGCATCACAACCACCTTTTCCACCAGGTCCTGAGGGAAACGGCGTCATTGTCAGAATACACCAAGTACAAATATTCATGGTAGAATAATAAACACATTGATACTTGGAATTAACATATCAATAATCGATCGTGAGAGAAGCAATCTATATTCTGGCACACCCCAAGTAAGTCACAAACAGAGCAGCGTTGTAAAAAACTGCTGACGACAAAGTAAGGCGTCCAGGTTTCTGCAGAATATCTTGTTTGAATGAAAAGTACAGAGGGAAGTGTGAAGTGAGTTGAAAAATGCTTTCCTCTCAACTGTTTTTTGTGAAGGTTTGAACTTCTCTTAAACGACATTCAGCGTATAATATGGAGCTGTGTCAGTTTGATGACACATGGACTTTGACACAAGTGACTGACGACATTATCAAACAGGTTACAATCACCTGTAGATAGAGAGGGCCGTGTCTTTCCTGTGCCTTGATCCAGCAAGACACCAGTTTCTCCAAATTTCCAGCACAGATGTAACAGAGAGAGGCCTGTGCCTGCAGCTGGAGGTCGTTTGCTCCCTCTAATCTGCCACCAAGAAGATCTAATACAAGATATTATTAGAGTAAAATAAAAGTTGGTTACAATGACGTAATGAGGAATACATACCACAGAGGGAAGAAAACTCCTGGGTGTCAGCATAGGTCATAACAGAAGCCAGGGCTTCTTTCCAGTTTTGCAGCTCACAGGTGCTCATGATGGCATGCAAGTCCTTCATCACCACTGCACTTATAAGCTGTACGATACATAATAATGAACAGTTGAAACTAGAACTTTAAAGACACTGATTGAGATGATCTATTATTTTCTGTTTGCATAGAATTTCCTTTAAACTGTTTAACTTTGGTTAAACCTTTTGGGTATCTGTCCACATGCTACTCACAATAGTGAATAATTCTGACCCATTGCTCCTGACAGAACTGGTGTAAATGAGTCAGGTTTGCAGCTCCCCTGCCTGCACTCTCCTTTTGAGCTTTGGGCTTCGCAATGGCGACTTTGTAACTACCTTGGCCGTATGCTAGGGGTCATTGTGCATTTGGAAGACCCATTTCAACCCAAGCTTTAACTTCTTTGTGATTCTAACCTTAGATAACTTGCTTGGCGACTTGATGAAATACTTCGTTTGAGTTTTCTCTAGAAGTTCAGCTCCTCCAGCGAGAGCCAGGATAATACTGTCTGCCATACGGTTGTCATGAAGACAGAGTTCCACTGCTCCTTCAAAATTTCCAGTGAGCAGTGCTCGAGTAATCAGCTCGTCAACATCTAAAAGCAAACACAGTGCATACAATAACAAGCGTGTTGTAAAATCAACAAAATGAGGAAAAACAGATCAGTATAATTATAATTTTTGTTGTTGTTGAAAGAACAGGAACAATACAATTCCAAAAGGATCTTGGGTGATCTGTCATTGGCCGACTGTAAAGCTCTTATCCACATTCCTACTCTCACCGACAACCTGGATGGTTAAACCTTTTTGACTGGCCTAGGGACGTTCTGAGCTTTAAAATGAGGTATAACATATTCATATGATTAAACATTTGACAATGCTGAAGTTGGCTGAATGACAAATGTTTACTCTGCAACAATCAAAAACAATTGCCGATTTAGTCAAACTAAGTTAACAGCTGGAATCAAAACGTTCTGAGCTTTACAATAAGTTGGATGGATCACATGTGAGTTTGTGATTATGACCTCAAAGGTTACTTTTCAAGGTACAGGACCACTTCAAATGAGGATTGGGTCAGTTTCCAGTGTTCATCCATCAACTCATATTTTCTTCTAATTTATTCAGTGACCCGGATAAATGAGAAGAAAATTAATGTACAGTATGTAAGAGTTTAATACTTAAACGTGTTATTTGTTGAACAAAATAGAATGACGTTGAAGTGTACCTTGACTCAGGCCAGGGTTAGGGTTGACTTCAGGGGTAATCTGTGTGACATCATTTGCAGATGGGCGAGGAACATCAGCAATGACCAATTTCTCAGAAGGAATTTGGAATACTTTCTCAATAGGATCTTCACTAAAAGATTCAACTTCAGAAAGAGAATTCTGAAGCATTTCTCCACCAGCAATAAGATCCTCAATAGGAGGTGGCAGATCTTTGGGAAAAATATTGTGTTGCTCAATAGAAGGTGGGAGATCTTCTTCACACAGATACTGTGACGGTTCCTCTGCAGGAACTCCTGCAAACATATCTGGGGCTGGTTCCTCCAAAGGAGGTTGGAGATCTACTGGAAACATATCTGGGGCTGGTTCCTCCAAATGAGGTTGGAGATCATTTTCAAACAGATCCTGTGGCGGTTCCTCTGGAGGAGCTCTGACATCTCCTAGAAACATATCTGGAACTGGTACCTCCATAGGAGGTTGGAGATCTTGTTCAAAAAGATCTTGTGATGGTTCTTCCATAGAAGCTTTGAGATTGTTTTCAAACAGATCCTGTAACGGTTCCTCCGTAGGAGCTCTGACATCTCCTGGGAACAGATCTTGGGATGCTTCCTCTATAGGAGCTTGGAGATCTACTGGAAACGTGTATTGGACAGGATCTTCCATTGGAGCTTGGAGATCGTTTTGAAACATGTCCTTTAATGGTTCCTCCATAGGAGCTCTGACATCTCCTGGAACCAGGTCTGGAGCTGGTTCCTCCGTAGGAGCATGGAGATCTTGTTCAAAAAGATCTTGTGATGGTTCTTCCGTAGGGGCTTGGAGATCTTGGACAAACATATCTTGGGCTGGTTCCTCCATAGGAGCTCGGAGTTCATTTTGAAACAGATCTTGTGATGGTTCCTCTGTAGGGGCTTGAAGATCTTCAGATAAAATAACCTGAGGCTCAGAATAGTAAGTAAGATCCTTACTTTCATTCAACATGACATTTACTTCCTGCAACACATAATACAACATTATTATATACATTTGTTTCAAGGTAGTATCTTGAGAGTTCCATTCTGGTGGAGTACCTGCTCCATAATGACTTCCTCATCCCGTTGCTGTTCAGCAGAAACATCTGCTTCCTGATTATGGTCAACAATATCATTATTGGGATCCATGAAAAGATCATCCTTGTCTTCAGCTTTCACTTCTTGTGATTGCACACTCTCTGGAGGCTGAGCAGAGAGCAGCTCTGGGGCTGCTGGACACAGGTTTGCAGCAGCTATCAGGTCAAACGCAGCCTCAGGATTAACTTCTGCTGTAGCATGAAGGTCTGCAACAGGCTGGGATCATATGTGAGGGAAAATCCATCAGGACAATTCACAACAAAACACAATTCTATGGATTATTGACAATTTCTTTTACCAGAATAAAGAGCAGTATTTGTGTAGGACAAATGCACTCATTTATAATGTAGCAGAAAACTATTACTCATTTCTTCGTGTTTGAGTAACTATATGCAATACAAAAAGTTTCGTGCTTTTACCTCTGCAGGCTTTTCAGTTAATGCAGCAGAAATCTAGAGGATGTAAGATTGTGAAATAATTACATGTCACAAACTACAAGATGCACAATGATTTCACAGGGAAACCAACCTTCAGGGCTACTTGTTCTTTATTGTAACCAAGAAGCTCCAGAAAACTTGAGCGGGTGTCAGGGTCAAAATAGGCCTAAAAACATGGAAAACACTGTTCACAATATATGTATGAACAAAAAAATCAATATGATCAATTACCCTGAGAAAAGACCAGACAGTCTTTTCAAATTCATTCTCGGTCAAGTTGATTTTTCCTCTGCAAAACTCCTCAAATTGTCCTGAGTGGATTGTGTCCTGCAGCTGACTGGAGCGCTTCAATAATCCTGTCTCTGTAACGACTTGGCTCACGTGCACAGCATGAAGACCCGGCTGCTGAGGATTTGGTTTGACAATTTCCAAAGACACAAGTTTCCCTCCAAACTAAAGTGAAATTATTAAAAGAACATGTGTTTAAAATATTACACATTTATTTTAGTAAATAATGTGAAATAAAGTGGTTTACAGCAAAGGTTGCTCCTGCAGGTCTCCGTATCCATTTAGGAGGCTTCTTTAAGGGGGTAACTGTCGTGGACACAGAGCCACTCTGAGGCAGCTCCAGCGGAGGCAGGATCTGTCCTGTTCCAAAGGGATCCATGTTTCCAAACGAGGTGCTAATCTGAAACAAAATATGAACTTACTTTTAAAAAAAAAGACTAATATGAATATGACAAACAAAAGATTATATATAATATATGTATATATAACATTTAGTTATTTATATAAAGAGTTAATGATATTTTTTTTAAAAGGTCCCGTATGTACAATAAAATATTTGGATTTTTTTATGATCTAGTCAACGCATGTGTCTACACCAGTGTTTCTGAACAAATCAAATGTATTACGCTATTTATAATTTTTTTGATGAAATCACATCTTTGGATGCAATATAATATATATTATACCAACATTTGTGCCATACACAACATTTTGCATTTGGGCCAAAGAGATTCCAATCATGGCCTCTTCTCACCACAGCATTTTCTCCCGCATGTTGAATGTGTCCCCTGCTTTGCGGCATGCGATTTCAACACAGACTTTCTATGTACCACTTGTCCATAAAGGCCAGATGTGTGTAGATTCCCAAGTGAGCTGTGGATATCTGCAGCTCTTCCAGAGAAACCATTGGCCTCGTGTGTGCCTCTGTGATCAGTGTTGTCCTCGTTCGTGCTGTGAGTTTGGGAAGACAGTTGAGTCTTTGAAGATTTGTGCAAGACTCTTTCCATTCTCAGATGATGAAGGGATTCCTTGTTGTTTTGTGGCAATCACAGAACAGAAAGTAATACTGTATATTGTACTGTATAAAAATATTGAGAGTAGATTAAACTCAGGTGGGCTCTATTTATTTGTGAGAATAAGATGTGAGCATTGAGCATTAGGAATTTTTCAAAATGCTGTCCAGGTCTCTGATACAAGCCCAATTTTTCAGTTTTTTATTTATGAAGTCAGTAGAAGGCAATAGTGGACAGCGCCATCCAAAGTATTATACACTGTATTGTTTTTTAACTATTCTGGTTGTCGTGTGGCGCTGTGTTTACTACTGTCCCCAGCGGTCAGCTCACATACAGCTCTGTGGCTTAGATGCTTCTGACTTTAGTTTATAATGGACCAAAATACGGACAGAACGACACTGGCAACAAAGGTTTAGATTGTTATAACTTTATTATTAAACCAGTGCAAACCTTTTGCAAACCTATAAAGCATCAAAGCTAGAATGTGTTTTGGTAATAGAACTGGACATGAACAGTTGGTCATCTTGAAATGCTGGCTGGTGCCATTTAGAAAATGGCGTTTGGCAAATATGCAAACACTTTCCTTACCTGGTCCACATGTCTCTGGCTCTGAGCTTGACTGGTGCCTCCCATAATGGAATAAATATCTATGCAGCTATTGAAGCCTGCTGTAGAAAAAACTGCAGGGTTCCTTGGGCACCACTGAATGTCAAAGCACCACTGGTTGCCAGTAGGGAGTTCATATAAAATCTGAAGAAGAATTAAGAGTTTATCTTAAAAATAATGATCAATGAATTCTCATTTTGATGTTAATTTCAGCAAACATCCCATTTACCTCTTCAGTATTTGGATTCCAGCAAAGAATCCTCCCGTCCTTGCCACAGCTAAGAAGCAGCTCTGGATCAGCTAAGCTCCATGCAACACCCAAAACACCACTACAACCAGAGGCAGAGACTTTTGTTTTGACTCATGTACACACAATAATTCAACTGTTAATTCAACACCAAACATTTTTTTTACCGAGTGTGGTTTTCTAAAACTTTGAGGGGAGAAGATGCAAAACGCAGATCCCACATTTGAATCACGGGCATTCGATCATCCTCAGAAGCCATAAGTAATTGTGTTGCAACTTCTGGATTCCAGGCCATCCCAGAACAATGCATCTGATGGCGACAAAGTTACTTTAAATAAAAAGGGTGAAAAAAGTCAAAATAATATTATAGGTAAACATACTCTGTTGCTGTGGTCACAGACTTTAATGATTAGGTCATTCTTGCGTAGATCCCACACGGATGTCCGTCCACTTGGTGTGGTAGAAGCCAGGATGTGTTGGACTTGTCTGTTCCATGCGACACAACTGATGTCTTCTAGCGGCTAACATAAAAACATGCATTCACTTTTTTGTTGTGTGGTACAATCAATATGTATGTTGGGAAAAAAGCCCTATGTTTCTGTACTGTCTACTTTTCCTTTTGTACACCAAACTGTTAGTATAAAATTGTTAACTACCTGCGTCTTGGGTCCAGGTGTCATTGGAGATTTAAAGTTATTTATATCCCATATGTAGACTTCAGATTCATTTCCACCCGATGCAACTAGATTTGTCTGTAAAAATCACTCAATTAACAACAAGTATCAAACTTAAATCCACACAGCTATGTTTGAACATACCTGAAATGGGTTAACATCAAGCGCTCGCACTGGCCCTGTGTGCATAGCACCCTCTGCAATAATCACATTGCCGTTTCTAGACAGAATCTTTGCAGGATCATAAAGAATGACGTTTCCATTCTCTCCTCCAGCAATAAGAACGCCAGAGGTCAGACCTTGCCCATCAATGCCAAATGGACTCCAAACAAGTTTGTGATATCTGATCCAAAGTTAACAATGAATACAAGAAATTATAACAGACAACCCAATGTTAAATGAGCTATTCTTGATACCGTTGTGAAGATGAGAAAGTGCCACAAGACTTCATGTCTAAAGAGGGATCAGCCAAGTTTAATTCAAATAGCTCCAAGGAAGCACTTGTGCTGAAAGAGGCATCTAGCTGCTGCGCTGAGGTCCCTACAAAGGATAAAGGCATAAACAGCATTAGTAAATATATATATATATATTTTTTTCAAATGAATAAATAACTAAATAGTTCATACCTGTGGTTAAATAGATGGGGTGATGCTGAGCTGGACTCCAGCATAGCATGGCTGTCCGGTTGATTTCTTTGAGTTTCATCTTCAAAACAACGTAAACAAAATAACGTTACATGTGATGACAGTCTGCTGCAGCTATTGTTTCAACCTTGTCCATAATAGATTATACATGGAAATCCCATGAAAAAGCATTATGCCAGAAGTGGGACAATCTATCAAATATTTTAAAAGAAAAAAAATCATCACACTCAACAGTCACTTAGAAAGTAATTTGCCATCATATATCAAATTTTCCATCTACATTGGAGAAAAGCAAGTGAGTTCACAAGGTTGAGTGAAGTCACTGAGTTAAAAATCATATCTAACGAGACGAGGCTATTCAATGTAAGAATTCCTGTCTTTGATTTTACTCTACTCCACCTCAGTGTGATACAAAACATGTACAGTATTTTACTGCTCAAATAAACAACATCTCCATGGCAACAGGCTAGTGCACATATACGATTAGAAAGTTAAAAATAAGAACAGAAAGGTTTTGAAGGTACTAGAAGTTAACCAGAAGTTAACTAGAAGTTAAGTATCCAAATTTAAAACAAAAGTCTTATAATGTTATGTTATGTTATGTAATAAAATCCATGTTTCCACTTTCTCAAATCTGACTGGGAAACAATAGTGGCCTCAACTTTCTCAGTGAAAAATACCGATCAGATCTCAAAGTATAAACAGATAAAAGGTTTTCTACTAAGATTAAATACAGCATGTGGTCAGATTTGTTTACAAAACGACACTTAACCAAGACTTTTTCTGTTTGGACAATAACATGGTTTAAGAAACAACAAAAAAGGTTAAGTATACCAGCTTTCAACTACATGTCCTTGGATTATTGCAAGATCGCCATCATACAGTGACAAGACATATGGTGTAATTCTGGTTACAAAAAGTACAACGTGTGCTGCTAGCAAGGAGCTAACAGCTGACTGCACTCATGAAAGACCAGTGGCACGGTCTTTCGCAGCGAAGACATGAGGCACTTTCTATCATTACAACTACTTTGTTTTCCATGAGTACGAACGAACTGCTTGCACAACCCCGATCCACAAATACTGCACAAAGTTGACTGTATTTCGCGCATTCTAGTAATTTGTGGAAAAGTATCTTACCTCTACGTCCGTGCCCCTGACTTAAAACCACCAGAGGTAAATTGTCTACAGCATAAGCCTGCAGATGTATTTTCTTTTTAGTAAACAGATTGCAAGTCTGTTTACGATGCAGTCAGGACCGGTGTCAGCTGCAGATATCCACGTCCACACAGGTCTCCATCAACGTGGCAAGACGCCTCCCAGTCTACGCTCCCACCAGAGACGGCTTCCGGGGTACAGCCTGAGCCACTACACCGCTGGATTTGGTCCATTGCTCTATTTTGAGTTTTATCCACCCTTTGTTCTGTGCATTGCGCACAAAAACGTCATAAGTTTAAAGATTATAGTAAATGGTAATATAAGATTCTTTTTGTTCAGCTGTCTGGCCGAAACTGAAAGAGAACTTACCGTTATGTGGTGTTTGAGGAGTCAGATGGCGAGCAGTAGAAGTGCACTGTGACTATTTACAATTTTAATACCATGTGTGATTGTTTCCATCTTATTCTGTTCAGCACATCGAGTTGCCTTTTGTATGAATTGTGCTATACAAATAAACTTGCCTATAATCAACGGATTGTTTAAAATGTCGATGTCTTTAATATATTCTTGTAGATGCATGTTCCTTTCTGCTGGGATCCCCTTTGGGACAAAAGAATGTTCTGCTCCATTGCAGTTTATTTTACACATTGTAATTAATATAAAGCTCAGCCGTAATTGCAGATTGTTGTGTTCATCTTTGCTAACAATGTTCTCTATCTTTCATTCATCGTTCCGCGCACCTCCTGCAATTGCTCTGCGCACCCCATAGGGGGCACGCCGCCCACTTTGGGAACCATTGCTAAATGAAACGCACACATGTTCGGTCTTCACACAGTATGTTCCCCCCTCTGGTGGCGTTGAAGTAAATCATTGCTGCTGCACAGGCGAGTTTTCCTAGTTCTTGAACTTTAGTGTGTTCTTTCCTAACAACGTTTTACTCACAACGTTTAACGCCAGACATTTGTACTTTCTACTGCTTAAAGTTTGAAAAAAATGGTTAGTACTTAGTACTAGTAACAGAAAAATAAGACGGATGTAAACAAAATTAGACTCAATGGCTTTTTAGTTCAGAAAACGGCTGCACCCTGCTTCACCATGGTTTGTTTATTGTCATCTTCTGTGCCAGTATGAATTTTTTAAATATTTGTATGAAACATTTTATTTGCAGAAATGGTTTAACTAAAAACAGTATTAAAACATTATGATTGAAAGGGGCAGGAATCAGTGGGTTTTTTCTTTGCTACAGATCACACCACACAATGCCGGGAGTCCAAGTCTTGGTGCACAGCACTTATTGCCCGGGGGATAGAAAGCATATCACACATTAAGATACCGGTGTGTACGGGGTGCACACAGAGGCATAATTACTTGAATATTTTGGGGGGATAAAATCAGTATTCATATTTTTAGGTTAGCGCAAACCTGGTTAATAGTTTACATAGCACTATCAACTATTCAACAATGGTGCTTAACAATGATTACAAATATTTCAAAAATAAATATCAAAGATAAATGTTAATTTTATCCACTGAAAGCAGCTAAAATTTTTCACATATAAAATAACAGACAATGCATTTTTTAAAATCCAGAAAAGTCATCAGGGTTCAAAGAAATGTTTTGGGGGGAAATGATGAAGTGAATATCAGGAATTGAATGACGTGACTTTTCAAAGTCTCACCTTACGGCTTAGAACATCCAGATGAATAACACTTGCCGAGTCAACTTGCTGTGAACGTGTTGTTCATTAGATACCCTTTAAGAAAAGGACGGCCTGTTTTCAACCTGACGTCACAATTGATAAATGCACCACTCATCTGAATGTATATGGCGTGTTTGTGGCAACAATAAAACCACTCAAATCCCAGACAAACAAAACTCCAGTCCTCTTCACTCCAATACGGTCCGTCTGAGAGTTCATACCCAGACCTAGCAGTTTATGGAGGCACAGTCAACTTTAGCTTTCCCCGCTGAGCTTATGATCCTCATAAGGCAGTGTCCAAACTCTTCAAGGATCATCCTCTCTGCTTCAGGCTGAGGCTGATGAGATTGTTCTGAGCGCTTGGCTTGCTCCAGCAGACACTCACACGTCGCTTCAAGAACCTCTTTTGTCACAAATGTGTACGGTAACCTGCAAAGAAGCAATACGGTTATAAAATTACAATATGCCATGAGTGTGGGAGCCGAGCCACTAAAGTCATCTTTATTCAAAAAGGATTTGAGGTTCTTTATTCTAACAAACTTCTAACCCACCCTCCAACATGAATCTATCTTTTCTGAGCTTCCAAATTTTGTTCTAAAAAAATGTTTAGGATCAAGATACCTCCAACCAACATGTATAAACCGAACTAAAACTTTACAAAAACAAATAATTCCTAAAAACTGAAAGTGTAATACATAAAGAAAAGCATACCTTCCGCCCCCTGTAGAAATAACTGGAGCCGTCCTCATGAGAAGGTCAGAGATCTGAGACGAAAGTTTGGTCTTTGCAGACATTTGCTGCTGCACTCGGACTTCTGCTGCATCTGCTAAATGCATCAATGTCTTCCTTTCTGGACTCTCCTCAAAGTTCTTGCAGCCGATACACTTACAAATGGACGAGCACATGATTTTTGCCTTTACAAAAGAAATGTAGTTTTTGTTAAAGTTGTAGTTAACAAATTAGATTGTGCTGATGCATGATATCTGACCTCATAACATTCACAGTAATTCTTAAGACAGCCCGAGCGTTTGCAGTTACAGCCTTTACTGTGCCGACGGTCAGATTCGCCTTCTTTACCTTTGCCAATCTTCGGCTTGAAGGCCTCTGGGTTCCGGTCTAAACACGTCTGTGAAGTTATGGATCCTCCATTACATACAGTTCATGTTGTAACTAAAAGTACAGCTCTAGATCTAACCTCTAAGATCAAATACCTTTATTGCCTTGAGGCGTTCCGTTTCATGCTCCAGGTTATTGAAGCAATTATTACAGTTACAGTTATTGCAGAACTCGCCATTTGCAAAACAGTCACAATACCTATAAATGAAATTATTATGTAAGAAAATGTAATTGGACTGCAGAAAGCTTTCTATTTTTGTACACTTACAACTTGAGACATTGGGACTTGGTGCAGTTGCAGGGTTTTCTTGGTCTGGATGTGGATTCTGTTGTTGAAACTCTGTAAAAGTCAAGAAAAATGTCACTGAAAGATAGACGTAAACATCTATTACCCCATGGTGCATTATGTATTAGTACACTTGAAACCGCCATATTGAGTTGTTCTGAAAGATTCACAGGAGCCCCCCCCAACACAGATATAAGTGAACAGCTGACATTTTTTCTTTGACCGTACCCGGTGACAAGTGAGTCAAGTTTCAGTGAATGAAGAGTGTGGTTTTACAGCCTTAAAACACTTTCAGCAGACTTGGAAGAGATACTGGAAAGGCCCACTGTGTCAGCATGGTGGGTGCGGTAACCCATGGAGAAAACCTCATTAGAAGTTTTGCATAACTTGAGAAAGAACCGTTACAAAGGAAGCTTGTTGTTGTTCCTGTTAAGGGGCGTTCACACCGGACTTAACTTCGGCGTCAAAAGCGTCAGGTTTCCATTGAAAGTGAATGGTGAAGCGCGTCAGGTGAAGCCGAGAGCCCCGGCGTCACTTGACGCGCGTCAAAAGCTTCAAGAGTCGCGCGTACTACGCGCTCACTTGAAGCTTTTGACGCGCGAAACGCTCGCGTATCAAAACAATCCCTCTGACGCCGAAGCTGAGCAAAGCTGAGCTTTTGAAGCTTTGACGCAGGCTTCAACCAATCAGGACACGAGGAGCAGCAGCAGCAGAGGGTCTGTCTCTGTCATGGAGAGAAGTCATGTATCTGCTGCTGCTGTTTTATTGTCATTATTAGTAATATTATTTGTATGAGTAGTAACATTCTGAGTAACAAAATCATTGTACACATGCTGTGTAGTAAACGTAGTTTATTTAAAATAAGAACAGGCTGACGATGAGTCTGGCTCAGAGCAAGGCAGCTCCAGGCGGGCGAGAGCCGGGGAGAGGCAGGGAGAGGCGAGCGAGAGCCGAGCCGGGGAGAGGAGAGGCAGGGAGAGGCGAGGAGAGAGAGGCAGGGAGAGGCAGGGGAGAGGCGAGAGAGAGGCGGGGAGAGGCGAGTGAGAGCCGGGGAGAGCCGGGGAGAGGCGAGCTCCGGGGTTTGAGAACTCAGACTGGCCGAGTGACATGCGGAAGTACCGCTGAAAGCGAAACTCCTCCGTACGCAGCTCCTGGAGTAAATGACGGAACTCTGCAAACACTGCAGCCTCTCAAGTCTGTGGTGAACCCAGAACATGTTTTGTTGAAGCCCTACAACAACGTTATTTTGCTTTATATAACAAATAAAGGCTCGCTGCTCATTGAAAAATCAACCGCTGTCCTGACTACAGACAACAGAGAAGCTCCTCCCACCGGCGTCAGGCGCGTCACTCGCGTCAAAAGCTTCAAGCACCAAAATGACAAAACTATCCCGGCGTCAGTTGAAGCGCGTCAAAAGCTTTTTGAAGCTTTTGGTCTGAACGCGCCTTTACAGTCGCCGTTTCTTCATGCGCTCACACTAAAGCTAAACATCACCAGTGCTCATACGCACAAAAGCCGGTATTTCAGTTTCATTTCCTCAAAATTATATCGGTATTATAGGCAAATGGTACGATATCGCCCAACCCTATTGAATGTTACCCTTTGTTGCTTGTAAATCATCTGATTCACAGACGTACACAGCTGTTCAGTGACTGTACAGACACTAATGTCACAACGAGAAGTCAGTGCAAATATTGAAATGAGTTGATATCACGGTTCCGTCAAATAACTTTTACAAAGCTTTGCGCAAAATTAGAATGGAAAGAGGCGGTGCATCTGTTTTAGGACCTTAATGTCTGCCTAAGGTGCATTTTCCCTTCAACTGAAGACTAGACTTATCTGATTTTTGACCGTTGACGCATGTTTCCTTTAGTTTGGAATTTGTGTTGACGGGTGTTAACTTATTCAGTGTATCAATGCAGTGCGTGGGTGAGTTGGCATGAATGTCTGAAATGGACTTGTACTGTTAAAACTACACTGAAAAAACAAAGGTTTACGTTACCCATTAAGTGGTAGTCTAGCCTGTGTCTGGATGCTACTTGGTGCAGGATAAGCAGAGCTGCTGGCAATGGTCACAAAGGGTGTCTGCTGGAGCTAACAAAATAAAACATTTTTTTATATATTGGTGTAATATTGTGTTTTAAAAAGATGTTTGTACATTTTCTTAACAAAAACAGTCCCTACCTGAGTGACATATTGAGCAGGAACAACTGCATATCCCACATTTCCAGCTCCTGGAGCTGGAGCCAGTACAGTTCCTGGAGGCAGATTGGTGAAGTTGGGCTGGATCTGTGGAAGGGGGGTGGCTGGCATGATCAGGCGCTGTTGAGTTTGAGGAGTGGATATTTGAGCAGTCGTTGTCAAAGGTTTCGGTGCCACCTGCAAAGAACAGTTAACCTTAAAGATGAAACTGAAACTGAAAGAACCGGGATCATGGAAGCGACGAATACCAACCTGTTTCACAGACTGTGCAGGGACAATTGGGACAGACATCCTTACTGCTCCTGTACTCACCATCATGGGTTTGGCTGAGACAAAGACATTATAGATGTATTCATTAATAAATAATGTCGTATGTCATGTATCTTTGTTTCCTCAAGCAATACTGAACTCAGAAACTTACCTGTCTGTATAGAATTGGTGGGGCCGCCTTGTTGGACTGTATTGCTTGCCGTTGTTGATGTGACAAGGCGGACATAATGGAACCTGCTTCCTGGCACTTGAATCTGCTGCACATTTGGTTGTGTTGCAAGTGGAATAAGGGTTTTGAACTGAGAACCACCCACACCACTCACTGCCACAGACTGCACAGGTTTGATATTCTGAAACAGAAGACATACAAAAATAAATTGATTTAAAATTGATTGTGAGCGAGTATTATGCCTTGTGATAAATGTTCCAATGTATTTGACATTGAGGAAACAGCTGGATCTTACCTGGGCTGTTGCTTGACTTGAGACCACTTTGACGGGTGACGCTGATGTTGACTGCTGAACTGCAAGTATCTGCTGACCAAGTGCTACATTCATAGGCAGAGTGACGGTCTTCGGAGGGGCACTTTGAGTTGGAGATGCCACAGATACTACAGTTACCTGCAGAAATTAATAAAAGTGTATACATGATCATACCACTCAATAAAAGTTTGAGAGGACTCAAACCCCCACATGCATTAGTTAAGACCTTTTGTATGAGCAGTGCTTTGTTATGCTAAGCTACTCTTTTAATTATATGGTTGACAAATATGCATTATGAAAAGATTTTTACTTGTGTTTTCATTCATTCATTTTGAGCTTGGAGCTGGATATTTTTACTTTCATATGCAATTTACAAGATTAAGAATAAATGTCACAAGTGAATTGTTTCCAGTTCACATCAACCACAGACAGAAGGAGAGCACAGAAAAATTGGTGTCAGAAAGAACTGGTTTCTCCATCACTTCTACAGTCATGACATAAACACATACATGAATACCTTTCCATAACTTCATTATCTGTCTAAGGGTATTATATATTTTCCTGATACTGCTCAAAATGGATTGGTAAAATTAAGAACTAAAATTAAAATTCATTAGTTCTAGGAGTTTTCTATTTTAGTATTTTGTATCCTGTATGTCGTTGCTACACTTTATTGTCATGATGTGCAATGTGCAATATCTATTATACAATACAATAACTGTGCGTAAACAATTGGGGGTTTAGCAATTTACCTTACTTGGTGTCTTCAAGGGGGAAATAGCAATTTTTTTTCCTGGGATACCCTGTAAACTAGTGTTAATAGACTCTGTTAAAGTAATGGTTCTGGCCGGCAAAACAGGCGAGGACTGAGTTAGAACACGTCCTAAAAAATGGATAAAAAGGAATATCACTGTAGGTCACAAAGTAATAATAAAAAAATAACATTTGAATTTATTGTATGGGGAAAATCCTACCTGCAATGACCGGAGACTGTGGACCAGTCGCTTTGCTGTTTACCGTTTTTGTGATTATAAATTTAATTGGTGCAGCAGATGATGTAGGAGTTTTCTTGGCGATCTGTTACACATTTGGAGACTGTGTTATAGTGAGGATATAAATAGATGTATATGTGTGGTCCATTATATAACATTAAACAAACTATTATTATAACAGAAACATATTGTATACCTGTACAGTCTTGGCCTGTAATGCAGTCATCTGATTAGTTAGGCCTCCAATGAGTGGCTTCAGTTCAGTTCTTCCACCTATAGTGACAACTTTAAATTGTGGAGTTTGAGTTTTGAGGTCCCCAGAGGTTTGCCCCACAGCAGCCTTTCCAGAAGGTGGTAACTGCAAAACTATGGGCTGGCCTGACTTGCCAATAGTTGTAACCAATAGCTTCTGTCCTTCTTGCTTTATAACCTGATGAGTAGTAGCACCAGATTTAGCGGCTTCACCCGCCTGTGCTGAGGCCACTTTATTTAGAATAATTTGATGGTTTGCTGCAGAAATGGTGAAGGGAGAAGAAAGCTTATGCAAACCACCCATTGCGACAGTGGTTCCAGTTACACTGTCCGTAGTTTTGCAGTTGGCAGTGGAGGTTGCCAGTGATCGTTTGAGAGTGGGCAGAGATTGTTTACTTGTAATAGAAAAGGAATTAGGAATTTCTGCACTGCTGCAGGGTGCAGGGTCTTTTGAGGTGGGAATAACTACTGTTCCAGCGGCTGATATGATACCAGAGGAGGGCTCTTTATCCTGTGAAGGCAAAGGTTTTTCAATCTCCATTGGTACCAATGCCTCAGTGGTAGATTTGGATTGGGAAGTGGTGCCATGAGTTTGGGAGGGAGGAAGATCCTCTACTGCTTCAGTATCCATGATCTCATCAGGGAGGAGGCTGTTGAGCTCCGGAGACACGACATCCATATCTGCCACTGTTTGTCCCTTTCAATTAGATAAGACCTAACAAAGGCAAGATAAAGTTTAAATTATTATCAACAGAATAGAAATAGAAAACAAAAATCATATTTGGAGACGCAAACATGTTTACATGGCTTTCTCAGTTCTCAGCTATTATAAATCATTACCTTACAGAAATGTACGTTGGAGAATAGTATTAAGTTTTGTGTAAAAACGAAACAATCTACCTGAAAAACACTTGTCAATACAAATAACTAACTATATCCACTTTCGTTACAGACTCAGAATCCAGAATTAAGACAAAAGACAAATAAACATTACATTTATAAAGCTTAAAATAACGCATAAAAGGGATTTGCTTTAATGGGAAGATTAATATGAGTTTTGACATCGTCGTTTATCGCGATATTTTTACAGCAATGCCACAAGTCTTTCAAATGCAAACCTGTTCTTACATATATGCAAACGTGAATATTGTCTTGGACAACATGAGAAAGCGTAAAGCCGCTTGTTGGTTTTGATACTATTTAAGGCAAGGGTTGGATTTCGAAAGATCCGCCATTTTTATATCGTCATCAGCACAGCTAGCAAGCTTTCGGCTAAAAACAGCAGATTATAAACACACCAAAAGTAAAGAGGACACCAACATGGATCATGGAAGAGTAGAAAACACAAACCAGTTTGAATTTGTTAAGTTTACGAAGAACTATTTTACTGTAAACAGACATGCAACATCAGACAATGCTAGCTTTCATAAACAAAGTCAGGTATATTTGTAAAATAAGTATACAGGCCGCTGCAATAGGAATCGTTAGGTGCTGAGAAGAGTAGTTTCTTATTTGATACGTGCATTAAATGTGCCTAACGCAAGAATGAACAGAACAACTAACTTGTCAAGTAACTATTTTTTATTAAGTGTTTACTAAGTGTTAACTAAGTGACAACAAAAGTACTAAACATGTGAACTAAATATGCAATGCTTTTGCTATTAGACACATACATTTATCCAGGTTGTTATTAATGTCAACCCATCATCAGCAGGACAACTGTAATAGCAAACTTGCTGAGCTTGCTAACCCAGCTAGCTAGCTGTAAGATGCTTCAATACAAAAGCTATTTTTAAGGGCCTTGCGTTTAGTGACTCAGTGAGAAAAATATATCTTTCAGCATTGCCTTGTGTGTTGCTTACCTGTGTTTTTGACTATTAGCAACGATTGCAGATAAAACAAGAAAAGGAAAAGCAATTGTTCAAAATACCGCGCCGAGCGCCATTCCTCCCTGACATTTCACAAACCAACCACGCCCACATCACCCGACGTCATCACGTAAAAACGCCTTAAAGTTACAACAACACACAATATTTATTTTTTATGTCAAGCAATTGTATAATTCTGAAGGGTTTTTTATTGTTTTATTTATAATGTCTAACCACGTATGAGATACTGTTTACCCATAGAACTCTGCTAATGTCATGAATGCTCTTCAAAGCTAGGGCACCTAATTTCTAGACCGCAAAAAGTCGATATATATACATTTCAAATCTACCTCACTTGTTAATCGCTCTCAAAACAGTTTGGTTCTATCACCAGTTTCCACATTCTACATGTGTGCCTAATAGATCCATGCTGTCACTCTTTAGATACACATTTCCGGAAAGAATAGTGAAACAGAGAAGATCATCCTCTCTTAGCCCATCATTTCTCATCTCAAAGCCACACTGACTCTTTCTTACAAGTATGCATAAGTGACATAACGAAAGACACATAGAATCACAACAGAAAGGAACTTGTTTGTTTAATTTACAAATCGTCCACCCAATGTAAAGGGGGCAGCATCACGCGGAGCTTCCATAGAGCGCCAGAGCTCATCAGAGAAGAAGAACCCTGCACTGCTCCTTAGCTGTTGTTGTTGTGGCCGATTTGGAGGAGAATTATGGCGTCTGAAATGAAACAGGAGCTCTTGCAACTGATGAATTCAACCGGATCCCATAAAGACTTAGCAGCCAAGTTAGTATACACACAAATATCCCTCAAAACAAAAAACTATCCAGCACCAGCTGCACCTTGCCCGAATTGACCGTCTCGGTAGCTAACACGGCTAAGCTAACTTTTAGTCCTTACGATCGTAAAAAGCTACACACTGACAGCCTTGACCAACCAGTAAAAATAAAATAAACGCATCAAATGCGTGGTACGTTCCGGAGATGGCCACCTGGAGTCAAAGGTGAAGTGAAGAAATGGGAAATGTTCCAACATATATAGTTAAAACATGCAATTAGGAGGACATGGTGGTTCTTACTTATTATTAATAATATCGAATGAAGTTATTTTAGATTTTATTTGTTATGCACAAATGGAGCCCCATTATTCGCAGTCTCTAAATAATTGTTTTTATTCTAAATGTAGTATTCGGCATCCCCCTTTATTTACATTGGCCCTTGCAGTAATTCACTAAAAGCTTTGCGCTATAGATTAAGGATAAACAATACATTTCATTATTTGTTTAATGGCCATAGCTTTTGATGTAAGTTTATAACATAACTATTACTAAGGCATAACTAAACTACCACTAAACTACTACTTGAATATTATTTCAACATATTAAACGTAAAGGCTTTCACTGCCATGAATTTCTTTGTAGATATCGTCAAATTTTGGAAAAAGCTATCCAGTTAACCGGTGCAGACCAACTGGACTCCCTGAAGGCGTTTGTTGAAGCAAGTAAGAGATATTGAATCGGTGTTCTGTTTGTATTGAATTGTTTTATTTATTTTTACGTTTTTTAATTTATTTTTTCCAGTGGTCAATGAAAATGTCAGTCTAGTGATCTCAAGGCAATTACTAACGGACTTCTGCACCCATCTGCCAAACTTGCCAGATGCAACGGCAAAAGCAGTTTATCATTTTACCTTGGAAAGAATTCAGCCCAGAGTGATCTCCTTTGAGGAACAAGTAAATGTTAACTTAATATGTCATTAGTCATAATATATGGCATGTATATAGCGCCTTTCATGAGCTACTCTTGTAGCCACAGCTGCCCCAGGGCAGATCCACAAAACCGCATGTGTCCATTAAGACCTCTATTTTTAGGTGGCCTCAATCAGACAACATTTGGCAACCATTTATGAAAAGGAAGGAGATTGGAGAAATGCGGCCCAGGTGTTGGTTGGAATTCCTCTGGAAACGGGACAGAAGTGAGTGACACGTGACTTTCTGTGCAGTGTTACAGAGAATAGTTTCTGGATGCTCTAATCGTGTGACTGCGCAACCTCTTTCAGACAATATAATGTTGACTACAAGTTGGACACCTACTTGAAAATTGCCAGGCTTTACTTAGAAGATGATGATCCAGTACAGGCTGAAGCCTACATAAACAGAGCGTCACTATTACAAAACGAGTCTGCGAATGAGCAATTGCAGATCCATTACAAGGTAAAATGTATATACTTTATTCCTATGGAAAGTGTTGTCATCGTCACATTGTTATTTCAGGTGTGTTATGCCAAAGTGTTGGATTTCAGAAGGAAGTTTATAGAAGCTGCACAAAGATACAATGAACTGTCTTACAAGTCGATTGTCCATGAAAGCGAACGATTGGAAGCATTGAAACACGCTCTCAACTGCACTATTCTGGCCTCTGCAGGTATTTTATTCAAGTCAAGTAGATGTCTGCAAAATGGTTTGCAATTCACAAACTTCAAAGATTTGACATTTTATATTTAAGGGCAGCAGCGTTCTCGTATGCTGGCCACTCTGTTCAAAGATGAACGTTGCCAACAGTTGGCAGCTTACGGGATTCTGGAAAAAATGTATTTGGATCGAATTATTCGAGGAAACCAGCTGCAAGAGTTTGCTGCAATGCTCATGCCCCACCAGAAAGCCACCACTGCAGATGGTGAGTACATTCTTTGCTGTAGTGTTTTTAATTTCACTGTATACGTCGTCTGTAATTTATAAATGACACAAAAAAATGTCTGTAATTTCATATATGCATTATACATGTACACAGCTTTAACCTGACAAAAGCCACTACATAACTATTGACAGCCTTTAAAAGTGAAGCTCGCTGATCCACACTTACCTTTCCTCTTTAGGTTCCAGCATACTGGACAGAGCTGTAATTGAACACAACTTGTTGTCAGCAAGTAAACTATACAATAACATAACTTTTGAAGAATTAGGAGCATTGTTGGAAATCCCTCCAGCAAAGGTAAGACGAAGAAGTACAATTTGGACAAAAGAAAGTCTCCTAAATACAGATACAAATACAGTATATTATTTTTCTTGAGATTCTTTTGAGATTTTTTCTTTTTCCCCTAAAAAGGCGGAGAAAATAGCTTCTCAAATGATTACTGAAGGACGCATGAATGGCTTCATTGATCAGATCGATGGCATTGTACACTTTGAAAGTAAGTTATTTTTATAACAAAAGACATCCACCCTTAAAATGCATTGATTTCTTTACTTTTTGCAACAGCCCGTGAACCCCTTCCCACTTGGGACAAGCAAATACAGTCTCTTTGTTTCCAAGTCAACAACCTTCTGGAGAAGATCCGAACAGCAGCACCTGAGTGGGCCACACAAGCTATGGAAACACAAATGACTCAGTGACCGACCGACTTCTCAAATGAGAAGATCTCATGTTGGCACTTCTTGTCTTGACTGCTCACGTGCCGTATTCAGTCTGACACTGTTGTATGTTAACCCTCAATACAATTTTTCCCCTGGTATGTAAATTAAAGTAAAACATTTTTTAAAGGATTTTATCAGTTAAACATGGTATAAATGTTTTGGAGCTACTTGTATTACTTTATTAGTGATACAAAATTGGAACAAGTAAACATTTTCATGACACTGCCATGACCTGTACAAGTATTTTTGTTTCTGATGTAAGAACGGTACTTGTATAAACACAGATATACTCATAATTGGAACTGGAGGAAACTCTTCAAAGTTGTGTTTTGATAAGGTCTAAAGAACCATGTGAAAACATGGATTTATCTCATTGTAAATGGGAATCTTAGTCAGTGAGCAAGGTGCCCAAATTTGGCTAAAGTGTACCATTATGGATGGCAACTCTAATGTAAAGATTATCCATCCAGCCATCCATTTTCTTCCGCTTCATCCGTTGCCGGGTCGCGGGGGCAGCAGTCTAAGCAGAGACGCCCAGACTTCCCTATCCACACACACCTCCTCCAGCTCGTCCGGGGGGACTCCAAGGCGTTCCCAGGCCAGCTGAGAGACATAGTCCCTCCAGCGTGTCCTGGGTCTTCCCCGGGGCCTCCTCCCGGTGGGACGTGCCCGGAACACCTCCCCAGGGAGGCGTCTAGGAGGCATCCGGAACAGATGCCCGAGCCACCTCAACTGGTTCCTCTCGACGTGGAGTAGCAGCGGTTCTACTCCGAGCTCCTCCCGTGTGACTGAGCTCCTCACCCTATCTCTAAGGGAGCGCCCAGCCACTCTGCGGAGGAAGCTCATTTCGACCGCTTGTATCCGCGATCTTGTTCTTTCGGTCATTACCCAAAGCTCATGACCATAGGTGAGGGAGGGGACGAAGATTGACCGGTAAATTGAGAGCTTTGCCTTTCGGCTCAGCTCCCTCTTTACTTTTATGTAAAGATTAAATAAAATTTAATATCTGAAGAAGATACTTTATTGATCTCACAATGGAGAAATTTGGGTCGATGAGTACACATCAAGGCATGCAGCGTAGTATTACTTTTGTGCTCCTTATATGCACTGGAGACCAGAACTTTCCAGTGTAAGAATATATATATATATTTTTTTTATTTCCTCAATGTCACAATATTGAGAGAGGTAATCCTTCTGAATTATGTATAGTTTCTATAATGAATTAATTAATTAAAAATGTCAAGTGCTGGTATAGATTGTACTGCAGTTTAGTAATTCTACCATGGGTAGGAGGGGTGTCAAACCAGTCCTCAAAGGGCTATAGTGGCTGCAGGTTTTCATTCTAACCAAGCAGGAGCACCAGACTCCACCCATACCCCTGGACTAAGGTAAGCGTCAAAGGAAATTCTGTTTTCTTTAGCTTTATCCCAGCAGTAAGCAGAGGCTGTTATTAGACTTAAACCATATTTGTTCACAGCCTTCCCATGCCAGGTGATGGACCTCAGATGGCCCTTAATTATTTAAAAAAATATTACACCTCTTGCCGCCAAAGTTGCAAAATTGCAACATTCGCTCCTGAATCCAGGACACTTCATATAGAGCAACCTGGCTTCCCAAAGACGTTTTCTTACATTTGTCTTAAATATTTTCTATTATATCTAGATTTGTTTGTTTTGTTTGCTTCACATCAAAAACATGTACAAATCTCCAAGTTCTTCTCCGTGTTCTCCTCTCAGTGGTTCGTGCATGGAACACCTCCTCAGAGAGCTGTCCAGGAGGCTTCCAAAACAGAAACGTCTGCAGTAAGTGAAGGTGCATTCTGCTGCAGACAGTAGTCTCCTGTGTGCTTCAGCTCAGATCACCGGAAATAATAAGTTATACATAAAAATCCAAACTGCCCACCTCACCTAGGTCTACTAAATCTTAGATAAGTGTAAATCACCATAAATGAAAGACTACAAAATCAACTGTAAATACTAAAACTGAGAACAAAAATAAAAATCTTTTGATTATAATACTTCCATAATGTAAAAACTGGATATAAACTAACAATAGAACTAAATTGTTGGCTGAGTGGGCAACACTCAAGAAGGTTTTGGGTCTGATCTTGTGTCCGGGTGGGTTTCCTTCATTGACCATAGGCAAAATCCTCCAGCAACAACATCTGGAGATGTGTCCCAGGGCACTGCACGACAACCACATCTCTCTCCTGGACAACCACATTGCCCTACAGGGACAATAAAGTATACATTACTTGTAATCATTCAATCTCATTTGTTTTATTTGCATAACACAATTCATACAAAATAAGTAATCTTTATTTGAATACCGCTTTTTACAGACCAGAGTCACAAAGCGGTTTACAATTGTTATTTTTTGGGCATTTGTCCTCTCACTCGACACAGAGATGGGAGTTGGGTCGCCAGTACAGGAGGCGCATGCCAGACCTATTGTACATGTTTTTAGTGGTAGGGGAAACCGGAGTACCCGCAGGAAACCTACGCAGACACGGGGAGAAACTCCACTCAGAAAGGCCCTGTTCTGACCAGGATTCGAACCCAGGACCTTCTTGCTGAGAAGCGAGAGTGCTATCCACTCAGCCACAATTCTACTTCATAATGACAAAATTAAAAAGCCTCATACGAGCAACATTTTTACAGTTTAAAACCAATGTTTAAATCTATGTTCACTTAAAATGACATGGCTGTTATTACAAATCAGACCACAAGATGGCTCACTTTCCTTTAAAACAACTAACACGGCAATTTCTTTTAGAAAAATGATGGACCAAGTTTGTGAGACCAACCAAAGCCTGTCTGCCAATATAATTGACTGCATAGTGCTTTTGACGTGTGAGATCTGAAAGACGTCTTCTGCCTGCAAGCAACCACTCAAATAAAAAATGAACAAAGATTAGTGAGCATATATAGAGAGAGAGAAAGAGATGTATGTTGTTAGAGTGCGTATTGTCCCCTGCGTGTTTTAGTAACGTAATATAATATAAAGTAATATAAAGTAGTGGCTCCAACAGGCTGCCTAGGTGAGTATCAGTGATGGACATGCGCACGGCTGATGAAGAGGCACATCTGCACTGACGTCACCTCCCTCTGAAAAAGCTGCTAATTTGAAGGTGTCCAGGACAGAGACATAACCCGGTCTCTGCAGCCGCCGTGCGAGAAGCGACAGCGTCTTCCACAAACTTTTTTCATTTTTTTTTTTTGCGCCTGTACTCGCATACTTTGTCCAATCTCTGCGACCTCGACTAACTTCTTAAGCCCCTGCCCTGAGCACACACACACACAAACACACACACACGCACACCAAGTCAAGATTATAAAGAAGACGACTGATGGGCTGGAAATAGAGCCTTCTCCTGGACCACATCCAAGCCCCCCCAAAAAAGCTGAGTAACTTTTTGAGTGCGTCTGGTCTGAGGTGGAAGCGACGCTGCAGATTTAGAGAATGACTGGACCCAAAAAGACATGAACGCTGGAGAGGCGCAGCAGTGGGAGCGTGCAAGATCTGTGGAGCACAAAGCTTTTGTTCTGTGGTCTTCCCATTTGGACCGAAGATAACGATGAAGTCTATCTGGGTAGGCATGTGTATTTAACTCCATATTTTATACAGCGTGACCATCTATATGTGTTGTAACAAAAGCAAGAGTTCAAGAACCAAGTTAAGTCAAAACACTCTCACATATACATTAAGATATAAGCAATTACTGTTTTAGGCAGCAGCATATACAGCAACAATCTGAGTGAGATTGATTGTAAATATATCAATGTTTACTGTCAATATATTGTTAAGGATTATGTCTGCGTTTCTACTTAACAATACCAAGTTCAACAGACAGGGAAAATCTGCTTTGCCAACAAATCAAAGTCTTTGATGTGATGTCACGCAGTTTCTTGTGGTTGCAGGCAGCTTGCAGCTCTATTTGAGTTTATGCCGGTGTTCCTACGGGCTGCCTGCCAACTGTCTGGGTCATGGTGGCCAAGTCAGAGCTGCTGTCTGGACTATGCAAGTCTGTCTCTGAGCTGTAGAAATATACACAGCGTTAAGAAAGTAGTTCCTTAACATACTATGAAACCACTATTTGTCATATGCTTAAGCAATACCATAACAATGACATGTTTCTAATTAGGTTAACAGGATGATTGGTGTATAATGCATTCAAGTCAGGCCATATAGTTTCAAACAAATAGCATGCCTCTCATACCCCCTAGCATTTTACTTTCTCTTTTACTTCCAGTTCAAAAGATACCTGAACCGGTAACCAGGTAGACACGGAAACTTTCATAATCAAAATGCTTTCTAATCTTTTTACAGAAACTCAAATGGATTGTTCAGGACATCCTCCCCATTTAAAGAACTACCCAACAAAGGCAACTGCCTCTGGTGGATTACAGGGTTGCTACCAGACATGACTTTAGACGGCAATAAGACTTGGAAGCTTTGGCTTTCAGATGAAATTTGAACCCTGGGTGAGCAAGAAATTGGCCCACAGACACTCAACGTTTACAGAGGCAGACCATGGACTTGTTATGGTGCGTCATCCAACTGAGGGTCTGCCTGTAGACTTTCTCTAGCAGCTTCTCTCCCTCCCCATGTCACACGCTGCCCAAAATTATGGAAATTTTGTGGAAGACGCTGACATGGACTCTGAGCCTGGTGGTGATGGCTACTTCTGAATTTCAAGACGCCAACAAAATGCCACACAGTTCTCAAGGTAAGGCAAACATTCATCAAAGCAGACGCATGTGTTTGATGCAGTGTGTGTGTCCAACTTGCATGTTTTTGTGTGTAAAAGAGGAGTTCCTGTCATATCTGCAGCACTATCAGTTGACAGTCCCAGTGCAAGTGGATGAAAATGGCAAGTTCCTGAGCTACACTGTGAAACATAAACAATCAGGGAGGTGGAGGCGTGATTTGGCGGATCCACAACCTCTGCAAGACCCCCTGGAGTCTCGGCTCTTCTATAGCCTGTCAGCTTATGGAAAACACTTTCAATTGAACCTGACACTCAACCCTCATTTCATGTCAAAACAATTCACTGTGGAATATTGGGGCAAAGGAGGCTTGGAATGGCGACATAACACAGTAGATAACTGTCATTATGTTGGATTCTTGCAAAATCAGTATAGCACATCCAGAGTGGCCCTCAGCAATTGTAAAGGCTTGGTGAGTACATGTTTTTTGTTGTTGAAAATGACCAATAATGTGTTATGTGATTAACCATTTAATGACAACCAAACACATCTCATATTTTGTCCAAACTCCCAGTGGTTGTGAGTATATTGTTTGTCTTCCCGGTCAAAGTCACGTTATTTCATTACGGCTGTGATAATTGACTAACAGAGTTAAAATTAATATATTTATGCCTATATAATTACATTTACATCACATAGATCAGAACAGCTTTTTGTCATTGTCCATGGTTTGCTATGTGTTAAGAGCATACCAGCAGCTGGCAGACATGTGCAGCTTTATCAGTTTCTTAAACCTTGTCTTGCATGTCGATCTTTGTTTTATGTGCTAGTGTGACATGCAATGTGTATTTTAGAGCCAGAACTCCAGAGCTAAGAGGAACTTTCAATCCAATCTTTCTCTATTTATGCAGAATATAAACACATGCTGTTTCCAAAGTGCAGCACAACACAAGAACAATCAATAGCACATTTAATTCAATAGTCCCTTGAGGTTAAAAATGTCGTTATTATTATTATTATTATTGAACAGTAAGACGGTAAGGATCATTGAGTTTAACAGATACTTCATGAATCTGTTCTCTTGACTCCAAAGCACGGTGTGATAACGACAGAGGAAGAGCAGTATTTCATCGAGCCGTTAAAGAACATGTCCTTGACTAACTCCAATGAATGGAACCTGGATGAAGCACAGCAGCATGTTATTTATAAAATGTCTGCCATTCCCTCACCACACGAGCACAGCCAGGAGTTCAGCTGTGGCATTTCAGGTTGGTTCACCTCCGTCTGGGTTTGGACGTTATGTGGGTGAATATGACTCTGGAGAATGATTTAAATAGCTGTTTTGAGGAAGATGTTGGTTTGGTGTTTGGTAGACATGACCAGGCCTCTGTGTGCTGTGCTTGGGTCTGAGCTGTCATGACATCCATCAAATGTAAAAGGCCTGTTTATAAATAAATCAGCCTGATTCAATTAGAACTATTTTAACAAAACAAGTGTAATACATTTCAAAACTAATCGTCAAGAAATATGACATCTTGGAAAAAATAACCAGATGGTAAGGCAGGTATTTGGGCCATGATCTTGTAAGATGGAGAAAAGGCTGTCTCCACCAGGAACTTTGCATGCCCTAACTTGTACCATCTTATAGCTTTTCCCAGAGCATCTGGGTCATAAAGCAAAGGCCTTAGCTGTAAGGTTCAAAGGGGAAGAATCCCCAAGTGCATTTCAAATACTTGCTTTCCCACAAAAGGAGTATGTGCTCTTATTCAATGTACAGTATTACTCTAACAATTGGGGCTAACTTGTGATTGTGGCTGTTCTCAGATCTCCGTGCTCCGTCTCCGTTAAGAGCCGCCTCCAGTGATCCGCTGTCACCTGCTCCACAGAGTGAGCTGTGGAACAGCACACACAGACAGAGGCGCTCTGTCAGCAGCGAGCGCTTTGTCGAGACCCTCGTTGTTGCTGATAAAATGATGGTCGGTTACCATGGACGCAAAGACATTGAGCACTACATTTTGTCAGTAATGAATATTGTAAGTGTTTTGTTTTTGTTTATGGCTATATTTATGTATAATTCAAGGATACAAATGTCTGACTTTTTGTCTTTTATTCTTTTCTGGAGGTCAGGTTGCCAAACTTTACCGTGATGCCAGTCTAGGAAATGTTGTGAACATTATAGTCACGCGTTTGATTGTTCTAACAGAAGATCAGGTATGAACACTTTTAGACATAACTTATTTATTATTAGTTTCTGATTAAGTGCTGGAATAAAACTATTACCTAGTCATTATTGTAAAATGTTTTTAAAATACATTTGTGTTTCTTTCAGCCAAACCTTGAAATTAACCACCACGCTGATAAGTCTCTGGATAGTTTCTGTAAGTGGCAGAAATCCATCCTCTCGCATCACAGCAGCGGCAACAATATCCCAGAAAATGGAATGGCTCACCATGACAACGCTGTACTAATCACAAGGTTAGTCACGCTGCGTAGAAAAATAGTGAATTAACCGTGGATTCAATTATGTTTTAGAATCTTTTCCAAACTAAATAATGATTTGAATTTGATGCCACATATTGTACTTTCAAATAACCAGATTTGATTTTGTTTTAGTTTGGACACTACATAAACAGCACTTTTGACTTTAGTGGATAATTAATGTAACAACTAACTTGCCATATTGGCTTTGTTTGCCTGGAGTCCAGAACAGCTGTAACGTGTCCTTTGTTCCGACTTTTATACATTAGTTCATTTGTTGAATTTGGCAGGAATTTGGGTCATTGTTACTTGTTTGAAAAGTGCATTGGTGTGATACTGAGGGGGAAATCTAGATCATTTACTTCCTGAATGGGGTTGAAATGTTTCTGTGGGAAAAGTTCAACAAATTGGACAAAAATTAGCTGTTGGACAAAGACATTAACTACACGGTGTAAAAAGAGTTTCCCCCTCACTGTCTGTGGTGACATCAGCTAATATCATGTTTTATGTCATATAAATGTTATTTTGAATGAACAACGATACATTTGCTCAATGCCACAATATTGAGAGGGGGTTGATGAGATATGGTTATAATTACTTTCTTCCAAGTCAGAAGTTTTCTTTGACAATCTGGGGAAGCCCAAATATAGTAATGATGGTATGCAAAAGTAGTTACAAAGTGTGTATTTCATCTCATCTGTAAATACTGCAATCATGCGCAATACTGGAATTTCACAATGTCCACTTTTTTCTATTCATTCTGCCCATGTTTCAAAATAAATGTATTGCTCCTTGTAAAAAACATTGATAGCTTCTTATCTATGTATATTGTGTGTGTACTCTTACTACTGTCCTGTATGTGCGCTGCAACCCTGAAATTTACCCACTGTGGGATTAATAAAGGTTCTTTTTTCTTAAAGTGGCTTAAGGAAAACTAAGTCAGCCAATCACAAAGACCTCCATTCAATTCCGTATAAAAACCTATGAGTGAGACGGCCTACAAACCTGGTTCAGTTGCACCAGTTCTGTCGGAGTAATGGGCCAGAATTCAAGCCAATGTTTGTGGGAATCTTGCACAACTCGCCTCATTCTGTTTTAACCAAAAATCTCAAATATGTGCCTCTCTCAATATTGTGGCATTGAGCAAAACAGATTTTTGAAGATGATTTGAAAAATACGGAGAATGTTTGTGCGTTGTTTCATTTGAATACGTTATAAGTAGAGTTTTAACAGAAACTGCGACTAGCTTTGTGGCCGTGTTGCAGGGATCTTCACGACTGAGGGCCCTCGCATCTGGGGTCATAATGCACAGAGCATTCTTTGACTAATCTTCCAAAAAACGTAATTTGTTTTTTTGGCTCCTTCTCATTTCTCTCTTTTGAATTTGGAAACTCTTTTTATTAAATTATCAAAATCCTGCAATTTTTCAACTGGTCTTTAAGTAGGGATCTGGACAGTATATCAGAGTTCAATCCAGTGCAGCTGAAATGTTAAAGAAAGTATGAACGATGCTTGAAATAGTTAAAAAACTGCTAAAGTATCGTCACAATGTATTTAATTCACCTCATCCTTGTCCCACAGATATGACATATGCACCTACAAGAACAAACCTTGCGGTACATTAGGTAAGTAGGCTGTTATCATCAAGTAATTATCTTTCACTTTGCCGGTGCAAGATGAACAAGCATACAATTGGATTTTAAATACATTTGTTTCTGTGTGTTTCATGGAACCCTGCAATAGAACACTATACAGGACTTATTAAGCTTTTTTTTCCCTTTTCCCTGCAGTCTGTAACCTCAGTGTGTCTAAGGTGTTTACACTCAGAAAGGAAAAAAGGTATGCGTTGGATGGTCTGGCAACGAGACGGGGGAGGAGAAAGGGGAGTTTAAATGAGTAGAGGGTAGTAACAAAGGAGGAAATGGACATTATATGATGAGTTGAAAGGGAAATGGTAGAGTACGAGATTGCGAGAGGATGAGTGATATTTTGAAAGTTAGTTTGGGTGCATCAAGTTACCCCTAGCCCCCACCCTAAATGTTCTTACCCAATTCTTCTTTCCCTATCTTATCTGCAGCAAAAGCCCCTGAGGCACCACAGTATATCTTGGAGGTAATATTGTGACTTCAGGGGTGGTTTGACAGATTGACCGCATTTGTCACATTCCCCCCATCCCTTTAATTGCCCTGGCATCTGCTCTGTTTCCTCATTGTCTCACCCTGCCTCTGCCCCGGAGGGACCGAGCTCCCAGGTCACGTCTCTGCCCTTTAGGGTCGCTGCCTTAGCAATCGTTATGCACACTGCTCTTCACGCCTGGTTGTCTCACCTTAATTCAATTAATTAATATTTAAAAATAATGATAATAATGTTATGAATTGAATTATCATGATAACAACAACTTTATTTCTATAACACTGACGAGGCTCTTCACAACCGCCAAAATAAGCAACAATACACTGATGCGATGACAAAAGTACAGTAATAATACATAAATAAGAGATATGGCTTGTGAATAAGCCATTTGACGAACATAAGTATTTAAATTAGATTAAAAAAGCACCACAATATCCTCTGACCTTATCCCCAGGGAGAGTGTTCCCAGAGCTGTGGGGCCCTGACAGAAAACACCCTATGACTTCAGGGCCCTCCTTATCTGTTAGCACACCTTAGTTGTGATAAAATCCAGAGAGAAAATGTTGTCGTGGGGGGACAAGGCAAGTTTATTTGTATAGCACAGTTCATACACAAGGGAACTCAAAGTACTTATCAAAACAAGAACGGAAACATAAAAATCCCACAAGGCAAATGAATGAAAATACAATAGTAAGACCATTGTATGCACAGCTAAACAGAAATGTTTTCAACCTGGATTCGAGCATTGTCAGAGTAGAAGCCTGTTTCATTTCCCAGATTTTAGCTCCATAAATCTGAAACGCTGCCTCCCCATGTTTAGTCCTGTCTCTGGGCTCCAGCAGAAGGCCAGTCCCTGTGCTGGTTCATAAGGCACAAACATGTCATGGATGTACTTTGCGAGGCCATGGAGAGACTTGTTCCATGCTCTAAAGTCATGTCTCTACCCTTATCCCCCACCCTGAACTTTCTCACCCAATTCTTCTTTCCCTATCTTATCTGCAGTGGTTCTCAAAGTGCAGGACAGGACCCCCATTCACAACATCTTGAGGCAAATCACAACAATAAAAGTGAAAAAAGGAATAACACAGTGAATTCCAACGAATATGTCGTTTCTTGGCATTTGAAAGAGTTACTGCTTTAAATCCTCTTCAACTGTGGGAAGTTGATGTGATGCATTGTTAGGGGTCCCGCTAAAATGTAAAGCACAGCACACCTGTTGTGGTGTAATCGGATCCATGCTGCTGTCATCTGTAGATATAATCTTTAAAAGAATGGCAATTTTCCACCTGACCTGTGAAACTCTGACTCCTATTCCCAAAGGTTTACAAAAGAAAACATGCATAGTTTGAGATTTAATTAGATGCACTCTGTCTATTGTACTGTTTTTATGTGGTTTTTGTGTGTCACTAGGCCTGGCTTCAGTTGCTGGTATGTGCGAGCCAGAACGAAGCTGCAGCATCAATGAAGACATTGGCCTTGGCTCTGCTTTTACCATTGCCCATGAGATTGGCCATAAGTGAGTTTGATTTATAATAGACAGAGGCTCACAAGAAGCATTACATTTTTTTTAACATATTCAAACTCCATCATACCCTCATATTTTACCCCGTACAAACTTTGGCCATCAGACCTGCTGGTACGATACTTTTTCTCCTGCAGACCGCTTGAACTTTTATTGCTACATTTTTCCTCATGCAAATGTTAGTGTCCGCATTCCTCTGGCTCCGTTTTCCTGAATATAAAGAAAAATAATGATGATGTATTAGTCCATGTATCCCCCGTCTAGAGAGTTCAGCAAGATGGCGATTTCCTTTATTATGTCTCATGTCTGCGTCTGTTATAGGGCAGTTGTAAAAATAGTAGCTGTTTTTAGAGGATTAAAAAAACACTGGTGCGGTGTGAGAGGTTCATTTGAGTTGATTTATTTCCAGACTTGAGGAAAAAGTCTAAATAAACAGGTGCAGGCTGTGAATGTATTTTGCTGTATACATTAGACTTAGAAATTAGCTTTGACATCTTGTTTGGTCTGTGACATCTTGGAATCTTTACTCACTGAAAAAGCTGCATGTTAAATTCAATAAAATGTAATCAACAGAATCTTATCAGTCTCTCTGCTAACTACAAAACAAGCTGTCCAATAATTGTTTAGATTCTTTCAGTTGACTAAGAGTCCCAGGAGAGATTCTGGTGCCAGGTTATAAATAAATAATAAAACAGTTACTAGGGTCAATGAAACATTTTAAATATAAATTCATGTTTTTTGCATAGGACATTTCATACACAGCTTTTGTGAAATCACCAGCGATGCCAAAAACTCAGAGAAAAAGAAAAGGCTGATTTGTTAAAGACGGTCTTACGTTTGTCTGGTCTCGCTAGGAACTCAAAGTCAGAGGAGGAGCAACACCTTGAAACACCTTGAAGAAGAAAGATTAGCATAATAGCATAAAGCTTTCTTCAAAATTAAGCTATTATCAGCAAGACTATAGCAATACTGTCGATCAGAACGTGAAAATTGAGGCCTCTGTGGTCACTAATGCTTATATGTGTTAGTAATACAAGCTATTCTCATTATTCATATTATAATTATTTATTTAAAACGTTTTGGATAATTGTTACATAAATTGTTGGGTAAATTTCTATACTGTTGTTTTTACTAGCACCAGTCAGAAACCTGATGCCAGTCTCTCGGCCATTGCATCTAAAGATCATACAAAGTTATTTTAATTTTATTTGTGTTAATAATTTATTGGTTTAAACATTCCCTTTAAATGGCACTGATGTCATGACACTAATGATTTGTCCAGTCCGTGTACCATATCACCAAAGGATCCTGTGAATATACTTTGGAAATATGAGTCAGAAAACATACAAGACCAGTTTTGCTGACTTGAATTTAAGTTCAGGTCTTATTGAGGATTAACTATTGGCAGGCAAGTCAAACAGGAAAGCCCATTATGCTTTGGTTTGAGTTACTTTTGAGAGAAAGTCTTGTCAGTGTAGTCAATGACCCTGACTACATACTACTACATATGTTTTTTGACAATAGGTTAAATCTCTACCATAGAATTCTAACCAGACATACCGACCGTGTCACCTGAACATGGTTAAATATTGTGTATTTATAAAGTTTGACGCATTCATTCCGCTTGCGTTTCACAAGCTTAGTCTGTGGTTCAGAAGAGAAAGGCTATGGGGCTTAGTTGATGATGGTGAGTCTCCCTTGTGGCCTGCTCAGACCTGCAGGAGGTGATTGACAAGTAGGAATCACACTGGTGATTAGGGCTCCAGACAGACTTCGACCCTTAACCTTAAGATCTTGTCCAGCTGCAACACTCACGTTACCTGTGGTCATTGTGGGACCCGGGAGCTATCTACACATGGGTTGTCATTGTCATAATATTCAAATAAATATCATAACTAATACATATGTGGGGATAAACTGTCTTAATTTTGTATGAAATGAATCTGTATATCCACAAATATACATCATAGCCATCTCTAACATTTCCTTTATTATTTTGACTTTTTCAGTTTTGGGATGAACCATGATGGTATTGGTAACTCTTGCGGTACCAAAGGCCACGAGACGGCCAAACTGATGGCTGCTCATATAACTGCCAACACCAACCCATTTTCCTGGTCTGCCTGCAGCAAAGACTACATTACCAGCTTTCTCGAGTAAGTAGAGGGGTCCCGATGGGAACTCTGGTAAGAATATTAGTGGTTACACGCAGACGGGTTTATCATATTTCTGTTGCCATTCTGTGACATTGGTCTATGCCTAGTAGCTATGTGCACCCAGCTTGAAGCCATTCAATTCAATGTATGTTTAGAAAGCCATAAATCACAACATAGTTTGTCTCGGAAGGATAATACAAAGCTGTCGATTTGCCCACAATGGTTGAGAGAATCGAACACATTGAACACAGAAAATGCAATAGTAATCAGTATACACATAAAAGTCATCGGTCCATAGGGTAGTGGGATATCTGAGCTTACTTCAGTATTATCTTAGTGAGGTCTTATGGGTCAGTCGATGGAGATAATGAGTTTATCTTTTATAGGAAGTAGTGGCAGATCAAACTAGAAAGACTCAGACAAAAATATGCATTCAATGATTATGATGTTTACGGAGTTTTGTTTGCATGAAGTATACTGGTTACTGCTTAATTCTGGCTCTTAGACTCAAGCCGAAATATGTAAGTATGACACGTGGGAGGGAATTGAAATAGTGATTATGAAAACGAGAGTCTCTGGGTCTCACCTTGTTGTGGGAGGCTTGAAATGAATGAGCTGATGACATTTTTCCCACTCTTGAGGTATGAAGGAGTTAAGGAGGGTTGCTGCACGAGCTGAAAGCTGAGGGAGGATGCAGAAATACACCGTTTGAATTCGGGTGTGTAATTGTGTCAGCTGAAGTTGATTGGTGAGGAGTGAGTTGGGGCCAGAGAAGAAAGCGAGGATGCCGTATTCTAGTCTGAACAGTCTGGAAAAGAGACTGAAAAGGATCCAAATCTTTGTAATATTTTATAGTGACACCATTCGACACAATGGCAAAACCTCCGGTTCAGTCATCCACTAAAATAGGACAGTTTTACATGTCTTCTTCTGGGAACAACATTTCAATTGTGTTCAGTTCATTCCATTCAGAACATTATCCTCCATCGAGCGAGTCTATAAAAGGCTTCCTGTTTAAACTGTTCATTTACAGTGGTGGTCAGCATTGTGTTCCCCATTGGTATTCTCTTGAGTGATAAAGGCTATGTTGCTGCGGCCCATAAATCGACACTAAAACACTTATATAGATAGCTCAAGTTTTCTTCAAAGGATAAAAACTAGCTATTGGACAATTGTAAAAAAAAAGCTTTTGTTTGGCTGAATGGACAACTATTTAATTTATGCATATAATTATATTTTTTTTTTATTATTTATAAAAAATAAGTTTGGAGAGGCCCTTAAGGAAAGATGATAAAAGTGGCGGCTGAGGTTAAATAATGTTTCTGTCTGAAAGCTTTGTGGGCAATACGTGAAGTAGAGATGACCGTGTTTATGTGCCAGCTTTCAATCAACATACAAAGAGCTGCTTCTCCACTTCTCAGTTGGGTTCCAGTCCCCACGTTTGGCTCAGATATCATACAGTCACTTCCACCAGAAAGCAAACAAGTGCTCACTTTCCAACTAGCACATTTTCTGTGATCTTCTTAAGCACTCAAAGGGTGTCCCTCCACACCCACCATTTGCATGATTTTAGTTGCAGTCTCATAAAGCAGACCACTACGTTATTGTTGTAACTCTGCCCACTTTTTCTCTCCAAAGTTGGGAGGCCATTCTGCGTGTAGCAGCTGCCACAGCTGGAAATAACACAGTGTTATAGTAAATACTTAAGGTCATATTCTCCTTCAAAGGAATGTGCTGCCTCAGAGAAAAGACAGTAACCACTATTACATTCCCCCCTTTTCTCTGTGGAAAGAATTATTTGAGTGACTTTTCTAATAAATATAACAATTATAGAGCCCAACTATGCACACACTGGATTGGGGTGGTTGGGGGGCAGGGTGTACTGAAATAGTCCATCACAACCTCCTTTCTATATCACTAGTTCTATTGTAGGTATTTGGTTTAAGTCCCACGTCAAAGAGATGATTTTGTGTACTGACAAAATGAGGCTTAAGAACGTTTCTCCGCCTTGATTAGTCGATGTATGAAAAGTTACAATAACAGATGTAGCTGACAAAGAGACACTATACAAGCAACAAAACAAATAATGAGTCTTGTCTTTGTGTTGGAATCCCGTTCTAAAGTTTGTAATATTGACAGCTCAGGTCGAGGGACATGTCTGGACAATGAACCTCCAAAGCAAGGACTTCCTGTACCAACTGTAGCCCCAGGGCAGGGTACGCCATGCAGATGAACAGTGCCGCTTCCAGTATGGAGCATCTTCACGCCAGTGCAAATATGGGGTAAGAAACTGACATTATTAATGATTGTTCACTTATTCACGGCAAGTGGGGACTTCATATGTGTGTTTTTATACACTGAAAAATAAAGAGATAAGCACAAGTTCATGATTACATTAGAACACACCCAGAGCTTTTAGTTTTATGAGTGTAATAACTGTCAATAATACTCAGCTTATGTACTTCTTTGGTCTTCATAACATTTCTCAACCTTTTCTGTTTCTATTTGTTGTTCATTTTTGTTTTGAAACTACCTTTTATTTTTTTACATTTTCACCAAAATGTATAAGTAGCCATTTTCAGTTGCCTTCTTTCTGTTATAAGTGCTTGTCTTGGTTCAGCTTGGATTTCCACCAGAGAAGAGCGGGTGCTAGTTACCATAGCAACACACTGTTTACTGTCAGCAGTTAGCATTGGTCTTTAGCATTAGCATTTCAACAAACTGTTTTTGTATTTCCACGTATATTAACCGACTGTAGTTCTTATTAAAAGTGAGTAAGGTAAAAACCTTACTTACATTGAAAAACTAAACACTTTTGGGGGTTAATGTTTTGAATGGGAGCAGTCAAAAGGATGGCTCTGGAAGTTCTAGTAGTTTCATAATACTAATATTACTTTGATAAAGTGCTTGTTTCATTATGGTTTACAAATATAAAAATTGATTAGTAACCCGCATGGACATGCACAACATGCAGATATCTCATATTTGCCCTCCCCTGGGTTCGTGACCACGCTGCCCCCGCTTCACTTCATGTGGAGGACTGTGGTCACAGCACCAGGTCACAGGTCACTCTGATGACCGCAGACATAAACTGCTCCGACTGGGCTCAAGTTTCACTTGGTTTAGTCATTTTTAAAGTAATCAAGGTTTAATCAAATAATGTGATTAACTTGATTAAATGTTTCATCCTTAATATTTTCTTTTTTATTACAAATAATTCAGGAAGTCTGACAGCATTGTGTTCCACTTCTCAAGTAAACAGCTAAACAAAGAACAAACAGAGCAGAATAGTGAAGGCGAGGTATGAAATACAAACATCCTTTGATGATTATATTTCTAAAGCCCATACTCGGCCTCTGCCTTTTTATTGCCTGCTTGTTCTCCTTTTCCGTAAATCAATCATTCACATCCACATTAGTTAAGGCCGAGGCCACTGACCTTTAACAGGGCTGGGATACTGAGAGAAGAGCTGGGGTGGATTATTAAAAGCAGCTGGTGCTGGAGTTGCTGCACTGTTCGAGAGGAGTTTGCCACTTTATTTAATCTGGATCGGCAAAAGGAGCTGCATGTCCTTGGCATATATTTACTGACCTCAAGGCTCAGAATCTCTGCACAACTCCACGAGTCTGTTTTCATAGGATTGCTCCACTACCATTCATTATATATACAAATATATATTTAGAAATGGTCATGTTGGATGATCTGGTTGAATTTAAAGAGCTGTTCTTGTAACATGCTCACTTTACTGGATCATTTATTTGGCAGCTGAATGTTGTCTTCTGAGTTTTGAACTAAAAACCTCTCATACTGTACAGTATATCAATATCCCCATAGGGAAATGCACCTCTGCATTTGACCCATCCTTTGATGCCACTAAGGAGCATTGTGCACTGACAGGTGCTTCTCCACAATGTGATGCTCGGCTTGGTGAGGACTACCGGAGCACTCGGAGGAAACCCATGCAGAGATCTAACCCTCTGCCTTTTTACTGTGAAGCACGAGTGCTACCCACTCAGAAACTGTGCCTTTCACTACTCTATTTGACATTTTGGAGGACTGTTTTCTCCAGAACCACTGGTGTATATTTGTAGTAGTTAGTTTTAAGAGCAGGAACACAGATTTGACACAGCAGAATGTTTTAGGGTTGGTGAGTGTCATGGGGTCTTGAAGGTTGTCATCTCTCTTAAAGCAGCGCTCTGATTACCACTTTATCACTGTTATATATTTCATTTATTTTAAGTTTCCGGACAGATAATATGCATTTGGTGGAGCCACAGCTGTGTGACAGATGGAAGTTCAATCTACAGCCTATGGGTCGATCAGGCTCGGGTTGGTTTGCTCTTCTGTAGTTACATTGTAGGCGACACTGAGAAGGTGTGTGCCATAGTTCCAGCCAAGTGACAGTTTGTGACAAACTGTTAAAGTAAAGAAAAGAAACATGTGTACTCCTGCACATGTACCCACTGTGGGGTGACTAAAAGTTTCTCTAAAACACGTATCTGACAGTTCTACTTTATAGAACAATATGGTCAATGGTCAAGCACTCCCAATTCGTGGTGGCTTTTCCTCTTTTCATATTTTATTTCAAGATAAACACCAGCTAACAATCAATCACTATCATTTTTATTATGACAAAAAATCTTATCAACTTGCTCTTGCCTTCTTTCCTAGGAAGTGTGTAGAGAGCTCTGGTGCCTTAGCAAAAGCAACCGCTGTGTCACTAACAGTATTCCTGCTGCTGAAGGGACTCTGTGTCAGAGTGGCAGCATCGACAAAGGGGTAGGTCTTGCTTCAAACTCTTTGCTCAACTGCTGACATGAATTATAGTGTTATAGGTCTTATTTTTGTGGACTGCGTAACACACTTTAACATGATTGACACATATAGGCAACATTTGGAAAAAGTGCAAAAAAGTGTAACAACATTATATTAATATATTATGACTTTTCTCCATGCTAAATGTGTCAGTTTGTATAGACGTTTTTACTGCTAGTATAGTAGTGACTCGACACACTTTACACACTGCTGTGTCCTAAATAAATGCAGCAGGCTGTAGGTTATCTGGCCCTTGTTTATGGCCACTATAGGTTATGGGAGACAGTTTTAACTTGGATTACAGCCACCATTGTCTCTGGATGGTCTGAGCTCTAAAAGAGTAGAATAGAAGAGTGTCACAAGCTGTCATCCATGATTACGATTAGCTCAGTGGAGCCTTTGAGGACAGGGGCCATTGGATAGGGTCCTGGACAACACAGGGGCCCCAGGTTGAGCTGGTTACTTTGGAGCAGTGCCCTGTCAGTGACAGCTTCAAAAGAATATGAATGTCAGCCATTTCTCACCCTGCATGCACTAGAAAGGGGCCGCAGTATTGGGTAAGCTGACAATTGGAACTCACAGCAGAAAAGTTTTATCTTAATGTAAAAAAGAAAAAAAAGAGTTCAGATTATTTTGATTTGATCATTGGTTATTTCTAAAACCAATTAATTTCTTATTTCATGAAGTGATTGTGTCCAAGTGCATTATAATGAGGACAGCAGCCGAACATAGCTATCACCTTAACCCAGTGACACAGATGAGACCAGCGAGCTGATCCCACTGACACTCTCAACAGCTTAGCACCAGGCTTACATGTAAGCACTGCGTCAGGTTTATTCATGACTTGTGTCTCTGCCTCAAACAATAAAATCAAATCTGATTTTAAAACATCCAGTCAAAAATATCTGAAAATGACATAGAAACATATCTGGTCCAATTAATTTATTTTGAAATCATTTACCTGTCATTTATGTTTTATGCACGTAACATATGTTTCATATTATCTGCTATTCAAAAACACTTGCACAAACATTTAGAATGTACATATAGGCCTTTTACAGTAACTAAAGTGAATTTTTGAATCCTAAATGTCCAAACATTTCTTAGTGGTGCTACCAAGGCGAGTGTGTGGCCTTTGGGACGTGGCCTCACAGCGTAGATGGAGGCTGGGGACCCTGGTCCACGTGGGGTGAATGCAGTCGCACCTGTGGCGGTGGTGTGTCATCCTCCATGAGGCACTGTGACAGCCCAGCGTAAGTAGGCAAAGTAAGCCACAGCAAGCAGAACTCACTCACGCAGGGCTCACCTACAGGTGTGTGTATCACATTGTGGGGACTGACATCTCTAGGCTCGCTTATGGGAACAAAAAGCAAGTCCCGGGGTACAGATCAGTAAATGATAAGATCAACTCAAAGTTCAAATATGGTTAAGTCTAATGGCAAAGTTTCATTGAATGCAGTGAAGCAGGACATTTGACAGTATCTTGTCCTCTTCTTGTTTGGGTTTTGTCATCTTATAATGTTTAAATATCTCATCTCTATTTCCGAAAGCCTTGGATTATTACAACCTAATGTTTGATCAACCAGTCCATCATCCACATTATGTTTTATCTTCAAATACAGAAAGCTAAAAACTATCAAACAAATGTTAATTTGTTATTTTATCAAACATTACGGATCACAGCCAATTCATTTTTCCTTTGATTGGAAATGTTTAGATTTGATAGTTTTTCTTAGTTCCTATATTTAATATATTTTTCTTTTGTATGTACAATATGTAGTTTCATCACCTAGATTTAGCACTATGGTCATTTCCATCTGTTGTCTTTAACAAAAATAGAAATATCATCAAATTCCAAAACATTACAGAATTATGCAGGACTGCCAATGTAAATATTATAAAGAAAAATAAGGCAGACTCACATTATACATAATCTGGTGCCGGCCATCTCCTGTCTGAGACTCGTGAACTAACACTCACCGATAGTAGAAAAAAGTAGAAGTTGCATGAACTAAATGTATTCGCCTCCGCATATCGTGTGAGTCAGTCTTTGACTCTTCCATTGTTTGATGCAATGGAACCGATGAAGGTGTGCGGCTCATGCTTCGTTAGGACTTGTTCATCCACTGGTAGCAATATTTTTAAAAGCCAACAAATAATAACAATGTGTTTTCTTTGTTGCAACACTTGATTTACTTGTCGTTTGGTACTTTCTTTGCAGCCCATCCGGAGGAGGCAAATACTGTCTTGGGGAGAGGAAACGCTACAGATCCTGCAACACAGATGTGAGTTCTGATTGTGACTTTTAAAATCTTTTATGACACTGAATGTAGTGTAGGTTTTCATGTAAAAATGATTACAGTAATACATTCACAAATTTACAACTGTTGGAACGGGACGTTTGCATACAATGATTGTTGTTGAGATGTTTGTACACATTTCCAGAGTGGTCGTGATGTCATTCTGACAGTTTCAGCATTACTCTGAGCACAGGGAGGTTGCCAAAAGGCATTCAAATCACATTCAGAACATAACAAACATGATTCAAAGGTCTGATTAAATTAAAACAGATCTCTTTGGCCTAAACGCCAAGCGTCCTGTTTGGAGGAAACCAGGCACTGATCAACACATATACCATATAACATCCCTACCGTGGAACATGGGGGGCAGCATCATGCTGTAGAAAAGTTTTTTCCGCATGATGGTAGACAGAGAAAGCAATGCACAGAGACATCCTGGATGAAAACTTGCTCCAGAGCTCAGGAGCTCAGACTGGGCTCATGTTCCGGACATGTTCGGACAACGACCTGAAGCACACAGACAGGAAAACTGAAGAGAGTAGTCTGTGTATGTTTCAGACTTGAACCCATTAAACATCTCTGACCTGAAAGCAACGCACTTGTCTAACCTGAGAGGATCTGCAGAGAAGAGTTGGAAAAAATCCCCAAATGTAGGATTTAGCCTCCTATCCAAGAAGACTAGATCCTTATGATCCTCAACCAAGTATTAGATACTTGGTTGAATACATGTACTGTGAATACATGTGACGAGATATTTGCGTGATTTCTTTTTAAGAAAAAGGAAAAGAATCCAAAGCTTTCTTACACTTCATCGTTATGGGCAATTGCAAGGAAATTGAGAATTTTATCACTTTAGTTAGGCTTTAACATTACTAAATATCAAAAGTGAAAGTGGGTTGAATATTTTCTGAATGCACTGAATGTTGGACCAACCAGGCCCCTCTTAATTGTGACCTACACGTTCCAAAGCAAAAGTTTCACTGGTGGCCTCACATGGGACACTCTGCATCTTATATATAGCTTGCACGGGCACTTTCATCTGTCCTCAGGGACAGTGTCTTGACCTTTTCACACCAATAAACTCTGTCTTTATACTTTTATACCCTTCACAGAAAAGACCTCACTGCTACTTATCTTGTAGCATCTATCAATTATAATTGTGTGTAAACTTGCATTCCAACATTGATGCCAAAGAAGCAATTCTATCACCTGAAACCAGAACCACTCATTTAGATTTGTTGCTATAAGATATCACGGTATGTCTGATGATCTGCTTTTGATTTAAATACAATACCATACTTACCATCAAACTTATTTTCAGCCGTGCTCTGTAGGGTCTCGAGATTTCCGGGAGAAGCAGTGTGCTGACTTCGACAACATGCCTTTTCGAGGGAAATACTAACAGACTGGAAACCATACACTGGTGGTGAGTTTACCTGAGGTTTCCGGATCATTGCATTCTCTAGTCCATGGTCTACTGCTGTATTTTTGTATTCCCCAGTCCATTATATAATGTTGTATTTTTGCATTATCTAAAAATACAGCATCATGTATTGCTGTATTTTTCCATTCTCTAGTCCATCATATATTTCTGTATTTTGGTTTTTCCTAGTCCATTATATATTGTTATATTGTTGCATTATCTAATCTATGGCATGTTGCTGTATTTTTACATTCTCTAGTCCAGTGTCTCCCAAAGTGGGGTCCGCAGCCCCCTGGTGGGCTGCGAGGGTATTGCAAGGGGGCCGCGGGAGGTCATAATTTTTTTTTTTATTGTATGTTAAATTAATAATATTTTGTTTGTAATATTGAAATATTTGTGTTCATTATTTGACTTGAATAATCAAATTGTAATCATTTTTGTATAACAAAATGGGGTGTGTCATTTACATGTTTGTAGCAGAGGCTATTTCCCACAAATAAAATAACGTGAAGAGCCTATTTTTAACGTTGTCTTCTTGGTTATTATTTTGGGGGGCTGCGCAGCCCTGTCAGATTCTTAAGGGGGCCGTGGTGTTACTGACTTTGGGAATGGCTGCTTTAGTCCAGAATAATCAGAATCAGAATAATTTTTTATTGCCACGTAAGTAACAGGAAGTCACAGACATGGAAATTGCTTTGGCTCAGTGCAACAGTCAGAGAGAGATAATAAAAAATAAAGAATAAAAAACACTTCTAAGGAATACATTTAAATTTAAAATAGAGTTACAGTTACTATTTACAATATACAAGTGCACATGGTCCATCATGTATTGCTGTATTTTTGCATTCTCTTGTCCATTATTATATATTGCTGTACAAAGTGCTGCTGTTTTGAGGGATGATGTTACTGTTTTGACGCATGATTTATTTATTTGGATGCAGGTGGTGTCAAACCCTGTGCTTTGAACTGTTTAGCGGAGGGTTATAACTTCTACACCGAGCGCTCTCCCGCCGTCATAGATGGCACTCGTTGTCACGCCGACTCACTGGACATCTGTATCAATGGAGAGTGTAAAGGTATGCTTTTTTAAGAGGAAATTGGACTTTATCGACATCTATGGACATTGGTGTCCTGCTCTTTATGGACCAATGGCTCTGTGTTTTTATCATTGCATTTCTTGTGTTTGATTCTCTGATCTGTGTTGGAGAATTCAACGGTTTTGTAAAGTCCTCCGAGATGACTACTGTTGGGACAATATCTACACATTTATTAGCCCAGGTGCTAAATATAAATATAATGAGTCACTTGTGGGCGTGTTGCATACAATTTATCCTTGTGATATAGCTGTTTTATGACGTGTCTGAGACTACACACAAATGCAGTCACGGGAAAAACACAACACATAACGGTGCTTATGGTTCCCTTAATTCAGATTCTTTGAATTGTTTAATTCAGTGACGGTCATTTTGGCGATTGTGTAAAGGCCTATTGATGATTGTAATCATTTGTTGTGAGAATCAGGGCCGAAGATTCACAGGTAAGACTGAAGTGCTTTATTTGTCGATATTTTTTATTTTAGTAAGATCAAATTCTCTGTTAGGCCTCACATTGCAGCAGGTCTGAAGAGTTCTTGTACTTGCCTTTGGCATCAACGTTAAATGTGGGGCTTTTTTGGTGAAATGAAAAGCTGAATAGATAGATGATTTTTGCAAATGAACTTCACGTGTGTCATTAATACAGTGGCCCCCGACACTATAACGCACGCACTTCACCTTTTGCGACCTGGTTGTTTCGCAGATTATTGTGTGTGCAGTTTTTCTGTCCTTTTTCACAGAGTGCTCCGCGTATATACACCCAAAACATCATACTGCTGCTCGTATAACATGACAGTTACCTTTATTTAAGTCCGTTCTCCACAGTGATTAGTTCAGACGACTACTTCATTCTTCCCTCAGTCCTGCTGCTGCCCCTCTGTGTCCTCTGCAGCTGTATTTTACAGTGCATGCATGGCTTTTGACAGTTGCAGGATCTCTCAGACCTGGGAGTTCACTGCACAAAGTGAGCAATTATGAGGTACATGAGGTACAAGTGGTTTTAAAAAAATCTTATTTTTAGTACATTCTGACTGTCTTAAAGCAACATTTGCCAATCAGACAAAGCCATTTGGTTATTTTTCAAGAACTGTTGCTTTTATTTACTCAATCCAAGGGACACATTTCTTGTTTATTTTTATAAGATCATTTTGCTTGTCCCATTGGCAAATCTTGTTTTAAGACAGTAAAAATGTGCTGAAATCAAGTAAAATTTAGCTAAATTTGAGCATTTTTTAAAACTTATTTTTCATCACTTTTTGTAGTGTTCTAGTGTTAATGTACTCATGAATTTAGATTATTTTCCTCAAACTCAAGTGACTCCGGCCTGTTTGCCTTCTGTAGCATGTGGGCTGCGACAACATCCTCAGCTCGGACGCCAAAGAGGACCGGTGTCGTGTGTGTGGGGGCGACGGCAGCACGTGTGAGGCCACGGAGGGTCTCTTCAACGAGTCCTTACCTAGAGGAGGCAAGTATTTTGGCTCAATGAAACAGATTTATTTCAGAGTGGCTGTGGCTGCATTTATGGCAGCATGAAAAGAGTCTATCGAGAAATCAAATAATAAATATTCTTTATCTTTACATCAACATATGAAAACGTACAGTAGATTAAGCGTCAACTGTAGCGGCCATCTACATACAGTAAATGAGAGTGAGAAACAGCATATTTCTCCTTGTATGGTATGGCTAGTAAAACATTCAAATAACAGTGTCGTGTGTGTGTCTCTGTGTGTGTGTGTGTGTGTGTGTGTGTGTGTCTGCGTCTGTGTGTGTGTGCTCGTGTGCCTTACCAAATAGCAGAGGGGAGTTGTTTGGTCCTCTGGCAGAGTTGCTCTGTCCTTTTTTGGCTGATTTTGAATGCATTTCTATATGTGGTTTTGCCTCCTGACATGAATTATGAATGTGTCTGCTCTGTGTTTTGGAAAAAGTCACATTAAGGGGATAAAGTTGAAGAAATACCACCCTTGGAGGGGTACTGTTCTCTCTTGTAGCTACTGAAGGTTGTCCATAAGTCCCAAGGTTCAGTCATATTTAAATTAAAGAAGCTTATTTTCTTCAAAGAACTGATATAGTAAGTGAATGTTTTGTTTCACAAATAACAAATACATTTTAATTATTTATTATTGAATGTACCTGTCATAGAAGTTATTGATTTGGTAGAGAACAATGATTACCATGGATTTTAGTGTTCAATAAATTATTTATTTTGAATTCGTTTATGATTAGGATAAATAATTATATAGTTGTTTCTCCTTTTTTGTAAATGTTTCAGTCTAAATATGCGTGTGTGTGTGTGTGCGCGTGTGTGTGCTGATGTGGGTGTATGTGTGTGTGCATGTGTGTATGTACGTGTTTGTGTTTATGTGCATGTTTGTGTGTATGTGCGTGTTTGTGTGTGTGTGTGTGCGTGTGTGTATGTGTGTGTGTGTGTGTGTGTGCGCGCGTATTTTTACTTCCAGCTGTTTCATATTTTCTCTACTGTTGGTGAACCACACAGATTCCTTCAGTTTCCTAATGACTGTGTGGAAATGCAATTATACGATTATATTTAGACACAATTTTAATCTGTGGCTTAATAAAAAATACAACAATTATACATGTGTCGATGAGGCAACGACCCGTGTTCACTGTATGCTCTGTAAACATGGGTATGGAACACTCATCATCACAAAATCACATGTGTTCATCGGGAAGAAGAGCTTCCGGTTCCAGGCAAGTGGAAATGAACACGTCTGTAAACAAAATGGATAATGCGTCTACATGGCTAACTGTAGACGCTGAAAGTTTATACGAAGTTCACAAACTCATATCAATTATCTTTGTTTTAAAACATCTGTCTGTCTTGGATGTGAAGTGGGAATCAGTGTGAGCAGTGTTTTTTTCCAGTCCGAGGTAAAGTCTCAGTTGCATTGAAGTATTTTTATAATAATAATAATAATACATTTTATTTCTTAGGCGCCTTTCTTGACACTCAAGGTCGCCTACATACAAGTAAAAAAGTGCATTTTAAAAACAGTTAAAATACAAGTTAAAATACAATCAGAATAGAAGTTAGAATACAAGTTTAAATACAGTTAAAATACAGTTAAAAATACAAGTTAAAATACAGTTAAAATACAGTTAAAATACAGTTAAAATACAAGTTAAAATACAAGTTAAATGCAGCTAAAATATAGTTAAAATACAAGTTAAAATACAAGTTAAAATACAGTTAAAATACAGTTAAAATACAAGTTAAAATACAGTTAAAATACAGTTAAAATACAAGTTAAAATACAAGTTAAAATACAAGTTAAAATACAGTTAAAATACAAGTTAAAATACAAGTTAAAATACAAGGTAAAATACAAGTTAAAATACAAGTTAAAATACAGTTAAAATACAAAAGCCTCTTGGACAAAGGAGAGTGTGTGAGATGTTAGTGAGCAGCACTTAGTATTTTAGTATATGTTATAATACATTGGCTGTTTTAATCAGATGCTCTGATTTGACGAGGTGCAAAAGTTGAATAATTTCTGCTCAATTTGGTCCTGTCACTTTGAGTGAAAGGATATTTTTGAATCTGCTTGGAAACCTGTTTTGTTTTGACAACCATGTAGACTGGTATTCCTGTAGTTTCACCTAAAGAGTGTTCTCATTTTACGTGTCTGCACATGTGAATGAAGGATACAAATCAAGTCTTCAGCAAAAGAAGAGCAGCCATTACCTCCCAGTCTCTGAGTGATTATGAGTTACAGAGTATACAGTTCTGTGTTATTGCCTCACTGACACATGTGTAATTTCTGTTTTCTCTTTAAGCAACAGAATTTTTTTTTTGTATATTATTGCAATTCCACAAATTCAAAAAGCGTTTTAGCACAAACTCAGTTCCAATGGACCTGTAATACATCTGAAAGGCACCGTTTGTTGTGTATTCACTTATTGAATTCCATGTTTGAGAAAGTCAGTTCCCCCTCAGCTAACGCAACAGCAATAGAAACTTGGTTCGGGTTATGTGTGTAAACCTTATAAAGCTTTGTAGATCAATATACAGTATGATAATAAATGTTTAGGGATCGTGTTCTACTATTTACTTTGATTCATGGCACAGCAGTTCTTTCAGTTACCTATTGTTTTTCATCGACACCTGGTGTCGTTGAGATTTTAGTCTTTGTTTTTTGGATAATTGTGGACGAAAAGGATTCATAGTCTGTGTTTTTCTAGCATTAAAATCCGAAGGCGATGACTATTACATCAATGGGGCCTGGACCATCGATTGGCCAAGAAAGTTTGATATCGCTGGAACGGCTTTCTACTACAAGCGGCCTTCGGATGATCCTGAATCTTTGGAAGCTCTTGGACCCACCACGGACAATCTGTTTGTTATGGTACAATTCTAACACAGTCTTCCACATACTGTAGATAGATAGATGGACAATTTATTGATCCCCCATAGGAGAAATTCAGGTGTCCAGTAGCATCCATCTATAAAAAACAAAACAAAAAAATACATAATTAAAAAATTTGCAAACAAAAGTAATAAAATGCAACAGTGCAATAGTTTTGTCATTTTGGTGCTTGAAGCTTTTGACGCGAGTGACGCGCCTGACGCCGGTGGGAGGAGCTTCTCTGTTGTCTGTAGTCAGGACAGCGGTGGATTTTTCAATGAGCAGCGAGCCTTTATTTGTTATATAAAGCAAAATAACGTTGTTGTAGGGCTACAACAAAACATGTTCTGGGTTCACCACAGACTTGAGAGGCTGCAGTGTTTGCAGAGGCAAGGCAAGGCATGTTTATTTGTATAGCACAATTCATACACAAGGCAACTCAAAGTGCTGAACAAGATAGCATTAAAATCATAAATAATCACAGAACATTAAAAAGAAAGATAAAAATATAAAATCCCTCAGTTGTATGCACAGCTAAACAGCACAGTTTTTAACTTGGTTTTAAACATAGTCAGAGAGGAGGCCTGTCTCACATCTTCAGGAAGAATGTTCCAGATTTTAGCAGCATGAATCTGAAAAGCAGCCTCCCCATGTTTAGTTCTGACTCTGGGCACTAACAGGAGTCCAGTCCCTGTGCTCCTCAGAGTCCGGGCTGGTTCATATGGGACTAACATGTCACTAATATATTTTGGTGCGAGGCCATGGAGAGACTTGTACACAAGCAAAGCTGTTTTAAAGTCTATTCTCTGAGCCACAGGAAGCCAGTGCAGAGACCTGAGGACCGGACTAATATGGTCGTACTTCCTGGTTCTAGTCAGGACTCGAGCTGCTGCATTTTGAATGTACTGCAGCTGTTTTACAGCCTGTTTGGACAGACCTGTGAGCAGGCCATTGCAGTAGTCTAACCTACTGGAGACAAATGCATGGATAAGAATCTCCAAGTATGCTTTAGACACTATGTTTTTGATCCTGGAAATGTTTTTTAGATGGTAAAAAGCTGCTGATGTTACTGATTTGATGTGGCTATTAAAATTTAAGTCTGAGTCCAGTATTACCCCTAGATTTCTGACCTTGTTTGAAGGTTTTAGGGAGAGAGACTGTAGATGACAGATGACGCTCTCTCTTTGTTTCTGGGGACCAAAGACAATCATTTCAGTTTTGTCTGCGTTTAGCTGAAGGAAGTTGTTTTGCATCCACTCACTGATCTGTTGGATACAGTGAAGGAGTGAGTCCACTGGTCCATGTTCTCCTGCAGTCAGTGAGACATAGATCTGAGTGTCGTCTGCATAGTTATGATAGGAAACTTCGTTTCTGCGTATTAACTGACCTAACGGCAGCATGTAGAGATTGAACAGAAGAGGTCCCAGGATCGACCCCTGTGGTACTCCACAGGTCAGGGCCATATGATCTGAGACACAGTTTCCAATCTCCACAAAGTACTTCCTATCTTCAAGGTAAGACCTAAACCAACTTAGACAGAGTTCCGTCATTTTCTCCAGGAGCTACGTACGGAGGAGTTTTGCTTTCAGCGGTACTTCCGCATGTCACTTGCCCAGTCTGAGTTCTCAAACCCCGGCTCTCGCCTCTCACTGCCTCTCTGTGAATAAACTAGTCACATTTCAACAACATAATCTCTTTAATACATGTTGTCAGCCGCTGGTTCAAAACTACAGGTTATCTGGACATCAGCACAAACAGACAAGTTACAGACTACACCAGTCTGGGTTTCTGCTGGATGGAAAGCAGCAGAGTGACAAAGAAATGGACAAAGACCCTGGTCTTATACCATGATAATTTGAAACACATGTGACCATGTCCCACCATCCTTAGGTGAAGACAATACCTTCTCTGTTTCAGGGCAAACAAATAGCCCCTGTGTAAATAAGCCTGAGGCTACTCTAAACAGATGTTCTCTACGCTCTTCTTAATTTAACTTCCTGTGTTTCATGACTGGGGGGGATGGGAGAATGCTGCTGATGCGTCCATCACATCCCATCACACACATAGGTTAACTCAAAACTGTCTAAACTTTGAATATATTCTAATTCACTTTAATGAAAATCCAACAACTCTACTAACATTCCCTCCTTTTTTCATTAAAAGAATTAATCACATTCAATGTTTAGTAAACCAACTTAAAGATGGAACACAATGAAATTAATACAAACACAGTTTTACATTTGAATCCAAGTTGCATCGACTCAACTTAAAGACCCCTCTTCACATGTGTCTTATAAAAATCACATTGGTTACAGAAACACACAGAGAAAAGAACTCAAAAAAAAGTTTTTTAGAGATCATTTCATATTCATATGTAATTGCTCCCCCATAAACCATATCTCCCCCCTGTTTGAGACATTAAAAATGGCTCAATAACTGAACATAATTCCTAATTATTCATGTGTATGAAATGAAAAAGACACAAATACCCAATTTACTCATGTAAATTAATGTAGCATCAACATTTTTAAACTAAACGTTCATTTGAAATGTATTAACCTGGAATGTTTTCACCTGAAATGTATTAACTTGAAATGAAATGTATTAACAAAAATTACACCCCACACCAAAAAGCCTATTGTCCAGTAACGCCTGTTGTAGACACGCCTCCACACCCCAATGTCTTCTGCAGCCAGCAATGTCCAGCACCATCCAGCACAGCCCCATCATGTCCAGAAGCCTCTTTTCCTGTTCACACACTTTAGAACCGACAGCAAAAACTGGAAACCTCTAGTCCTCAGATCTTTGCACAAAGGTGATGTCTTCGGTCAACCCAGTCTTTCAGATGTTTTGGAAATCTGCAAAATGTCCCAAACACACACAGAGTCAAGTTGTTGATTTGAGTCTGACCTCTGGATGACCCTTTGCATCATTGCTTCTGTCGTTGCAGCATTTAGCCTTGGTTTGGCCTGCTGATTTGCTGGTTGATGATTGGTGGGGGTGGGAGTGGGCGTCTCCTTCACAGGAATGAACTCTGAGCTTTTTGAGCATCAAAAGTGGTGTTTTAGGTGTTTCCCTCAAACAAAACACACAAAGTACACATTTGTTAATACATTTCAAACTTAGTTCAGTAAACCCCAAAAGAAAACCTTAGCAGTTAATGAAAACTGTTGCTGAAAACAGTCCTATTACTGTAATTTTCTTGTCTCAGAAATGAAAACATCACAATTAACTATTGAAATAATGTATAACTAGTTATATTCAGAATCAAACAGATTTACATTTCTTTGATGTAAACATTAAACATGCTACAGTAACTTCCCTTACTGTTGAATTTAAACCTTTCAAATGAAACTAAACATATTTATTATTCAAATCTGAAAAATTAAACTGCTTATTTTCAGAGTGTTTCCCACTTATCTGATTGTTTGAGTCAGCATCAGTCAGAGAGGACCTTCTTAGGCGTCTGATTGGTCGTTCCCATCCACAGCACCTCTGCCGATGCTTCTCCCCCTCCTCCTGCTCTTAGACCTGTCTCTCTGGTTGGAGTGAGGTGAAGCATGTGACCGATGCTGTGCCGGGAACAACCAAACACTGTCCCCAGACGTCCCTCTCCCAGCTGAGACAGAAACAAACTCAGAAACAGAACAAAATATTAGTTGACAATTCTGTTGATTTTACCCTAATATTGTTTCATATTATTTGTGAAATAATATTTTAGTCCTGATGTTTATTCCTATTTTATAGTCCGTTAGTTCAGTCAGTTAAGTCCTAGACACAGAAGACAAACACTTACATGCAAAACCTGAAGTAACAAACAAATACTACTCACATAAGAGGAAATGTTAGTCTGTTAAATCTTACACATAAAGACAGTTACTCACAAAACAAACAAAAACTCCAAATCAAACCCAAAAATTAACATAAAAGTCTACTTGTGTGCACAAAATACCATCTTTTGTGATCATAAGCAAACAAAAATCAAAAATTTGAGCTAACTTTGAGTCTTATTTATCATCAATCTAATTCAGTCTCAGCCTAATCCTTTTGAGCTTGTACCAAATGTAGTAACTTTAAAATTGTCCAATCACAAAAATTTCACAGCTCAAGTCAATTCAAATCTATCTATGATTCTCTAATCTCATTACCAAATGTTTTCACCAGTAAAATGTTTATCACTGGTTCCACCCCTTTTTAATTATTTTTGTTAATGTAGCTAGCATTAACAAAAGTAGTTAAACTATAAAAAACATACTCCACCCAACTAAAATGGAGCAGACGGGAGGGACAGAATTGGGAGCAAGGGAGAAGGGGGATGAGGGGAAGAGGGGGAACAGGGAGCAGCAGAAAGGGAGGGGGGGGGGAAGAGGGGAAAAGGCAGAAGGGGACACAAAGGATGCACCTCAAACGTGCACGCACACACACACTCACACTTTAGGCCTTTATATCTAAATTTCAATTTCCAATTTAAATTATTATTTAGAAAAATTGTTGTCGTCTTATTATGCAGGCTACCACAAAGTTCTACCAAAAAGTCACTAATCAGCTGAAGAAAAAATCACCACTCTCAAAATGTTCCATTTTCCCTCAAATGGCCAGATCTGGTTTTCCAACTACACGTATGCGTCCATAGTGCTGAATTTGTAATAGCTCCTCGACTATTAGAAGGATAAGCCTCGTTATCCTAGGCCTAAGAAATAGCCATCGACTATTAAAAGGATAAGCCTCGTTATCCGCGGCCTCTTTTTTGAGTCCCCGACTTCAAAAGTCCCAGTGGATAGAAGTTTAAATTCTCCACTTTCTTAGAAGTGCGTGATATCTCACTGCCCCAATGCTTTTTGAGAAGATAAATTGGATTTCCTGCCTTCAAAGACGATTTAAATTTAGTTTCTTTTTTTTAGAAAAAAATTGTTTTACCTTGTCCATGTGGATGTCCAGAAACTCTAGTTCTGCCGTCAACTTCAATCCGGAGACTGGCCATGCCTCAAAGATGGAGTCCTCAAAGCAGTTCTGAATGAAGAAGGTCTCACCGCTGCTCCAACTCCATGTTTGAGGCATCCTCAGTTCCGCAGAAAAGCATGTTGGCATCCGGCGCAAGAAGGACCAAAATATGTGAATAAACTAGTCACATTTCAACAACATAATCTCTTTAATACATGTTGTCAGCCGCTGGTTCAAAACTACAGGTTATCTGGACATCAGCACAAACAGACAAGTTACAGACTACACCAGTCTGGGTTTCTGCTGGATGGAAAGCAGCAGAGTGACAAAGAAATGGACAAAGACCCTGGTCTTATACCATGATAATTTGAAACACATGTGACCATATGTCCCACCATCCTTAGGTGAAGACAATAGCTTCTCTGTTCAGGGCAAACACATAGCCCCTCTCAAAGTAAGCCCGAGGCCACTCCAAACAGATGCTTTCTACGCTCTTCTTAATTTAACTTCCTGTGTTTCATGGGGGATGGAAGAGAATGCTGCTGATGCGCCCATCACATCCCATCACACACATAGGTTAACTCAAAACTGTCTAAACTTTGAATATATTCTAATTCACTTTAATGAAAATCCAACAACTCTACTAACACTCTCCCCGGCTCTCGCCCGCCCGGAGCTGCCTTGCTCTGAGCCAGACCCATCGTCAGCCTGTTCTTATATTAAATAAACTACGTTTACTACACAGCATGTGTACAATGATTTTAGTTACTCAGAACGTTACTACTCATACAAATAATATTACTAATAACAATAATGACAATAAAACAGCAGCAGCAGCAGATACATGACTTCTCTTCATGACAGAGACAGACCCTCTGCTGCTGCTGCTGCTCGTCTCCTGATTGGTTGAAGCCCGCGTCAAAGCTTCAAGATAAGATAAGATAAGATTGCTTTATTTATCTCACAGAGGAGAAATTTACATGTCACATTACATGGATAGAGACACTCAGATTGTGCAAAGGGAGGAAATGTGCAAACATGTTACATGCAGGATATATGTACAATAAAGTGACAATAATTATGTACAACAAAAGTGACAAGTGTCAATTGGAAACAGTGTCAATAGTAGTGCAGGTTTTCACACAGTGATCATTTAAAGTGACTTATTGTACAGTCTGACAGCGGTGGGGATAAAGGCCCTGCGGTAGCGCTCCTTCCTACACTGAGGGTGCCTCAGTCTTCCACTGAAGGAGCTCCTCAGCTCCTCTACAGTCCTGTGCAGTGGGTGGGAGGTATTGTTCATGATGGAGGTGGCTTTGGCTAGCACCCTCCTGTCCCTCACCTCCTCCACAGAGTCCAGGGAGCAGCCCAGAGTGGAGCTGGCCCTCCTGACCAGCTTGTTCAGTCTGTTTCTGTCCCGCTCTGTGCTGCCCGGGGCCCAGCACACGGCAGCGTAGTAAATGGCAGAAGCTACCACAGAGTCATAAAAAGTCCTGAGCAGAGGCCTGCTCACTCCGAAGGACCTCAGCCTCCTCAGAAGGAAGAGGCGACTTTGGCCCTTCTTGTGCAGGGCGTTTGTATTATGGGACCAGTCCAGTTTATTGTTTATGTGAACACCCAGGTACTTGAAGCTGTCCACCAGCTCAATGTCCTCCCCCTGGATGTTCAGCAGCGTGTGGGAAAGTGGTTTTCTCCTGAAGTCGATGACCATCTCCTTGGTCTTACTGGTGTTCAAGCACAAGTGGTTGCGCTCACACCAGTCGACAAAGTCCTTGATAACCGACCGATATTCCAGTTCGTTCCCCTCAGACACACAGCCCACGATGGCGGAGTCGTCGGAGAACTTCTGCAGGTGACAGCTGTGTGTGTTGTGTGTGAAGTCTGAGGTGTAGATGGTGAAGAGAAACGGTGAGAGGACAGTGTCCTGAGGGGCCCCAGTGCTGCAGACGACCACCTCAGACTCACAGCTGCGCAGCCGCACGTACTGTGGTCGGTCTGAGAGGTAGTTGATGGTCCATGCAGTGAGGCTACTGTCCACTCCCGCGTCCTCCATCTTCCCCAAAGCTCAGCTTTGCTCAGCTTCGGTGTCAAAGGGATTGTTGTGACACGCGACTCTTGAAGCTTTTGACGCGCGTCAAGTGACGCCGGGGCTCTCGGCTTCACCTGACGCGCTTCACCATTCACTTTCAATGGAAACCTGACGCTTTTGACGCCGAAGTTAAGTCCGGTGTGAACGCCCCTTTAGTCTTTATGTTTCTGCTTTCACATCACAAACTTTCCCTGACCCTGCGCATACACTTATGGCGAGGCGTTCTCCAGCACTATGGCCCTTTCTATAGAACAGCCTACAGTAGGAGCTCAGAGTCACAGGAAACATAGAAAGCTTTCAATTTCCACTTGAAGTGCTTATTCAACACCGTTTTCCTGTCACTAAAATTCCTAGAGGCACATGATGTAATTATGCATTCGCTGATTTCACTGCTGGGGTAAATTGTGAGGCTCATTACAATGAAAAGCTATTCTTGGGTGTAACCTGCACATTAACGGTCACGCGCTGAAGACGAGAGGTGTAAATTGGGGGTTAGACAAACTTTATTGAACCGCAAGGGAAGTAACTTGCACACAGGAGCTCAAACAACATAAAATGGCAAAACATATTTAAAGTGTCCAAAGGTAAAGTCAATAATGGATTAAATGTAGGTACTTAACACAATAGTGCGATTAGGATCAATATATATAAACAGTAGTATAACATGATTACGCCTCATACAGAAGTGCAGAAGGAAAAGAATCAATGCTCAGATTAAATGGTTTTGAGTTGTTTCGTTGTTATGGCAGGTATGTCCAACCCAAGGCCCGGGAGCCAATTGCGGCCCTCTGTGTCATGTCATGTGGCCCACTGCCTTGCTAACCCAAATTAGCCATTGAGATCATAAGTAAGTAAGTAAGTAAGTAAGTTTTTATTTATATACCGCCTTTTCACTGCAGATCTGAGTCTCAAAGCGGTTTACAATTGTTAATTATGGGCATTTGTCTCTCACTCCACACAGAGATGGGAGCGGGGCCAGTACAGGAGGCACATGCCTGAACTATTGGACATATTTTTAGTGGTAGGGGAAACCAGAGTACCCGGAGGAAACCTACGCAGACACGGGGAGAACATGCAAACTCCACTCAGAAAGGCCCTGGTCCGACCGGGATTCGAACCCAGGACCTTCTTGCTGAGAGGCGAGAGTGCTATCCACTCAGCCACGTGCCGCCCCCTGTGGAGGCACAGTTTCACAGTGTTGGCACAATTTCACAGTGTTATCCAGCAATTTCACAGTGTTATCCAGCTTCATCTCCACCATATATTCACATGCTCTACCTCGTTGTAAAACTCAGACCCTTTGGAACTCAGCCGGTAATTTTATTTGTATAAACTGACATTTGTTTTTAATCTCATATATGGCGCTACTGTAGCCGTGGTGTGATAGTAAGCTAGTAAACGTCTGTCAAATGTGAATCTATTTGAACTTATCATTCCTCCTTTTACAGATCAGAACAGCCTGATCCAGTCAAAGCTGTTATTATACTATCTGTGTTGTCGGCCCTATGACTAAAAAGTTTGGACACCCCTGACGTAAGGTTATCTCTGACAGAGGGGAGTGTTATACAGCTGTTGGGAGTGAGGTATGGATGTCCTCCCACAGTCCTGTATCCTTCACTGTGGGAGGGAACCTGAGCAGGGCTAGCTTGAGTCAGTCAGTTGATTTTATTATTATTTTAGCTATTCTATATATCATATTTTAAGACATTTAAAAAAAATGATAGTGCGGGATGTTAGCGCTGTGTCGGGGACTATGGATGGAAAATAGCTTGATGGTAAATCAGGTGTAGCCATCTTTTTAATGTAACTACACGATGTCCCTTAGATAAACACACTTTATTCTCAGAGAATAAAGACTAACTTTATTCTTTCAGCTAACAATTTGTAATGGCCTTTCACAGACAAAAAAAACGTAACCTAAACATGAACACTTGACGTAATTATTTTGGGTATTTAGCAAATTAACCCAATATCCTGCTGTATATAAGACCTTTTTAAATTTAGTTTGTAATGTTAACAATTACCAGATTGTGCTCACTGCTGTGTGTTGCTATGGAGACGCCTCGGGTGGAGTTTCATAAGGAACCTGTAATTTAACATGCAGTTTAAACAGTAGTTTGCATCGGAATCCTCACTGATGGTTTGACAATACATGAATACTAGTTATTGTCCCATTCCTAATTGTGTGTAACAATGCCTTGCAGGTCCTTCTCCAAGAACAGAACCTCGGGATACATTACAAGTTTAACGTGCCAATTCAGCGAACTGGGAGTGGGGACAATGATGTGGGCTTCTCATGGCACCACCTGCCCTGGTCTGAATGTTCTGCCACCTGTGCAGGAGGTAAAACAGCAGACTAAGATGTGCATCAATTCCTTAATGTTTGGAAACATATTCTGCAGAATTTTTAAGTGAAATCTAAGAATGAGCCCATGTGCTCTAGAATGAGAAAATATAAATATATATTCTGCTATTATATTAACTACAGGGTTAGGCACTATCTGGCAAACACTTTGCTTGGCTTTCCTAGAGTGAAAATTTGTTTTTTAAAACATGTTTTGTCCCCCTCTAGGCTCGCAGAAGCAGGAGGTGGTGTGCAAGAGGCTGGACGATAATTCAGTGGTTCAGAACAGCTACTGTGACTCAGACGGCAGACCTCCAGAAAATCAGCAGCCCTGCAACACGGAGCCCTGTCCCCCAGAGTATGTACAAACACACAGACGTGCAAAACACAGATGAGGCTGTACCTTAACCACCTATAGGTGCTACTTATGTTGGCGCCAGTCCTTTGGTCCGATACCTTTGCCTGAGCTAAAACATTCTCCTGAAGAAAGTGAAAGATTTGCACATTCGCTCCAATTGTATATTGATGTGAAAAAGTACTCACAGTAATTATCCAAAAGGTTTGAAGTGGCAGATGAGACATTTAAAAGGAATAATAATCACATTAAAAATGCCCTCTTTAGGTTCTATTAAATGGTTTTGGGGCAGATGTGCACATTCAGCAGCGATCCCAGACATGCTGTAAATACTGTACATACACACATATGTCTGTTCCTTTGATTATGTTTCGTGTTGTTTTTGGTGGTAAACATAACAAAAAACGTTAAAAGAATGTTTTGCAAGCCATTATAATTCTGGTTTCTCCAATTTTTTCCGTCAGTTATTTTTTTTACAAAATAATTTCCATTGGCTCATTGCCACAATATTAAGATCTCTTTCCACAGTGTTTGTGCTAATTGCATACTGTACATCAGTACTTCCCCAAGGCACTTTTTATCAACAAACAATCAAGAAAAAAATATATATATATTTGGTTATAATTACCACATGAATACCTTTTTAAGTCATTCATATTTATCTTTTAAATCCATTTTTGTTTTCATATTTTTTAACTTTCAATTTTCTTCCAAATGTTGTCTAGGACAGGAGTGTCAAACCGGTCCTCAAAGTGTCGAGGCATCAAGCTTATTTTTCAATATTTGCGTTTATAGTTTTTAAAAAATTGACTCGTGGCTGCTGAAAAAGATAATGCTTTTTGTTGTTGTAGTATTTTTTAACAAAAGTGCACAAACAGTGACGTTTCAGAAGCTATAGAATATGGACAAATATTTTGACATAATTCAGTTTAACCAGATTTGGTTGCTTTCATGAAAACAGTGATTATGTTTTTGTGTTGTTGAATTCGTATTATTACAATTCAAAGCAGTTCTTCCATGAGGGCTTGGGCTTCACTAGTTCTCAAAACATAATCATTTAAGATAAGATAAGATAGACTTTATTGATCTCACTCAGGAGAAATGTATACATAATTTTCTCTGCATGAACAGGGTGCAGGATTGTATTGTCAAAATAATATTTTAATATCTGTATTTAAAACAAATGTTTCATAGAAAGGAATGTTCCTGACATTTTTTGCAGGTGGTTCATAGGTGACTGGTCTGACTGTGCAAAGACGTGTGACGGAGGGTTTCGCACCAGGACCGTGGTGTGCATCAGGAAGATGGGTCCAGCGGAGGAGGAGACACTGGCGGACATCCACTGTCTGACTCATCGACCAATTGAACGGGAGACTTGCAACAACCAGTCTTGCCCTCCAAAGTGGGTCACTTTAGACTGGTCTGAGGTGGGTATTTTTGTTCAATACATTTGTCACAAGTGATGACGTTTTTAATTAATTTTGTTTATTTTCAGTGCACACCCAAATGTGGCCCCGGATACAAACATCGCATTGTTTTATGCAAAAGCAGTGACCTGACAAAGACCTTTCCACCTGGGCTCTGTCCAAGTCACAACAAGCCTCCAGTCCGAATTCGCTGCAGCCTCGGTCGCTGTCCTCCTCCTCGCTGGATTCCTGGAGAATGGGGACAAGTATGTGTTTCAAACTCACAAAAGCAGAGACAGACAGGTTGCTCAAGTGCATCGTCCACTCAACTCAAGCTTTGGTGCTGCTTTTGTAAAATGTTACCACACATTTAGAGTGCATTTGTATTTGTAGTTTCCGGTGTTCACTCCAAGAGAAGAGAGCACATACTCCAGGACCAAACCGCTGACAACAAAACAGCTGGATTTCACCAAAGAAACTAGCAACCCAAATATTGAGACAGACATTGAGAAATACTTTATTTATCCCACAAAATTCAAAGTTTCATCAGTTGCCGAAACAGACAGGTCCAACATTATATAGATACATAAAGTTAAAAATAAAGAAATAACCTAAACACTTGATAATCTGATTATGAAATGTGAACATGAACAGTGTGTCATGTCCATTGTTTAAGTTTAGAATACATTTAAAAAAAAGCCACATAGGATTGATGAGGTCAACATGACCTTTGTGAAGAGAAAAGGTAAGTAAACACTGTCCCTTTAAGCAGCATGACCTAATGTTTGGCTGAGAAGTTACATTCTTTAACTGTTTACTTCTATTCAATATGAGGGGATTGTGATTGTTAGATGACATCGATATGTTTTACCAAAGGTCTTGGTACTGAAAATGTCATTGTTAAAAAGTAAAAAAAAAACCCATTTAAGTTACCAAAATAGATTATATATGCTGTCAGTGTGTTGCAGCCACACACAAATAATCAAAGAGATAACTTTGGAGTGAACCATCAAAGAGTTTTTCAAAGCTCCCGGTTTGTACATTTGAAATGTAAAGGCCAAAATCTGCACTTTGTTCAGTGCGGTGGGCATGGACATTTTTGTGTTCTTGGAAATGTCAGCCTCACTTGTCTAAATCCTCCTCTTTCAGGCCAAAAGGTCAGTTGTTCAAATCCTACTTAACTATCTCCATTGACGTACTCTGTCTGTCATGACCAAAAGGCCCTCATAATGATTCTCTTATTGAGAAGGGATGAAATATGGGCTTGATGATCAGGTCATCAGCAGAGGCGATGCTGATCTCACATCCAAAAGCCTCTGTTGATATTAAAACACATACTGATGACTGAAAGCTGGGCTCGCATCCCAACCACGGGCCCTAATTGTTGAGAAGTCAACCTCATTGAGAGACTGCACAGTCAACTCCACCACAGCTCTTTTATTTTCACAAACGTGAAAATCTTTTCCAAAACATTGGTGCTTTCAAGTTATCCTGCCTTACATTACATCATTCCACAATCACCAGAGGATCATAACAAACATGTTGCTCATAAAATCTTATTGTTGACTTCAAAACATAGTGGACTGACAGCCTGGGCTGACAGGGCATGTTATACAACACTGTAAAGCTAATTTGATCAACAAAACAGAAAAACGGTATTGATTTTACAATAAACATTGAACCCCAAACACAATAGCTAATACACTTTAACAAGACTTATCGTCAACAATACTAAACATTCCTGACCTTTTATCAGAAAATTCTAACTAGATTCCTATTAAATACATATAATAGTTTGTTAATAAACAAAGCCACAGACGCAGATGAAGAGGGACTGGATTGGTTTCCCTGTCTTCTTGCCCCTCTTCTCTAAAAGTATCTGAAACATGTTTTTTGGCACACTTCGAGGCACAGGTGAGACTCATGCCCCCGACAGCTGCCAACACACTGCTGTTTAATCCAGTCATGGTAGAATGGTGCGGTGGTTAGAGCTGTTGCCTCTCAACAAGATGGCCCTGGGTTCAACTCCTGGACGGCAAGGGGCCCTTCTGAGTGGAGTTTGCATTTTCTTCCTGCATCTGCATAGGTTATCTCCTGGTGCTCCGGTTTCCCCAAACTGTTATTGTGTCCTTAGGCAAGACACCTCATCCACATTGCCTAGTATGAGTCTGGTGTGTGCGTGAATGATGGTGGTCATCGATGGACTATAATCTGAAAAATAGAGATTTGTTGTTTTAACTAAACGATCGGTCGTACACATAACTACCAACTCATGAAATTTAACTGATGTGTTTTTGGGTTAGGGTTAGGCCTGGTGTGATGAGGTCAGTGGAGCCGCTCTCTGATTGGTTGGCATCAGAAGTTCATATTTCCAAGTTGACTTTATTCACTAGAATTTTCCCTGCCTTCAAAACTGTGTTGAGTGTTCTTAAAAGGTGAAACAACCAGCACACAGGTTTCTTCAAGTTGCTACCGATTGTTTTGTCATCTCCCAGTCTGAACAAGGCCTGGCTCAGAATCAGTCAGGCCTTGTACAGACTTGGAGAACCTCAGTGGGCCCATCCTGGTTAATATCAATCAATAAATAAATGAATGCATCACCCTTTAGCGCTGCGGTTGGTGTTTGTTCTGACACTTTGAGATTGTTTCTATGGATACGGCTGCGCTTGCATTGCTTCAGCCAATGAGAAAATGTGTATTTGTTTTGGTGAAATAATCATAGGCCAACTGGAATGACTTTGTGTTTTAATAGTCATGCTTTAAACATCCATTTTATTATATCTAGCACATGCTTTGAAGTCATTTGTTGCAGGTGGTGGGTTGTGTACGTGAAATGTGTCCACAAACCTAATTTTTATGAGAAAACATAGAGCATTAGGTCATCCGTACTACCACTGCTCAAGGGGGATGGTTGGATTGTCTCCTAAAAAGGGAAATTCTAGTGTCAAGAAGCAAACTGTTAGATCAGCACACAAACCAAATGCACGATATTGCACAAATCTTGACAAATAGACATTTCTCACCTTGTTGAATTTCATGTCAAGTCCTGTTTAGTTAAGCATTTCTTGCAGTTGATCATTAGTTGCTTGTTTGCTTTCCAGTTTACTCTGATATAGCAACATGCACACACAGGGTACCTTAAGGCCACAGAAACCTACTCTGGGTAATACATTATTTGAATTATCTGTTCTTTATTTACTCTAACTCGGATGGTTTTTGTATTTCAGTGCTCCGCTCACTGTGGCCTGGGCCAACAGATGAGGACAGTGCAGTGTCTGTCCTACACTGGGCAGCCCTCAAGTGATTGTTTAGAGTCTCACCGACCAGCAATCATGCAGCAGTGTGAGAGCAAGTGTGATGCCACGCCCATCTCCAACGGCGACGGTAAGCTAACCACGTCATGGCGATATCAAACATTAGTGCCATTCTGTTCTCTTGTGGTTTATGTGTTTTCTGTACATTTAGTTTGTAGTATAATTTTGCTTCTACAATAAAGTCCGCTCACTGCCAGATACGTTTGTGCCAAAGGCTCCTGGTCAAGTGATAGAGCTGAGATAGAGCTGATATAGAGCTGTGACAGAGCTGAGACCTCTATATACACTTACACATGATGGATGGCAGTTCAGATATATAGGCCTTTCAATTAGCCTGGATGGAAACTGTGAGCAGCGTTCACAGGCTTGCTAATGGGATTAGCTTTAGGATAATTGTTCCTTCGCATACAGCAGTGAGGCAATGTCTCGTTTCATTTGGCTCTGCAAAAGCAAGAGCCAAAGCCTAATAAGGGAAGACACTGATCGTGATAAGGAATTTAAAGCACTGCTTGACCACCATCCAGCAAGCAGTTTGTGTGCTAAAATGAATGTGTCTTTGTGTGTTCAAATGAGTATGTATTGTTGGGATGGCAGAAAGCCCAGTCAAAGAACAAGGCCAACATAATTCTCTGCTTGTGCTCAGCGTCCAAGTTTATTAACAAACTTTAGTGGAGGCCTTGGCGAGAATCAAGATAAAAACTGATAAAAATATGTATGGGGTGACTATGTGTTTCTCACTGTTTAATCCATCTTTTTATTTCTGTTCTTTCAGAATGCAAAGATGTGAACAAGGTAGCCTACTGCCCACTTGTTCTGAAGTTCAAGTTCTGCAGCCGGGCTTATTTTAGACAAATGTGCTGCAAGACATGCCAGGGCCATTGAACTCATTAGGACAACAGCAAGAGAACAAGCAACATGGACTGTGAACAATAGAGGGAGGTTGGTGTCGCAACACAGTGACATTCAAAATAACAAAACGGATTTGCCTTCATCTGGAAACAAGTCCCGCAGAGTCATGGTTTGTCTGAGTTCTTCCCTTCCCCATGGACACAAACCACTGCTCAGCCACATCGCTGACTCGAATCTGTTTAATTTCACTTCTGTGAAGTGGAACTTGCAATATTATTTGCAGAAAATGTTCTTAAGTTTTATTATAATAATAATAATTAATGTTATGCAAGAGATGCTCCATATTTGTTGTTTAAAAAGTGCTGGGCACGTGGCTCATGGAGGTGTCGGGAGCCCATAGTGAACGTTTTGCGTTACTATTTTTTTTACTGTGATGTTAGCATGTTGCCATTTAGCTTTGGTGCACTTTTTGTGAATACTATGCTGGTGTTTGCTCAAATACCTGCAATGTGGCAGAACAATCCCATCAGTGTACTGTATATTTATTCTTATGTCCAAACAGAGCCAGGATGCCTACTGTCTAAAGGAGAATGTAATCAGACTTAATTTATAACATTCAAGGACTCTCATCAGACTGAAGCTCGTGCTATCTGGGGTTGACCACCACCTTTAACACACTTTCTCCACAAAACACAACAGTTTTGACCAACGTTTCAAGACATTCCATTGACAGGGTTCACTTTGAAGGATTTATTCTGAAGGACTAAGTTCATTAGCTGCAAGGCTCTAAATATACAGTACAAGTGACACAGTGTGTACACGCTCGTCACTCCCATCATGCTTCACTCTGGTTTATGGTGCTATCAAACAGGTGGCTGGAAAAGGGAACATTTAGACTGTACTTCTGTTCAAATGCTGGTCATGTGTTGTTTAATTGTGTGCTATACCTCACACTGGGAGTTGCGTTTAATATTGACATCTGACTGTTACAATTCAAGAACATACAAGGACTTCATTGGTGTTATTATAATTACATGTTTTTGTTTGCTGCTGCTGCTACATGAGGTGAAGGGGGAGATACTGCATAGAAGTATTTTTACATACTGCTGGTAGGTTATAAGACCTCCATAAATCTCTCAATCTGGTCCTCAGTGCTGTGAACTTGGATATTTGAATGTTGCTTATAAGTACAAAGGAAACATGTGATGTATTGCTTTTATATTCAGTATTATTGTTGTTACACTGTTACGATTGTTTGTATGTAAATTATATTCTAATTTATTGTGTTCCCCATCTGTCCATTTATGTCACTGCATATTAACTGAAAATAAGCATTGTGAAACCATGCAGTGATCGTGCCCCTCACCTACATTTTAGTAGATTCGAATAAAGGAGCAGTTCTGAAAATATCAACGTGAAACAGGCTTTTGTTTTATGTGCAAAAATGTGTCTGACATTGTTCCATGTGTACGATGTCTTATACCTTTACTGTTTAGGGCCCTAGCATAGATCCTGTTGAACCATAGACTGTAAGAAGTGGACAGAAAACTAATAGATCCATGACTGAAATGCAGAAGAAGCTAAGTTGAACTTAAGCTAGCTGGAGCCAACTCCGATTCCGATTGGGCTAGCTTCTGCTGTAACAGGTGAAGACGTGTTGCTAAGATGGTTGCTAAGGAAAGTTGGAGTTTCCCCCACGAATGAGGGGATCTGATTGGTCAATCCTTATGTGCCTTGCATCAAAATATATATACACCAGGCTCATATAGAGTGCTCAAACAAAGATATTTAAATCCAAATTGGTGTTATGTTTTAATGTGAGTCATTTGAAGCCAGAAAGAGCAAAACTAAACCCATGAGCACTTTCCTATCGGGCTTCATTGAGCTAGCGGGTTAGCACTGTCCATAAATACAGTCCATGTGCTGAACTTACTCTGAGTTATTAAATCCAAACCAGTTTACGTTTAGCTCTTGAACCTCCCGAGAAAACAGTGATTTGCAATTATTTATACAGATCTAAAATAAATGAGCACTACTAAACGAACATATCCAAATCTAGTTGATAATCCTTCAGCGTCTGACCTATTCTTCATATCATTGACCTTCTTTGGAGGTCGGCCATGAGGAGAAAACTTGCCACAAACCAATAGATCTTCTTGAAATAGGCCTCAGGACAAGAGGGTTTTTTTCCCACTGACTTGTTTCTGAGGTAATGAATACCCATCACTCAGTTCTCGGATTAAGAGCAAATAAGAGACTAATCCATTCCCACGATCCCATTATCTGAACTCATACACTCATACGTTACCTCATTTGATGGTCTAACTTACTGAAAAGGAAATGTCAAAGTGAAATTTCAAAACCCTTTCTCTTAAACATATGCATTTGGTTACGGTGAAAGAAAACATCTGAAAGAAGCTGCATAAAAAGTGAATTTCAAAGCACGTAATTGCCAACGCTAATAAACCAAGATTGTTTTTTTTTCTGCACAAGAAAAGTACTTGTAGAGAGCAGACATCCGCCAAGAGGAGCAGTGCCATTCCGTCTAGATAAGTACTGTACCTGGATCCATTTGGTGATCCGGACCGGTTTAATAATAATAATATTGTCTCATTAAATCAAAGCTAGAACACGGCATCCACTCTTTTCATCCGCCCATGATAAGAGGTGTAAAAATATAAGATAAGATAGACATTCATTCGTCCCACAGTCAAGAAATTTCAATGTCATCGTTGTGCACATTACAGCAGAATAAGAGGAAATAAGAGCACTCAAAAGATAAAGAGCAGATTGCTTGTTGTATTGCCAGCATTTCAAGACTTCAAACAAGACTTCTCTGTGAATCCAGTCCTTCTTGTCAGTTTCTAAATCCACAAAAATCAGAGTAAACTAGTGCTTCCTGAAGAGACACTACATATTTGCCTCCTTCCTCTGACTGTTAGATCACTCTGTCCTGAAGAAGTGTTCGTATCTCTCCCTGAAGTGACTGGAGCTGTAGTGTTGGATCAGTGTTCTGGGAGAGAGTGTGTGTAGCTCTGCAAATCCTGTGCTGACAGAACCCTCTGCAGTGGCACAGATCGGTGTGGCTGAACGAGAACATGTCCGGAGTCTGACAGACAGGAATGCTCACTCGAATGGAAAGGCCCTGACCCCCAGCACCTGCTATCTCCTCACTTCTGTTGGGCCTCGGTGCTGGTAATCCGGGCTGGTCTTCCCTCTTCAGACGAGACCCACACTAGAAGCATGATCAAAGGAAGAACAAGGCAACGGTGAACAGCAGAAAATCCATCACAACATTAGCTTTTATCAACATTCATGGTGTAGAGAAAAAGGAAAAAAATAGTAATAATATATATATATATATATATATATATATATATATTATTACTATTTTTTTTTTTTATCTCAACCACCTCCCTGGTTTTCTTGTCCCATCACGATCCCGGACTTACTCTTCGAATGAGTGGGGCTTACAAAAGTATTCAGCCTCCATGAGTACTTTATGGAACCAAAGAAAATGTTTATTGGGTGTGATGTTATAAGCTTGGCACATCTACAGACTCAAAGTTTTGCCCATTTGTTTTTTCGAAGCAACTCAAGTTTAGAATTTGACTGGGCCTTTTTAACCCTTGGATGTTGTTTTTGTTTTAACCATTCCATTGTAGCTCAGGCTTTAACTCTGCCCGGCTGTAAGCGTTCTTCAGAATTCAGCAAGTTTTCTTCCTAAAATGCCCTGTATATGGCCCCATCCTTCATCACATCTGGGTTTACAATCTACCCTTTCCCCGTTGAAGAAAAGCAGCCTCATAGCATGACTCTCTCCCCGCCATATTTAGCAGTGTTAGTTTTGAGCCATAAAATATCTTTGTTTGGGCCAAAAAGTAAAAATATTATCTCATCCGGCCAAAACACCTCCTTCCGTGTGTTAGTTGTGTACCAATATGACTTCTGGCAAACAGCTTTTCTTTCATTCAACAATTTCTTTCTTTCTTACCACCTCCATGAAGGCCAAAGTTGTGTTGAGTACAACGATTAGCAGCTCCATCAGAGACATCCTGGAGAATATGGCCTCAATTCTGATCAGTGCGCTCCTTGGATGGCCGTGTGTTGGCATGTTTGCAGTGGTTCTCCATCCATTTCCAAATAATGGATAGAAAAGTCCTGTGTTACATATTCAAAGCTTGGGAAATCTTTGCATAACTTAACTCTTCTTTAAACATCTCCACAAGTTCATCCCCCTCATGACACAGTGTAGAGACTAACACACACTAAACAGCAAGAGTTTGACACACAATTTTGCTTTCAAGTCAAAGTTGGATGTGGTCTTTCAAAAAATGTCCAAAATGTATATATTTTTTGTGGTCATGAAATGTAAAAACATGTATTACTTTGATTTGTGATTGCCGTGTCCACTTGGGGATACACTCAAGACTTGGATTATAATACACCTCAAAGCAAGATACATTATAAAAGCTTGTATTTTACTAAATGTTTCACACAAAACACAATCATTAAAAACATTGGCTCAGATAAACACAAGGCCTATGATGGATTTTTTTTTCTACATGTCTTCAGTCTCCACATGATGGAAGTGAAGCATGTATGTAAGTCAAAAAGTCAATCTCTCAACATGTGGAGGTTCCTCAGGTGTGTAGGTCACCTTTGGGAGAATCCACTTCTTTTTCCACACTCTGCGCAGCCAGCAAAGACAAGAGCAAGTAAGTGGATTAAGTGCATAAAAGATCAATAGCCAATCACTTAAGCTAACAAAATAAAGTCAAGGATGTTGGCTCTGTGGTACATGAGCCTGGAGCACACTGGAACTCATTTGGTTAGAATACTTTAAGGACATCCTTTCTCAAGAACATTATGAAATCCATCAGGAATGAATTATGCCGGTATATGACGTCCTCTTCCCAACTGCCCACTGCTAATAAATGACAGTGCACTAATGAAGAAAAATGATAATGGCAGCCACAGTCCTCTCCCTTTGTGCTGCTGTTGACGTCTCACTTTCACAGCCTGCGTGTCCTTCACTCATGTCAAGGAAAAGGTGAATCCGTTTAAATAAATGCAATAAAGTGTTACCCAGCAGAGTTGGCTGGTTGGTTGGTGTGTACACAAAGCATGGGCGTCGCTGCTTACACACTTACACATAATTCAAATCTCTGTATGTGGAAAAAAAATGACAATCAGGGATTATACAGGGTGTTTCATAGACTGGTTTTGTTTTCTCATGGTCTGAAATGAAACTTCTGACTTCAACAATCCTACCTCCAGAAGATTATGGCACAAAGTTACTTTATTCTCTAGAAATGTTCGCTCTCTGCCCAGACTTATGGGATGCAGGGCCCTCTCTGCCTGGGGCCCGAGAGCCTCTTCAGTCCTGCACCGCACAGCATCAGGCCTGGTTCTATGTGCGTATTTCCCAGAACATATTTTACTTTTATAGACATTGGTCGTCCCACTCTGTATGAACGAATGGCTCCTATTGTTTGCTAATATTGCTTTCCTGTGTTCCATTCTCTGATCTGTTGTTGGCATTAAGTCCTCTGAGACGACTGCTGTAGTGATTTAAGGCTATGCAAAAATAAGTAGAATTGAATTAACAATAACATACAACATGGTAATACGTGCATCAGTAAGAGAAATTGTGTAGGTACCAAATTTAAGCACTATTTTAAGTATTTGAACTTGAAAAATCCGACTCTGGCGTTGAATCTTGCCTGGTTGGAATGTGTTGGCATTAAGGCCACTGAGACAAATGGACTGCATGCTCCGTCCTTGGACACTGTGAATGACCAACCATTAAGCATGAACATTTGCTGTGCCTGTCCAAACAATTTTCTCTTTGATCCTGCAATGCATCAATATGCCTTTTAGCCCAACTTTCAGTCAATCTCCCTCAAGGGAATAAGAAGATTCAGGGGTTCAAAACATCTTCATGTCTTTTGCGGACGAGTTTTAGGACACTTGTCACTCTGTGACAATAGTGATTATGTGGCAAGAAGGACAAAGAACCATCAAGTGGAGGTTATTTCACATCAAAAGACAGCAATGGTTGAGAATCATCCATTAAAGCCGCAAGCTGCATCGAACACAACGTATAACACAACATGGGTTTTACAGTTGGGAGTTTGGAGAGGCCACGGAGCAGGCTGTTGGCTTCAAAGAGATTTTGGCAGATCGTCCAGTGCCTCAGGAGGAGAAGCAGTGTTTTGCCAACACCGCTTACAGAGCGCATGGAGAGCTGGGATATCATCGGGTGGTAGGAAGAATATTTTGACCCTAAACTATGGTGGTCATTGCTTTGGGTATTGACGGAAAAGACAAGAATGTGGAATCAAGTGCTTGAAATAATTTTTCTTCTCAAAGAGGGGGTTGTGGAGTTAAGTCAATTCAATTCAATGTATTCTTGTATAGCCCTAAATCACAACAGTAGTCATCTCAAAGGACACAGGAGGAGCTTGAAGTGGAACAGAGGAGCAGAAGTAGATTTGTGCATGTTCCACCAGGAGGAGACCCCAGGGAAGACCCAAGGCACTCTGGTGGGATAATCTTCGGATACTAACTTGCTAATGTGGGTGCTTGTATGAGCAAAATGGGGAAATTTTTAGTTCAAAATTAGTCCAAAAAATTTCTGAAGACTTTTTTTTTTTACTTTTACTTCCCCACTTGTGAAGATGATGTTGATGATGATTAATAATACAGTTTCAGCTAAAGTCCCCTTTTCTTTTGATCAGGGTTGTGTCCACAGTTCTCCAGGAACAATTGTTCTGTAGGTTTTCTGGTGCAGGGAACCCTCAGCAGAGAAACCCTTTCAAACAATTGCTCCTAAGCTAATAATAATACCTCTTTTAATGTAAAGACAAGCAAACTGTATGTAGGGCTGCGGTGACACACTCTCTCCATAGACTCCATTCATTCCTGCAGCAGTCCTTGCAGTCCGGTCCTTCATTATATATCCGTTATATTTTATTAGATACACAGAATTCTACTTCCTCCAGTTGTCTGAGAAAAAGGAAGGAAAGATGAAAGACATGCAAAACACTTGAATGGAATGGCTCTTTTTTTATTAACCAAAACCACAGACACCAAATGAGTAGAATCAGCTCCGAGACGGTTTCAAATGGATTTAGCCTGAATGGCCTGAACACAGCTGCCCCAAAAGCAGATTTATTTTTGTGCACTGGATCCAGATGTTTGAGCCAAAGAGCGTTCCAAAAGCGGGTTGATGGCTTAAAAGTGCAGCTCTCTGGATGTTGTTGTTTGGCTTCTTCAGTCACAGGACGCGTGGCTCTGACCTTCGACCCTGGGGCCTCACCTCTTGGCCTTCTTCTCCTTTAGGATTCTCTTACTCTCCTCTCTTCTGCGTTTATTGACAGGGTTGCGTGGGTCGTAGATCTCGAACGTGTCCTCGTCCTGCATGTTGGCGTCCTTCACTTTTCTGCTTTGCTCGTCAAACTGCAGAACATGGCCCAACCTAAATCAAGAGCAAAATGCAGGGTTCAAAAAGAGCGCAACAGAAGGGCGTGAGTAAATCATGACTGCGATGCAATTCTTCAGGAGAACATGAACGTTTTTCACTGCATGTCCAAAACTGACCCAGGGATGTGTGAAAAACAAATATGCTGCCGGCTTAAGACTCAAAGGGATTTAGAATTCAAGGACAATTCCCAATATTCAATTTACAGTACCTGTGCTTCACAAAAATAATGATATCTATTTGTTCTCTTTGTTGCTAGGTCAGAACAAATTAATATCATTATCTATTTGTTTTGACTTAGAAGAAGAATTTTGATCAAACCAAATGAAAATACGTTTCAGAAATGTTATATGAAACAGACAAAGCAGAGCCTTGAGATAGAGGACAACTAAAATCCATAACATAAATAATAAATACATAAAAAAGATGTTAGGAAAACCTGTGATTTTCCACTCTACATGAGATTTTGAAAATCTCTTTAAATCAGATTGGTCCTTGCACAACTTTGGCTTTGGCTAGCGAGTATAGAATTGCTCCTGATTGAAGTCAAATTTGTAACCAGAATCCCATTGAGCTCATTTGAGTTCACTCTAATCGGCTTCTTCCCGATAAGGCAAACACGACTGTGACATCAGCACTCTGTTCGTCCACTCCTTCTACCATCTATGGCATCGACCCTTCTCTACACACTTTCAAATATAGTCTAACAGGGGAAACTCAGATCATTACAATGATACAGATTAAGAGATCATTTATTCATAACACAGTGGGGGAAAAAATATTTCCGTAATACAAGCTATAATGTGAATCTAATATTGTGAGACATAGAGCCTTGACATTTGTCATTTGTTTTAATGTAGATTATTTTGGTTTACACATTGTAAAAACTATGTTGTCAGCTCAAAGTGTCACATTGTCGTCCACTAATTGATCCAAACACTGCAGAGAATTCCTGAGGGTTTAAATGGTCTCAGCCTAGTTCAGTGAAACTCACCATCGTGAGAAGACTGCTGACCTGACATTGTGCAGAAAACCATCATAAACATCCTCCATAAGGAGAGGAAGCCTCAAAAGGTAATAGCAAAAAAGCTGGATGCTCTCAAAGTGCTGTATCAAAGCACTTTAAGAGAAATCTAAGAGGAAGGAAAAAAGTGTGGAAGAAAAGGTGCACCAGCCGCAGGGAGGACTGCGGCTAAAACAGTGGACTCAGGCATCTCCAGCACCCACACGTACGAGATGAGGGAGCTGTCCAGAGCTGCTTTTTGTCCCAGTCCACTCCTGCATGAAAGTAACTGCAGTCATGTAATGTTCTAGATCAAACATGATCTGATCCACTGTGTGCAGAGTTAGTGTTGGGACTGTTCTGTGCATTGTGTCTCGTTATGAACACATTCTGTTTTCCCAGTGCGAAAGAAACGGGACTCTGCTTCCCTTTCACACAAGTAAAAGCTCTCTTCAAATTATTTTCTTTTGTTCCAGAGGAAAATATAATTCCTCATAACAAGTGTAGAGTGATGGGATTAGACTGGTGAGTTCGGGCTCTGGTTCTCCAACAGCTTAAACAGCAGATAACAACCGTTTAACTGAACCCCGTCTCGACAGTAGAGTAAGCTGAAAAGATGTTTACATTCACATCTGCTCAGGAGCTCATTACGAAGACATCGAATGATGCAAGTGAGAGGTGAAAGAAGACAGGTGCATTGTTCTGGCTGTGTTTCCTAGAAATTAATTTTACAATCAAAGATTTGTGAAAGCAACAGTGTCGGCTTTCAGTTCTGAACTTGATAATTATCAAATGTTACTAAATACAGAAACCTTTTGTTTTACGATGCAAACAACATTGGGCACTCAGACACAGATGGAACAGTTTACCTCCTCTGGCCTAGACTTGACTTCCACTGTCTGACCTGCAGTAACCCACATTCTGTCAGTAGCTCTCTTAGAATGGCAAAGATTTCCCACTGGGGTTTTCCAGGGCTTTATGATATCATCCTGCTCTACCTCCTGATCCTACCTTGTCGAGGCGTTTCGGTGAAGTGTCACCAACTCAATTCATTAGAGTGTTACAGACACACACAGCGAGGGGATTCTCCAGACTAATGGCATCTACAGATTTTGTGTTACCGAAACCTCTCATGCTGGCACTTCCTCACACACATGGTATTCATTTCAAACTGAGACTTATGCAGTTTGCGTAAGTTCTTTGGTGAAAAACAGAATATAGGGAAAACACAATGTATGCCCGATTTCCTGATGGCTAAAACAGAGCTTTAGTTTTCCATTTACAACTCACCACTGGGAGAGACAAGGTTTTCCTCTGACGAGTCAATGACTACTGTTAATTAGTACCGCATGTATAATTTGTTTGTATGCCTAGATAATAAAGTGTGTACAACCAGGCGGTGAAACACAAAATTAAAAATTTGATTTAAAAAAAAAAGTTAAAATAAAGGATGCACATGTGTCTGAATGAGAAGTGTGTTGTTTTGTCCAATTAAAATATGCAGAAATTATTAATGACAACAAAACAAAACCATAAACGCATTAAACTGACTGTTAAACGCCTTAAAAACGACTGAGTGACTGAAACAAACAAAGGAGTTTCTTTGACAATTCAAGTTATTTCTTTTTTTTTTTAAAGGTTTACTTTATTAATCCCCGTAGAGCAATTCATCCTCTGCATTTGACCCATCCTGATGCCGCTACGCTTATGTCAGGAGCAGTGGTCGCCGTAGTAACAGCACACGGGAACCCATCTCCAGATGTTGATGCTCGGCTTGGTCAGGACCGGAGCTGGAGGATTTAACCTAGTGTGCATGTTTTTAGTGGTAGGGGAAACCGGAGTACCCGGAGGAAACCTACGGGAAATTAAATAGTTTTGTAGAAAACTATTTAATTTCTACAAAGTTAAATAGTTATATACACAGTAAATAGAAACTGAGGATCCTATATTAGACAATCTATTGAAAACTGGGGGATGTAAACTTATGATCACGGCCATTCTGGTAGTTTTCGGTTTTCATTCAAATGCAAAAAAAGACAAGAATACACTTCATCCACATCCCTTTATTTAACCATGTGCGTGACAAGGACTTTTGCGTTATCATTCATAATCTCTAATATGGCCAAAAATGTAAGCGGCAGACTGAATATTTAAATATTGAGATTTGAGTACAGCCCTAATGCATATTAACAGCTTTACTCACCATCCGGTGTCATCATCCTCCGCTAACTGGTCCACGTCCTCCTCGGGGTCGTCAGTGATGGCAGAAGACAGTTTGGACTTAAACGACTCGAGAAGAGCAAGAGTCTGCACAAACAACAGGGATTTCAGAGAACTTCCCAGTGTGTGAAGGTTAAGACTGCTTCAAACTGGTAGAGATCATGTATTACAAAATAACATTCAATATTGCTACTTACAATATCTAAAGTTGGATGACTGAATTACAAAATATAATATATTACTGTTACTTTTGTAGTTTGTGACTCTACACGGCCCCGTACAGGAGACATTAGGACAAAAGATTAAATAAACAACGTCATGTTTCTGGTACCTGTTCTTCTCTGCCCGATCCTTTTTTCTTTTTCTGTTTTCGAATCTCCTCATACTTCTTTCGTCCATCAAGATATTCAGCCACAGCATCACTTACTGGTTTTTGCTCTGCAAGAAAAATGATTCTTAATTATAAATAACTACTTTGTTGTCCTTTATGGCTAAAAGCATCTGGTTCTGAACATGTGAATTGTATACAGTGGGGCAAAAAAGTATTTAGTCAGCTACCAAATGTGTCAGTCCTCCCTCTTAAAAATATGAGGGAGGCCTGTAATTTTCCTCAAAGGTAAACCTCAACTCAGAGACGGAATGAGAAATAAAATCCAGAAAATCACACTTATTTGAAAATGATGGTGGAAAATAAGTATTTGGTTAATACTTTGTTATATACCCTTTTGTTGGCAATCACAGACCTCAAACATTTTCTGTAAGTCTTCACAAGGTTTTCAAACACTGCTGCTGGTATTTTGGCCCATTCCTCCATGCAGATCTCCTCTACACCAGTGATGTTTTGGGGCTGTGGCTGGGAAGCAAGGTCTTTCAACTCCCTCCAAAGATATTCTATGAGGTTGAGATCTGGAGACTGGCTAGGCCACTCCAAGACCTTGTAATGCTTCTTACAGAGCCACTCCTTCGTTGCCCGGGCGGTGTGTTTGGGATCATTGTCGTGCTGAAAGACCCAGCCACGCTTCATCTTCAATGCCCTTGCTGATGGAAGGAGGTTTTCATTCAAAATCTCACAATAGATGGCACGGTTTACACGGATCACTCGTCCTGGTTCCTTTGCAGAAAAACAGACCCAAACCATGATGTTTCCACCCCCATGCTTCACAGTAGGTACGGTGTTCTTTGTATACAACTCCAAAGACGACGAGTTGAGTTATTACCAAAAGGATCTGTTTTGGTTTTATCTGACCATCTGACGTTCTACCAATCCTCTTCTGCATCATCCAAATGCTCTCTAGCAAACTTCAGACAGGCCTGGACATGTACTGGCTGAAGCAGGGGGACACGCCTGGCACTGCAGGATTTGAGTCCCTGGCGGCGTAGTGTGTAACTGATGTTCCTGGGATTTTTGCAAACCGTTCTTGACCATTGTAACCCCACGGGATGAGATCTTGCGTGGAGCCCCAGATCGAGGGAGATCATCAGTGGTCTTGTATGTCTTCCATTTTCTAATAATTTCTCCCACAGTTGATTTCTTCACACCAAGCTGCTTACCTATTGCAGATTCAGACCTTCCCCGCCTGGTGCAGGTCTACAACATTGTTTCTGGTGTCCTTTGACAGCTCTTTGGTCTTGGGTGTAATGTGATTTTCTGTATTTTATTTTTCTTATTCCGTCTCTCATAGTTGAGTTATACCTATGATGAAAATTACAGGCCTCCCTCATCTGTATGGGGAGTTGTAGAACTTGCACAATTGGTGGTTAACTAAATACTCTTTTGCCCCACTGTATTAAAAACACCCGATCACAACCCCTAAAGGTAGCGATAAAAGTGAGCTGTCTGTCAAGCTGTGAAAAGAAAACAACAGGCATGACCCAGATCAGACGAGGTGTGCTCAGACTGCTCTACGTGACTCCATGATGCAGACCCACACTCACTTCTTCTTGCTCTAAGGTGAGGTCATCTTCGAGTAACCGTTTCCACATAACTTTAATCCTAAAATCACAGCATGTATGTCCAACTGTGCATTAAGCTATTGACAATGTCCTGGTGACTTCTGGATGCAAACCTTTCCCGAACCGTACATACACACAACCTGCGTACATCTACTCTCGGTATAATTACAGTTACGAGTGTTCTGGTCACAAAACAGCATCAAAGTCCAAGCAGTGCACCAGAGAGGTCAGATATGAAGTTTGGGTGATGATTAAAGCATGGTTAGGTTATACAGACAAGATTTCTCACATCTCACAGAGCACTTTTCAAATATTTTTGCCAAATGGAAAGAGTACGATTAAAAATGTATCAAGACACAACTGTCTTGATACATCCATGTGTCTGGGGTAGCTGCAAACATGGGGCAAAAAATTGTCATAACCTACAGAAACCTGGCCTTTGTGGACAAGTGGTAGATAGAAAGCCAGTGTTATAATAAAGCCAAAGGAAGCCCAGTGGGGGAAGGTGCAGAGGTCGCTCAAAACCAACACTGTCCATGATCCTCAGAGCACCAGTGTCACAAATGAGGGTGGCAGCTTCATGGTATGGTCCTGCTTTTCTTAGGCAGGGACAGAGAAGAGTGTCAGAACAGATGGGAAAAATACAGGACAATCTAGGAGCTGCTGAAGTCTGTGTGTGTATGTAAGATGCAGGGACACAGATGTGCTTTCTGTTGCTTAAAGACAAATAAAACAATGTGCACATACCAGTTTTGGTTTCTTCTGGAGCAGGTTTGGAAGCTTCATCTTTCCTATGTTTAATGGCAAGAATCTCTTTTCTCAGTTGCCGCACCTCTTTCCGCAATTCGTCCCTAAACAATAAATGTACAATTTAAAACAATTAAAATAAATGACCAACACAATTATCAAAACTATTCAAAATATACTATTGTTTTTGTCATATTCTTCAACATTGTATTTACACTCCTGTATAATGTACTGTGGTTATTGTTTTATCAGTGAATGATGTTTAATGCTTCTTTTCTTATTTGGTTGAGCACCTTGAGTGTCCTTGTGTATGAACTGTGCTACACGATAAAACTTGCCCTGCCCATCTATTTATTTTTGTGTGAAGAAATCTGCTTCGGTATTGGCCTATAATCGTTCCACATCTACATCATGTGCCGATGCTTGTGGTCAGGGGTATCTTTGCTGGAGGGAGCATGTTTTGGGTAAAGGGAAACCGGGGTTAGGTGAAGCTGTTATGGAGCTGCAGAATAGACGACAATATTTTCATTAGTTTTGCAGGATTCTTAGTCTGAGCATTTTGAACTCCGCATTAGGGGTCGATCACCTTCATGGCTACACTGCAAAAAGTGATGAAAAATAAGAATTGCTCAAAATGATTCAAAAATTTGCTCAAAATTGGCTAAATGTGTCTCAATTTGAGCACTTGTTGACTGAACAAGATTTTCCAATGGGACAAGCAAAATTATCTTGGACTAAATTGCTTGTCAGAATGTCCCAAGATAAAAACAAATGATTCAAGCAATTATTACCTTATATTTGATCATTTCTTGCAGTGTGGTTTGAATGGCTTAAATTCAAAACTTTGATCATTACACATAATACTGTATAATACTGTGTCATAACCTTTTACCTAGTGACAAATATTGAACATTAAAAAAGTCCTTCATACTTGACATCCAAACATTTTTAGGCCACCTCAAAATACTGTACACGCCAACGTTTTCACAAAGGCAACATTAAATTAAGTTAAGATAAACGTTAAACTTTATTGATCTCACAATGGAGACATTTGGCATAGATCGAATCACTCAGATATAGTGCAAAAGATAAAAGTGTGTAAACACGTTAAGGTAAAAAGTATAGTCAGTACAGGAGACATTATGTATAAAAAAAGTGGCAATAGCAGAGCAGGTTTTGTTCAGTCCTAGTGCAGGTCTAAAAAAAAACCTCAGTGCAGGTCTAAAAACCCTAGTGCAGGTCTAAAAAACCCTAGTGCAGGTCTAAAAAACCCTAGTGCAGGTCTAAAAAACCCTAGTGCAGGTCTAAAAAACCCTAGTGCAGGTCTAAAAACCCTAGTGCAGGTCTAAAAAACCCTAGTGCAGGTCAAGTGAACCCAAATGTTTTTAAATGTAGAGGTTTGGACGCAGTGCTGCTGACGGCTCCAGCATTATGATTTAATACGGTGGAATGTGTTGTAGGACATAAAATACTTTGCTCATTCTTTATTGTGAATTGAGCTCAAGGATGAAGAAGCTACTTCTCTGGCGTCCAAGTAATTTAATGACTGAACAAGTGAGGTGGATGAATGTACTAGAATAACAAGATGGTTGGGTGAACTCTCTTCAGGGGGTACTCCACAATTTGGGCCAACGCCAAGCTGAGCTATGCACACCAAAGGAGAATCCAAGCACAACACCAGAATTTGCATGACTTTACAGAGAAATTTGAACAAAAAAAACAAAAAAAATCAGCAGTACTACTCTCACAAAGGACAAACTTTTAACCAAGATAAGATAAGATAAGATAAGATTGCTTTATTTATCTCACAGAGGAGAAATTTACATGTCACATTTGGCATGGATAGAGACACTCAGATTGTGCAAAGGGAGGAAATGTGCAAACATGTTACATGCAGGATATATGTACAATAAAGTGACAATAATTATGTACAACAAAAGTGACAAGTGTCAATTCCTTGACGTTTTCACCGTTTCCTTCCTTAAATCAATTACGTTGGAAAAATTCTGTATGAATCCATTCAGAACAGGCAAGTATCCAGAGCTGACATGCTGCACTGATGTGTAAACATGTCGGTCCAAAACGTACACAGTCCTGGAGCCAAGAGCTGGACAATTTCAAGCTGTTTTTTTTCCCTACAAACAATTTTTTTTATTTTTTAAATCAGCCTAACATTTCCTCAGAACACACTTGACTAATACAGTAAAATACAATATAATATAATGTAAATCTGGTGCAGTCCATTAATGCACATAACCACATGATTGTGTAAGTCAAAAAAGGCTTTTTTTGAGGTAAGATTTAGAGCAGAACTGGGAACATTTCTATGCGGCTCGAAATGTGCACCCGCCTGCACTGGTGCATTTGGCCTCTGTTTAAATGAATAGGAGACAATAACCACTGAAGGATTGCATGCTACAGAAGCAACAGTCTAGAAAACCCAGCCTTCTTTACCTTCGGTCCAGTTTAGATTCAATTAAAAGTAAACTGAAATAATTGTGTTCATAAAAACTATTAATCACAATTACTGGTTATAGAGTGTTTTCAATCATATTCAGTCACTGTTCTATTTTTAAAGTCTTAGTCTCACAAAGCAAAAGCCAAAGATGCAAAAGATGAGCTTTAAACATACTTTCCACAAACTCAAACACAATCTCATCTCTGTCTCTTTCGTACATTATTCCTAAAACAGGTCCGGCCTCCACAAAATGACAATATCCAAATCCAGAGAAAATAATTTCTCACCGTTGTGTTAAAGAGAGTGTTCTTTATCAGACAGAACACATGCTATTGAATAGACATTTACGAGTTAAGTTGAATGAAAAAGAGACCTTCATTAACAACCACAAACAAAATGTTGGCCAATAATAATCTTTCCATTAGGGTCAGTCTATCAGCTTTACCTGGGATTTTTACAATCTGGAACTAAATATAAGTATTAGTTGTAATGTAAACAACAGGAAGCTGCACTCACTCATTATGGGGAGTCCTTAGTGACTGAGGAGCGACTGGCACAGGCCGCCAGTGCCAGCTCACTCTGCCACAGCCATATGGAAGCGTTTTCACTTCCCAGTCATGGCCTGTCAGCTGCAGCTTAAGTAGAGCCCATCCCATATACTACGTCTGGAACTCAGATTGATTCTTACATAGGAGAAAATATCCAAGAGACGAAACCAGTAAACTAGTATTTTATCGTTTCTGTGCAAACAAACATTTATATTACTTATAAACTATGTGACACTATCCATGCAACCTTTCACAGCTAGGTAATCGGTCATCAGCAATACAGTATAAAAAGCAAATTTAGCCTAAGGTAAAAGAAACAGTTGGAGAGCTCTGCAACACTGCAACAATACCCACATTGTCCTGAACCAACAGCGTTCTCTCCTGCTCTTTGATTCACTGCCAACACAAACCACTGAGTTGGGTTTCAGGACTTATAGCAAAACAATCGCTGCTTGTGCTTCATATACTGAAGCCCTGGGCTGCCTGTCACTCACAGAGACACCACTGACAACAGCCCGTTTTTCTCATTTTCTCAAATAGAAGGGTCAGGGTCATGTGTTGGAAGATATAAATAATCTCTGGTGTGAACTGGGGATATATTTAGCTATTAAGTTAGATGTTAGACAAATACATCTACATAAGCCCTGTCAATGAAGGAGCTGTTAACATTTAATCATGTCCACATAAAAAGAAAATCATTTAAAGAATTTTCAGCTTTCCTTTGGTTTAGTAACAATTTCTACGCTCTGGAATGTAAACTCAACTCAATAAAACCGACACAAAAACACAAAATAACACATAATAATTATAAAAATACTCATTAAATCACAAGCTAAATAAATTATATACTTTTGTCATCGGTTTTCACTGCATCTAACCAACTATTTGAACATTGTACTATATTACTCAAACATACTTACTTTTAAAACTACATTTTTTACTGTCTCAATGTAATTCAGCAGTTTTCAGATTTACCCTGACTTGAATGAAGCATGTTTTATACTAGGAAAACCCAAAATTGCAAATTATACCACATTTACAGCTAAAAAAAGTTAAAAAAAAAAAAAACTATAAATATAATACCAACAATTGAATAAGTCCTCTCTATGCACTTTAATAATGAAGTGAATCTTTAGGCTCAAATACAAACGACTAAAAATATATTATTTCTGAGACAGCACTGCCCCCTGCTGGATTGTGCACACATTGCTTTACCTTTTACTTGACTTTTCCCCTTGCTCCTCTTTGCCTGTAGTTTTTTCCGCACTCGCGTCCTTCTTCAGTTTATTGGCAATCTCCTTCATCCTTTCTTCTTGCTCTGGAGTCAGACTTGTACTGCAGAATGAAAAACAATAAGTAGAGTAACCTGCTAAAGTTCTGGATTATTATAATGTGTTTATCTTGTTTTATATAGTTTATACCATGGTCAGTGAGGACTCCACAGCAAACTACCAATGAAATTTACCTTTCATCAAAGAAACAGTTGCTAAGGAACTTTTGCTGACCCTTGGCTCATAAAGTCTCTCTTTCCTCAAACATATTTTTTGAGAGTGTAGAAGGCAGAATATATGCGGGTTAGGGGAGTGTTTTGACCATGTGAAGGCCGATTTAACAGCTTGTATAGTTTAAACATACTTGTGCATTGTGCGTTCGAACCATACAACCACACATTGCTTAATCCTTACATGTTTTTTTTAATACATATGGTGCTTACCCTTCCACTGCTGGGACAGAGCTCAGTTTGGGATCATCTTTCAGAAGGTCATGGCTACTTTTACTTTTTCCTTTAAAAGACTATAGAACATACATATTTTACCCTTGATTTGGAATGTAAGCAGTTAAGAGTCTGTTTCAAGAAGGAGAAATATTGTGCACCTGAGTTACTTGGTTTGTTGCTTCTTCCTCTTCCTCCGCTTCCTCGCCAAATGATAACAGACTGAAGTTTCTTTATTAAAAAATTTAATAATATAATATTACTACAAGTTTATAGAATGCATTCTTTAGACAATGCCGGTACACTTACTTAGTGGCTTTTGATTGGGATTTCTTTACCTCTTCTTTTCTTTCTAATTTAGAATTGTTTGATTCCCGTGGGATTATATCATCAAAAGGAGACGCGAGAACCTTAAAATATTTAGAATGAGGAATGATATTAAAAACATAGTGAGTAAATGTATCTGAATTTTGCAGGGAATATCAATACCTCAGTGCTTCTTATCTTGTGTGGCTTCAATGGCCTTTCATTGCAATCACACTCAACTTCTGCCAGTCTCAGCATGTTATAAATGGTGTCGCCTGTTACCTGTTCATATCATAGCATTATCAAAATATGTAGAAATAGAGTTTATCTTAATACATCAAATTATTTACAGTTTTTCACCTTCCCAAATATGGTATGTTTATTATTGAGCTCATCAGCGCGGGCAAGAGTAAAGAAAAACTGACTTCCGTTATCATGTGGCCCAGCATTAGCCATGGCAACCAGACCTCTGCGAATGAAGCGCAGACGCGAGTGAAATTCATCCTGGAAAACACAAAATGACGAGACAATTAAAACATTTTGAGATTGAATCATCACAGAAGTAAAGCTGGTGAATATGTTAGACGCACAGTAGACCACAATACATAATAATGGAATCTGACCCTGAAAGGTTGACCATAAATGGATTCTCCTCCTTCCCCTGTCCCAGTGGGATCTCCTCCCTGGATGATAAATTCTGGAACAACTCTATGGAACATTGTTCCATTGTAGTAGCCTAAATAAATCAAGGGACAGGAAAGTTACTTTAAAACATTTCATATACAGCAACAACGGTCTGTGCATTTGAAGATGTTGGCCCAGTATGATGTATGAAGTACCTTCCATACAAAGCTGCACAAAGTTTCTAGCTGCTTTAGGTGCTTCTTTGGACCACAGCTCAATGTCAATGTCCCCTGCAGTTGTCTTGAGCAGAACCTGGGAAATAGAAACATTAAATGCTGTAACAGTTCTCTGGTTGCAAAATAACATTGGATTGGAAGAAACTTGAATTCAGTTAGCGAGATAAAATACACGTCGATACCTTCCCATGTGTGGGCGGCTCTTGGATGTAAATATTGCTCATCTTGGGAAAAACACTTAAACTACATAAACCTTGGAAATATGGTAATAGTATTAATACAGGTTGATCTTGAGGCTATAATCCAGATTTCCCACGAAAAACACAACACCGCTGTGTTTCAGGCATATGGCTTATTAGTAGGATCTAGGGGTGTAAATATGACATCATTGATACATACAATATGTCTGTATCAATGTTTACGTCAAACATGTGTTTTTTTTCTAAGAAATAACATATTAATTTGCATGATGGATGATAGCTTAAATATATAAGTTAATGCTCATTAAAAATTGTTACAACAAACGCGTTTACCCCTAAACGTATATTGGTTTGGTCCATGTGTCTCTAAACAAACAAGCGTCAGAAACATCGACTTAGATCGTCATTCGTTCCGGTTGGTCCATAATATATTATAACAATGCATTTCCCTCACTGGTAGAAATACACCCTCTAGATTAATGTTCAATACTTATTGTTAAAACATATACACGACGTAAATAGACCTGTGAGATAGACGTACATGCTACGATTCTGCACTAACTCTACAATCCGATAGGTGGCGGTAAATTCTCTTCAGACTTTTTATAAACAAACCAGAAGAACTGCAGTAATGGCGGAGAGCGCGGACCTGAAACGAAAAGTGCACAACAAAGATGAAGAAACTCCTACAGAGGAAGATGGCGAGGAGTGGGTCGGACCTATGCCAAATGAAGCTACAACAAATAAGAAAAGAAAAGGTGTGTTTCATTCTGCTGTATGTAAATCCTCTGAGGCCTCGCTAACAAAGTACAGCAAGAGCTCTGATTCTTCAAGTTGTATTTGTCGCTGAAATAACTCATCATGAAATCATATTTTTGTGTTTTTAAGTTTTGGAATTTGAACATGTTTACCTGGATAATCTCCCGTCGGCTGCAATGTATGAACGAAGCTACATGCACAGAGATGTGATCACCCACATCGTGTGCTCCAAGTATGTGGAAGTTTGGCTTATTACTGTGCAGTATTCTCAGTCCAAGTTACACAACGCTAACATACCATTATTCGTTAAATCGTATATTCTAGGACAGACTTTGTCATCACAGCCAGCCAAGATGGTCATGTCAAGTTTTGGAAAAAGAAGGAAGACGCTGGCATCGAGTTTGTCAAACATTTCAGAAGTCATCTTGGTACTACACTGTCTTTACATGACACATTATCAAAATCAAGTTCTTACTTTATTGACTTGTAATACATCGCAGGTGTAATAGAAAGCATTGCAGTAAGTGCAGAAGGAGCACTTTTCTGTTCTGTTGGTGATGATCAGGCAATGAAAGTATTTGACGTTGTCAACTTTGACATGATTAATATGTTTAAACTTGGGTAAGTCTTCATATTAAAATCATGTGTGTGTTTTAATGAAAAAAATAACTAAAATAACATAACTTATTTCACATTAGGTTTCACCCAGGCCAAAGTGAATGGATATACAACCCAGGAGATGCCATTTCCACTGTGGCATGCTCAGAAAAATCTACAGGGAAGATTTTTGTCTATGATGGACGTGGAGGCAATGAGCCAATTCATGCTTTTGATAAGATGCACTCGTCCCCACTGACACAAATTCGCTTGAATCCCAGATTCAGAGTGATTGTTTCTGCTGACAAAGCAGGAATGTTGGAATACTGGACTGGTCTTCCAAATGAATTTAAATTTCCCAAATATGTGGACTGGGAATACAAAACAGACACTGATCTGTATGAATTTGCAAAACACAAAACGTATCCCACAAGTCTGGCATTTTCCCCAGATGGAAAAAAAATGGCTACCATTGCATCTGATAGAAAAGTCAGAATGTTTAGATTCCTGACAGGAAAGCTCATGAGAGTGTTCGATGAATCCCTAACTGTAAGTTGCTTATAATCCTCCTGATGTTACAGTGGAACAGAGTAATAACTTCTCTCTTTACTCTAGATGTTCACAGAGTTGCAGCAGATGCGACAGCAGCTTCCTGATATGGAGTTTGGTCGGAGAATGGCTGTAGAGAGGGAACTTGGGAAGGTGGATGGTGTCCGTTTGGCAAACATCATTTTTGATGAGACGGGACATTTTGTTCTGTATGGAACTATGCTCGGGATTAAAGTCATCAATGTAGAAACTAACAGGTACATCTTGGAGATAACACATTTATGAACGCTTATTTTAAAAACACTTCTTTGTTCACAGATGTGTTCGAATACTTGGAAAACTTGAGAATATCCGTGTGGTTCATGTAAGTCTGTTCCAAGGTGTCGCAAAAATGATGAAGGTTGCACAAACTGTGGAAATGAAGGCGTCAGATAATCCTGCATTACAAAATGTAGAGGCCGACCCTACGATATTCTGCACCGCATTTAAGAAGAACCGTTTCTATCTGGTGATACATCGTCTACTCTTGAAATACGAGTAAAGTATGGTTGAAAAGTATTGCAACATTCTTCATTTTTAGTTTTCAAAGAGAGAACCAGAGGATACCAAGAGTGCAGACTCAGACAGAGACATCTTCAATGAAAAACCATCAAAAGAGGAGGTGATGGCTGCGACACAGGCTGAGGGCCCAAAGCGAGTGTCAGACAGTGCCATTATCCATACAACCATGGGAGACATTCACATCAAACTCTTCCCAGTAGAGTAAGTCATCTTGCTTTTAAGTGTTGATGCTCCAACTTATTTTACATTAACTCCAAATAACATTTTCAGATGCCCCAAAACTGTGGAGAACTTCTGCGTTCACAGTAGAAATGGCTATTACAATGGACACATTTTCCACAGAGTAATTAAGGTAAATATTGTTCTTTTTGCTTGGACTCATAATGACAGCGGGTTGAGAATTATTATTTTTTGCCCAGGGATTCATGATTCAGACTGGAGACCCAACTGGAACTGGAATGGGAGGAGAAAGCATCTGGGGAGGGGAGTTTGAAGATGAATTTCATTCTACCCTCAGACATGACCGACCATACACTCTCAGCATGGCCAACGCTGGGCCTGGAACAAACGGCTCGCAGTTTTTTGTCACCGTTGTACCGACTGTGAGTTACGTCATGTCTCTTTAATATTTCTATAATTTTTTCCCCGTAATTATAAGTCCCGTTTGTCTGTTTCCTTGTCCTCAGCCATGGCTTGATAACAAGCACACTGTGTTTGGGAGGTGTATAAAAGGGATGGAAGCCGTTCAGAGAATCTCTAATACAAAAGCCAACCCCAAGACCGACAAACCTTATGAGGACATAAGCATCATCAACATCACAATTAAGTAACATCTGATTCATAGATGTGGGTTTTTTATATTGGTGTCATTAAAGAATGTCTTGCTAAAGTCACTGTCATAAGTTTTTTATTTGAACAATTCTACAAGAATAGATAAACAGTTTCAATTTGTAGATGTTTTAGTGTCTCGTAGAACTTATTTTGGTACCACTGTCTGAGCTTTGGGGCAAGAACAGACTTTCTCCTTGTTATTGTTTTTTAATTATAAATCCAGTCTGCACATGTTGCATGAGCCGTCTGTAAGAACACAAAAGTGCATGCCACAAGCTACGTGCAAAGTGGCTAACTTGTTCATACATTCCTCACACAAAAGATTTTTTAGATAAAGTCAGTAAACTGTTTCATATTTAACATAACAAATCACAATACATCTAAAATGTAACTGTTTGCCTTTTGAAGACCACGTAACACTCTTTACAACGGATAAGGTAGCAACAGAACCATGTACACGTTAAAGCAAAGACAACACTACATCTATAAATTAAGTTGCTTGGACTTTCACATTTCTGGATGAAATAGAAGGGAGCAAGAGTTATCTTGTGCAGGTCAAAACTAAACATCAATAGTAAAGTTGTCAATATGTTGAGTCATGTTATAAGTATAATTGAGTTTGCCTTTCAGTAAGTATATGAACAAACCAAATCCTACGGTCAACTAGATATGTACAGAGGAAACTATGGCTGTGTTTACACAGGTCTGACTCACTTAGGGGAAAAAGCTTCAATCTGTTTCAAAAGATGTAAACTGACTTAACAATTGTGCTAAATCAGGGCATTTTAAATGGTTAAATGAGTTGAGGCCTGTTCAATTGTTTTGGTTGGTTTTACATCCACAAATAAGTTTTCTCCCAAGTGAACCAGATCAAGTGGGAATGCACTTAAATACAAATACAGATCATGGAAACAGCCTTGTTGGAGAATACCAATGCATGCTTTGTAAGTTGATTGACACAACTGAAAAAATATTTACACTTTTCTTGATCCAGTTTAAACTTTTGACGTTCAAGGTGATGGCTGTAAATGTAAAGCAGGGCAGCTGTACGGTCTAGGACTCTAGGCTGAGTAATGTTCAAGGATATTCACAAACTTAGCTTCAGGCTACATCTAAGACCCCAGCAGCAACCAACTGTCTTGACAACCAGTCCAAGCCCTCGTGCAGGCCCATCCCACTGCGGGCGTCACAGCCCTGGATGTGCCAGCTCCTCCCACAACACAACTTATGTAGACTCAGCACCTCTGTCATCTCCTCCACGGCCACAGCCCCAGGTACATCCTAGAAAACAATATAATTACAGAATCATTGTTATGGGAAAGGGTCACTTTCCAAAACATTTGTTTTATACATACCTGCTTATTTGCAAAAATAAGTAACAATGCGTCTCTTAACTCCTTCTCAGTGAGTAATTTGGCCAGTTCACTGTGGGCTTCCATTAGCCGGTCTCTATGACAGCTGTCGATTACGAAAACTACAGCTGAGCAGAATAAGAACAAAAGCATCTTTATTAGTAGACAATGGAGGATGTGGATATACATCAGAAGAGTTTAACACAAAGTATATGGTTTACATGGAATACCTTGAGTGTTCAAATAGTAATGTTTCCAAAGTGGTCTGAGCTTATGTTTTCCTCCGACATCCCAGATAGTAAACTTTAGGTTCTTGTATTCAACAGTCTCCACATTAAATCCTTTTTTAAAAGACAGAAATGTTAAATGTGTAAACAAAGGTTTCAAAAAGATTTCAATGTCTGTATCACACAAATACCGATGGTAGGAATTGGCTGCATGAACTCATCCTGTTTTAATTTGAAAAGTATAGTTGTTTTTCCTGCTCCATCAAGGCCTAGTGTTACTACACGGATCTCCATCTTAGGACCAATGTGAACTCTGTTATCCTGAAAACAAAATGACTTTAGTCACCATTTGGGTGATTTCAGAAACCATAAATCCAAAACTAGAATGTAGTACCTTTGTGAAGGTAACGGGTATGCCAGCGTCCAGCTGAATGTGATCTACCAACTCTGTGAACTGGTGCTGCTGCTTCTGAAGTGTTTCCAGCAAACAGTTGATTTCCTGTTTTGCCAGAACAACTCTGCAATCATCCTGCCCCAGAACAAATGGCAATTAATCATTAATAACATAATTATACACAAATGATGCAGTGTCTTTACCTGCTGCAGGGTTTTCTCACAATGCAGGCAGGCAGTGGAAACTTGGGAGAGAAGGATGGTCATGTCCTCCTGCTGCTGCCGCAGCCAGATGAGGCGCTCTCGAACGTGTGCGTCCACGACGCTCAAGGCCATCTCCTCCTGCCGGCAAAGAGTCTCATGGAGGTCTGCGAAGTAGGCACGCACACATGAGCGAGCACTCTCAGCTGTGCCTGGAACCTGAAACACAAAAGAAAAACAGTCAAGACAATCCAATGTATGGTTTTTCTTTCTTTTCTCACTTACGTGTTCAGTGTGGGCAATTCCAATACCATCCTCAACAATCTGTTCTCCTCCCTCTATCTGCTGCACAATGCCCACCAGTTTTCTGGAATACTCAGACACTTCATCTGTGAAGGTGCGGATACAATGTGCCATGTCCAGAATAGATGCACGGATCTGATTAGCTTCAGATTCAAGGAGAGCGTGCTGAAATTTTGAGAAAGATTAATCAGACACTGCATGGAACATCTTATATGTGGCAGATTTAGTCGTACCTTGTGTCCTTGATGTTTGCCATACTCCTTACACACACAGCACATAAGTGGCCCAGACTGACAACCTTCTTCCAGGCAAACAAACTCTATGGCATGCACCTGGTGCTGTGGACACAGCAGCTTCTCGTGAGGCTTGTCTGCCAGTGGTACGCGGCGGTGTTTTGCCAGTGTTCGAGTGGAGTGCGTAATCTGTGAGCACTCCGAACACAAGTGGGTGGCACATACAGTGCAATACATTGACGCTGTGTGGCTTTCATCCTCATCACAACGAATCACACACTGAACAATAAAACAGGTACATCAAAAACATTTCTGCTGTAATGTTCTAATAAGGTTAAACAATTTTCTTACTTCGCCCATGCCTTTAAGAGCATCCTCTGCCATCCCTGACTGATTCGATGCTCCATTCTGAAGTCGTTCCAGAAGTTCAAGCAGAGCAAAGTTCTTTTTCAGACCCCAAACTCCAGAGTCACCTTCATGTGCAAACATGAATATCGTTACTTTTACAGTGGGGTAACGTGGTGAACTGTATTATTACACGCACACACATTACTCGAATATTAGTTCAATCTGATATTTATTAGTGCTAATCAGTTGTTGCATGTTAATACTCACCCAACTCGGTGACCTGCCTGTCAAAAGGGCAGCGCACAGCCCTTCCATGGAGGGGTAACCGAGTGAGACAGTCATGACACACTGTGTGCCCACAGAGCAGAAGCCGAGGGACCTTATCTCCTTGGAGAGAGAACACATCTTCACACACGCCGCATTCCAGGACCTGAAAAACCACAAACATAGGCATCCGATTCAGCGGTGTAAGTTACGGGCCTAGAGCTCAGATGGTTTTGGTAAGGTGCAAGCAGCGCAAAGAACTTGTGGCGAAGATAACATTTCCTATACTTGGCTTTCACGATCATTCCTCTGACCCACTCGATCCATCGTTGCTAGTAGTGTCTCCTCTCCGACTGATAGTGTTGTGTTTATATATAGATAGAACTAAAGGCAAAATACCAGCGTTCCAATTTAATGACGCTGCGTATGCAGGCAGCAGGCAGTCAGGCTGAGTGGATCTCAATAGCTCACGTTACAAATACATATGATTCTAATGGTAGCTATTTTCCATGGAAATGCAAGAACCTTAACACTGCCTCCCGTTGTTGCTCTGCCGTGACGGATACATGGCTCCACAGATCCCTGCTTGTTTATTCCTGCAGCGGCCATTCTCCTCCAACAGAACGACTGGGGTTTGGATGTTTACCACTTCCGGTACAATACGACAATCTTTTTATATGTCTCAATTTATAGTGAATAATAAAAACATAAATATCTATGTAGTTCATTGTTTTTCGTGTGTGTTGTTTTTATTTTGACAGCTGTAAGCAGGCTGTATTTTATTTCAATATTTTTTTTCTGTCAGTGACGCATTTTTCGTGCGCCCAACCTTCAAAACAAACGGGACTGGCGCATGTACGGCTCCGCTCTGGTGCACCTTTATCTATATAGTTTATCATATTTGCTAAAAATACAAACAATGCAAGGATATTAAATGTTATACTTTTCTCTCGTTGGTTGATTTAGCTCTATGTCTCAACAAACGCCCCTGACCACCGCGGGGCCCGACTCACCCGCTCTTGTGGTGTCTGCTAATGTGCAGAAATATGCCATCAAGAAGAAAAAAGTGCTGTGCCCAGAAGAGGCTGAACTGTATGAGTTAACTCAGGCGGCGGGTATTGTTATAGATCAGGAAGTCTTCAAGTAAGTACACATGAAAATACCATGTGTTTTATTATATTCAGTAATACTATGTGTATGTGTTTTAGGATCATTCTGGATCTGCTGAAGATGAACGTGGCCCCTCAGGCAGTGTTTCAGACTCTCAAAGCTATGTGTGCAGGTCAGAGAGTGGCTGAGTGTGACCCTTCACCTGCTGCTTCCACTGCTCCAGCTGAAGCTCGTGGTAAGTGAGGGTCGGACTTGAGAGAAGGAAATTCTTTATAAAAATAACAAAAATTATTGGTTTAATTTAGCGCTTTTTTGGACACTCAAAGACGCTTCACATGTCATTATTCTTTCACTCCCTACACGGTGGTGACAAACTACTACTGTGGCTACAGCTGCCCTGGGGCATACTAACAGAAGCGAGGCAACCAGTATGTACCATTGGCCCCTCCGATCATCACCAACCATTCATGCACACACCAGATTCATTCTAGGCAACGTCTTGCTTAAGGACACAACAACAGTTTGACACTTCACAGCTGCAGACCCCCTCCCTCCACTATGGCACCTGTTGTTCCCAGAGGTCCCCCATCACATTACTAACCAGACCCTGCCCCTTGCTTGGCCCCAGGGGTCTGACAGGATCTGGCTTTCACATGCAGGTGGTACTTTATTCGTCCCACAGGGGGGAAATTTCAGAGTTGCATCACAAATTACACGAGTAAAAATGAAGAGCACAGAGCATAAGATAAATCATTATCAAGTATAGCAAAACTACACTTAAAACATCTATCTTAATAAAGAAACACGGTATACAACTTCAGAATGTCCACTAAACAATGTCCACTTTACTTATCTACTTTTTATCCTGCCCTAGATGTACAGTATATATATTATTTCGAAAGACTGGTATTGAAGCATTCACATCTAGTTAAGGAACATAGCTACTACCTATTTTGTATATTTTGTGTGCTCTTGCTACTGTCTTGTCTGTGCACTGCGACATTGAAATTTCCCCACAGTGGGACGAATAAAGAATCTCTTTTCTTATCTTATAAACCTGTATATTCTAGTGCAAAGAAATATACCTCTGTAGCTGAATTCTGTAATACACTCTTGTGCATGAATATTGAAGTCATTAGCTCTGTAGTGTTCACAGTATATTAAACTATTGTACATGTAAGCAGCACGAGGCTCTGGGCTAAAATCTCTTACCGAATACTCCATATTTTTTAGCACTTGAATTATACCTAGTGCTCCCCGAGTTACAGCCTCCGCCTCATCGGCTTCAACACTGTGAGACTCTTGGGCACAGTTCTGGGATGGTTCAGGAGCTCCTCAGCGATAGAGAGGTTTTTTTATTTTTTTTTATCAACACCTTTCATCTCTTTTATTCTTGACCCACTGTATTTGTATTTACAATATATTTTACACAAACAATACCATAATTATGCTGATGATGCACATATTTGTTGAATATTTATGTCAGAATGTGGTTTGTAAATTGGGTTGCACAACCATAGACTGTATATCACTAAACACACAGACTTTACAAACAACAGTCATGTGGTTTTTCCCTTCACTAATACATCAACAGATGACTTCTTTATTTCATTGTATTCACCAGACAGGAAACTTGGGCTAGTTTGTCTAACTGAAGTGCCTTAAGTGAATAGCATTAGCTGTTGTCATGATTTAATACTATATTTATGTTCAATTGTCTTCTGAAGAGGAGGAATCTTTATCCTCTGGAAAGGTCCCCAAAACCATTGCAGCCCCCACTGCAACTGCAGGCCCCAAAGCCACAAGAGTCAACTCTAAAATTGTGGTCCACGCTCCCCAAGAAGCTAATTCCTCTCACTCACAAGGTCCCTTCACTGCACTCTGTAATTCACCTCATTCTCCTTGTGCATTACTTCACTATCGGACACGGCCTCCTGGCGCATGTGGCTCTGTTCTTCTTCTGTGTTTAGAGCATGTACTAGTAGTAGATCCCCTTTGGTCCTGATGACATTTTCTCCTTTTGTTGACTTTACAATACGTATTAGGGATGCACCAATCAAAACTTTTCCTCTATTCTGTTATCAATTATTGGTCTGTTAAGTGATGATGTGAAAAACTGCATTCTGGGTCCAGCTGAAGCTAATTGAAAAGATAAGGACAGTCTTGATTCATTCTGTCGTTTATAATGCAACTCCCATCAGGGCATCCAGAGCATCTCCTCCTGGGCAATATGGCAGCTCTGAGGAGTAACCATAGTAACGGACTCCTTTCACGGTTCTGCCAAACTAAACACTCAATTACAATTATTAGTAAAATGTTATAAAAACAATTATTTATGAATGTACATATGGCTAGGTCTTATAGATCTTTCACTATCCTCTAAATTTGAAGAGTTATTGACGTTAACTTGGTTTAGTTAACTACTAAAGAAATCACCTGTTAGCATAACGTTAGCTTAACTTTAGCTCATCTCAATAACTTCAAGCCACTTCATACATTCATTATGACATCCAATGTTGATTCTTGTATGTTTTTTAACTGAACAAAACATAGCAGAAACTGTATATTTACAGAATAGAGCTAAAAAAAACGAAGTTGCTGCAGCTTTGAACCCTGAATTGAGAAAATATTTCACACTTAACAACTATATCTATATAACTATACTATAACTATAAGGACAATGGCAATATTATTCAATTATTATTCTCTCTAGTCATCAGTTTTATTCGGATACAATCAAGTATCTTAAATTCCAACAATTGGGATATTCCTTGAGCCCATGCCACGTCCAATTGAGCTGACAAATGTCTCTATCTGGACAAAATCTGAAATCAAATGATGAGCATCCTTAATACAGATGATCATGTGTATTCCATCTGTTTTTTTCTTACACATATTGATTAGAATAATGTATAACTTATCTTTTCTCTCTGTAACTTTACTTTCTTAATCACTGTCAACAGTACGAAGTAAAACTGGAGTGGGTCACAGTGAAAAGGCCAGAGACCCCACATCCCAGAGAGTGCAACGCCAACCCAGCGCCAGTAGGGGGCAGAAGACTAAGAGTTCTGGCAGCAGTAGCTCATCCTCTCAGATCAACTCTACGTAAAAAATACAGGTTCCTTCAAATAATGTTGTTGTGATTTTGTATGGATTCGTTCGGAACATTCTTTCAGAAAAATAAATATAGGAGAATGCACATTGTATAGATCCTATAGTTGCAATGGAATTCTCAAGTCTGGTTTTTAAAATAAATCTACAGTAATTTTAATGATGACTATTCGGGTATTGGGTTCTAAGACAATAGTATGATTTCATGTATTTCTCGTGAGGGTTTATTTTTTTAATTTGTAAATGGAAATGCATATTTATAAACATCTTGTCTGGCTAAGGCAATGTTGGAGTTTGCAGATAAGGTTTGAGCTCTATTCAATTATTAAAATGCTGGGCCCCATTGTGCCTGAAATGTGGACTTTTGCATATTTATGGTTGTTTTCCTAAATTCATTATAATTCTTGCATCAACGTTTTGTATTCGCGACTAAACCTTGAGAATTACTCAGAGGTTCTCTTTTAATGTAATATTGCAAGCATGTTCTGGATGTTTTGAACTGTGCTTGCTTCTATTGGAATAAATGGAAAATTGTTAGTTTAGCAGATTTTTTTTTTCTCTGGTGAACAACTATTGAAATCATTTTACTTTCTTTTGGAAAATGTATTTAATTTGACCAGACAACCTTGATCTTATGGAATATTCTCTCTCATCTGGGCTGTAGACGCACACTTCCATCCTCCTCATTCTGCCTTCATTGTGTCAAATATCTTTGTACTTTTCACTTCTGTATGATTAAATATCATCAAAGAAAACTGCATCGTACAGACCGTCTTATCTGTATAGCACAATACACTAGACAACCCAAAGTGGTTACCAAACAAAGGATTGCAATTCTAATAAAAACTGTAAAAAGAAACATAAATAATCACAGTGCATTTATTTTTTAAAAGAAGAGATAAAATCTAGTCTCTGGTGCAGTTTGTGTGATTCGGGCGAGGCGAGCTGCAGGGCTTTATATAGCTGCTGCTGCTGCTGCTGCTGGTCTTTTATGTGGCCGTTTGTCCTGTTTATGTGCTCTTGCCTCTCTTCTCTCCTGCGCCCTGCACTGATGGCACCGTGCCTGTAATTGATGGCACCATATTGCTGTAGTGTAGCAGGTTTAATGGGGCTTGACAGAGCAAGGGAAAGCGGCATGCAAGCAGGGAGGTTAACCCTTTCACACACACCTTCCTCACTGGCCTTTCCACAAACCCTGTTCTCCATCCACCTGTGTGTGCCAACAGTCAGAACGTGGACATGATACTGTTTGACATTGTGATGCTAATGGTGAAAATAAGCCAAAGAAAATGATAATCCGATCCTTTTTCAACCTGATTTGTTTGGCTCGTTTGATAAAGGTTAAATTGTGGGGATCAGTCCCTTGAAGATGCAGCTCTGCACTCCCCAGTGTCACCTGCAGGGGTCAGTGTGACTCTAAGATAGCATTCTGGTCTCCCTTTGATCATTCCCACAGGCATCTGCCCCAGCATTTGGATGTGCTGTTTTGTTTTTGAGAGAATTTCATAGCTAGTACAGACTATTATTAGAAATAAATGTTATTCTTTTCTCATTTGTTCTGATGTGTGTGCGCTATACGTTTCATTAATCAATAGAGACATTAAAAAGACGCTATTGTGTGGTGAAGAAATCCAAACAGTGCAGTGAAGAATGAGCTAGTCAAAGCTGTTGGCAAATCATTAATGTAAAGTGTTGGTCTAAACCAAGTTCTCACATTCTCTGTACAAGCTGTTCCCAGGTGACAAAAAACTGGGGAGAAACACTATTTTAAGCGTGGCTATCACACCTCTATGTGTTTTTTTCTCCATCACTTCCATTCCCCTGTGAATAGTGTGCAGTGTGAGAGCTTGGTGTGAGGTGCAGCTTCAAATATCAGACTGTTTTGCCTCTTCTCGTTTTCTCAGGTGGAATCTCCATTGTGAACCCGGGGCCACATTTCGCTCTGCATTTATAGGGTTCCTCTTTTTCTCACTTGTTGTCTTTGTGCATTCACTCCCCTCCCTCACCTCTTCACTTTCAGTCACCCTGCCCGCTCGCTTGTTGGCCAGGCCAGCTGCAGATTGGCTATTTCCTGCACGCACCCAGAGCCCTTATCAGTGGTGAGTGCTGATTGTTGCTCTGTCTCTCAGGCTGACTGGCAGTTGGGGCTGCGCTGCTGAAATGTCTGATTTGGTCAGTGTTTGTCTGTGGGGCCTTATCTCCATGCTTTATATTAACTGCCTTGACAGTGGAGGCAGTCGCTCTCTGCTCCTGCTGCAGCCTCCACAGCTCCATCCTCCTCCACAGTCTCCATATACTCTGCACTATCTCCTGGTTTTCTTGTCTATGCTGCCATGTTGCGCTCACTCATGTTGTGGTTTCGTCTAAATATTTCCACACTTAATGAGTAATTGTAGTGTTGATAGCTGATGTCTTTAAAACCTCAAAAATAACTATTAAAATCCATGGAAATAGTCCCAGGCGTTTTACTGTTTGATTCAATTCAATCCAATTTATTTTATCTAGTTTTTACATTCAAGGCCTCTATCACAATTCTCTAGATCAGATTTTTGTTTCTTTTTTTTTATGCCTGCCTTCTACCTATTTTTACTCGTACATTGTGTTTGCACCAAGAGTCAAAGCAAATTCTTAGTTTTGTGACTTCCTGTTACCCTAATTCTACCTTCCCTCACTCAGCCAATCAGCTCTCACGATGTAAAAGCTCAAATGTTTTCTAATGAGCTAGATTCAAAATGTCGTGGTCTGATTTGTTTCACCAAGTGTGACTTTAAACAAGACTTTTTTCTGTTGCCACAAACATGTTTTTATGGAACAAAAGCACGTGAGGTGCTCCAGCTTTAATTGCATGTTCTATTTGTTTGTTTACAAAGTGGCAAGTGGTGAGTATTTCCTTGTAAATATGAAATGTAAGTAGTTATGAAAATGGCAATTACTTCAAATTACCGTTCACCCAGACTGAAATTTAATTCTCTTCTCATTTTTGTGTTTACCATAACACCCATTTGCACAATTTACAACACATTTAACTGTCATGAAGCAGAGATGAAGAGAACTTGATTTCATAGTGGTATAAATCTGGGCTCACACAATATACAGAAAAATATTGTTATTGCGACGATAGCAAGTTCTGATATCGCAGTGACGTGCTATCATGGTTTTTGGTCTGGGGTTAATACATTCATTTGCATGTATGAATATATTTACTTCATGCATTAGTTGCACCATCAAGTACCATCTTTTTTTTTTGATTTATGCCAATTTCATTTCTGTAGGGAGAGAAAATATTGCACTATCATCGCCGCAGTCCTTGACACCACTCTCGCATGTTATTCCTAATAAATTGGAGCCTCAGTAATAATTATAATTTCATGTTATATTTGATTCAGTGTAAAAACAAACCGAACAATTCAAACCTAGATTTGAAAATGCAAAGAACCTCAGGAACGACAAAACCCATTTCCGCACATATTTTGTTCACATTATTATTTTCTCTGTCTCTTGACCGACGAGACCTCATTAAGAATCCCTGTGTGTCTTCAGTGCGTGGTGCTACTCTGATCAGAAACCAATAAGTAAACAGACCCCTTTAAGCCTTATTTATTTATGCAGTTGGTTAGCACGAGGCGGATGGTGGCTGTTAATAGCAGCTGTGGAGTTCACACTTGCCTGGACCCCTATTGTGTAGCAGGCTGCTGCACACCGCACAGCTGGCCCAGTTCAGCCCCAAATTATACTTAATATCAAAGTAGTCCGTTATGTTGAGTAGAGAGAAATCTATTGGTAATTAAAAGTGTGAAAGACTTTGCTCTTATAGACAACTCAGATTCTCTACTTTCATCAAGGGAAACAGTCGACGTCTTCTGCTGCAAATTATGAACTGCTAATTGTTGACTGCGGAATAAACCGGCGAAGAGAGGAGTTTAATCATTTCACAATTAAATAACAGCCAAAGGTGCCTTGTGTGCATGTGTATGTTACTCTGCTCCAAATTCTTTTTAATTAAGATGGAGATATCCCTGTCTTTGTCTCACGTTTGTGTTTTTTGTTGAATTTTCATGCAGTTTTTCCATGGAATTTGAATTGCCTGTATGTGTGCGTGTTTATTCAATCCCTGTCCGTCTGCAGCCTCACACAAAGACTTTATTTCAAAACGAGAAAGATTGAGCCTTGAATTTTCAAAACTATGTCTTGATTGTCTTCACTGTTGCCTTAAATGTTGCTCTTTCTCATAATTTCTTCTTGTATTTTGTGATTTAATTTGTCAATATCTCCTCACTCATGCCCCAGTCGATCCAAAAAGGTTTCTCTACTGTAACTGAAACATATTTATCATGATATCTATTTTCTCTCATTTATTTTTGATAGTTATGATACTCGCATAACTAGTCACTAAATTACTATCTGAATGTCACTTGCAGACTCAACACTACAGGCTGAAGTTTTGTTACATCATGGGTAGATCAAATGTTAATCATAAAGGAAACAAGAATCTTTAGTGTTTGTGATAAAAGCGTTTTGTCTCGGAAATATCCCAATTATCAAGAATCAACAAGTTTGCGCAACATACCAACACGTTTTATAATCATAACTTATGAATAGTATAAAAGTATAAAAGTGGGCTCTTCAAAAGGACTTGTTTTCCACCCCTCCCTCTCGGAAAACAAAGTTACTCTTCAAACCTTGGCTGTTTGAATGCATAAGGGAACATAACTTATACGATAGTTTGCATTCATGTGACATATATCACAACACTCCAAAGAGCCTATAGTTTAACATTGTGGCGGAGGGCAGCTGAAACTCTTTCCTGGTCACTATGGTTACTTTCTATACTTCTAGCCCGATTTTAAAGCTATTTTCCTTTTTTTACGCAAAACAGATTCTGACGTATTCTATTTGCTATTTGCAGTATCCCATTGGAATACATTTGCAAAAGTTCCCAGTGTGCACAAGACGAGTACATAAATAAACAAGGTTAAAAGTACCAAAAAAAAGTGCAGG